TAATAATTATCAGTGCCTTGGAATAATTTGCTAATTGCATCCCAGAAGTAATTTTCTTTCTTATTTTATCGAATATAGATCAAAGCAAAACTGAATTATTAATAATGTATCATATTCAGCATTTATGAATAATCAGTAGATTGTAACAAAAGGTCTTTGTAAGTGCGGTCCCAAAAATACCGATATATTTAGTGATGTCATGTTTTAAGAAAAAAATACTTTATTAGTGAAAGCCTCATTTATTCAAAAGACTGGGCTTCCATCCCTTGGAGGTAAGTCAAAAGAGGGAATAAATATTAGTCATGTTGCTTAACATGTTCCTGGTGATGGCTCTGCTGTGTGACACTGTTACTATTCTGATGCAAGTGGTAGAAGAACCTGCGATGAACAGATGATTTTGTATGAGCTTCTGGAAATTTTAGCTATGGTATTTTATTTTATTCATTTAATCACTCTTGGCAAATCTCACATTGGATAGTTACATCTCTCCAAGGGATAGGGAAGAAGGCTGGAGAGCCTTCAATGTCTTCTGTAGCCTCAGTCTGCATCATCTTCCCCAGTGAAGACTGGATATCTTGCAAACTGGGTCTCCTATAGGATCCTCAGAGGGAGGGACAGGAAGAGCAGAAGAAATGTAGAAATGTGTCCTTCAGAGTACAATATACTTTGCGAGTCTGGGATTCATTTCACACTTTGTAAGGTAACTGGAGATAGTAGGCTCCTACCACACATGTTAAGCAAAACAAAGTGGTCACCTGAAATGTTAGATATTCAAATTTGTCAAGTGCCTTCTCTTTCTTGAGAAATGTACCAGTCCCTAAGAAAGATTCTTGCAGGCTAGTGGTAAGTGTTCACACTAGACACTGCATTTATCTTATTCTAGACATCAAGAAATTATCCAGGTGAGATCCAGGTCAGATCCAGGACAATATGCCATGTTTCACTAGCATGGTCAGCACAGGAGAGCTAAGGTTTCCATTTCTAAGACTTCTCAACACTTTTGAAAAGTATAAAATAATGTGCGTGTGAAGGGCAGAAATGGCACAAGGATGTGGTGGTACAGCATCCATTTGCCTGTGCTTTCCAAGTGTGTTCTCTCACTTTTTCTGAGTCAGCAGTTTTCCATTCCAAAAGCAATTACAGGCTAAGATGTAAATCCACTTCGGAATGGCAGTGTTATTGGCATGTCTTGTTATTCTCAGGCTTCAGCATCATAACATAGTAAGAAAGAAAACGTCCATTTTTGGTTTCTTTAAAGGTAATAGTGGCTTTTGAAATGTGTTGAGAAACTTTGCCACTACCACAAGTGCTACAACATCTGTTCTCTGCTTCCTCACAGAAAACCTTGAGAAAAATCCCCAGCTTGGCCTATGGGATTTTTATTTTTTTTAATCCAACACTCTATTGCAGGGCATTTAATTATTAGGACTGTGAAATACAACAACACCTAAAGCATTAATGGAAGTAACTAATTATAGTCCACTCAGCATGTGGTTTACTCTTTGCTTATAAAGACTCTTGTCATTTATTTGTCCTTTAAATGACTTCTTTTGATATCTTAGCCAGGACAAATGTGTCCTTCAGAAGGGAGATGACCCCAAACTGGCACAAAAAGATTTGATTAAAACATATACTCCCTCTATGGCAGCCTAAAGATCCCATGGGATCTGCTACTGCTCAGCAGAGTAGAGGAAATAGCAAACTGGGGAAATGCTTTCTTTGTGAGACAAAAAGATTTCATTACTAACATGCTGACATCCACTCTATGTAGGACCATCCTGTGATCATTCTCTGCTGTTTCCTTTAAAGCTTAGAGGCAGAAGTTTAGTTCCAGCGTGATTAATTTCCCTTTTACTGATTGTGTGTCATTTACTTTCAAGCAAGATTTTTATAAATGAGGCAAAACAAAGACAGAGATGAAGATTGTGCAGAGATAAACATTTGTGCTGCTGGGACTCCCACTGACTTGGGCACAGCGGGGGCCAGAAGTAATGGGGATTCACAGGCGTCATGATTAGACCTCTCACTGTGAACAGGTAATTGAAACACTATAGCCCATCACCAGCATTTACGAAACGGCAAGCCATGATGGTACTTAGTTTAAAGCAAACCCTGAACAAACCAGAGGCTTCATACACTCACTCTGCCATTATGTACGAGCAAAGCATAAGCTCAGGCCATCCGTACTCCATACTTTTGTTTGCGTGCAGTGCACTCCTGTGATGCCAGCCTGGCATTGTCCCCCGAGGACTGGCAATTTTATGTAGTTCCTTTTGTAAGCAACATGTAAGCTGTCTGCCTGGCCTTGGGGTGCACCAAGCACAAGCAGAGGTGCTTTGGGAAGAAATGAGGCAAGTTTCCTTGCCTCGATGGCCTGGCTGTCAGCCCAGGTTTACTGCAAGGCACTTGCAGAACAGGGGTATGTGTCGTACCAACCTTCATGCAAACATCTGAAAGCTCCCTCAGCCACTAGCAGCCTGGTGGTTTGCTGTCACCCTCAGCAGAGACAGGGCAACAGCAATTTTGAGGGCCCAAAGACTGACAGATAATATTCACTGTGTGTTGAGTCGCCTGTCTCCATCTGCTGACGTACACCCCAGCCTCACATGATTAAGAGCTGTTTAGTGACTAGCTTCCTGCAAATGTGTGACTGATAAAATCTGTGATGTGAGAAATGCTCTCACTCCTATTTTTCACTACTTATTAATCACCATGTCTCTTAAAAACCTCTAACTACACCTTTTTGATTCTAGTTCATAGCAGTGAATGTGTACCTCGTCAGCCTGGGCCTTCCTGCTGCCAAACTCCACTAAAGTCACTGGTATCTCAAGCAGATGTTTCTAGCTTTTAAAACAGTGGGCAATTACTAGACTAATTTAGGTTTCCTTCACTCTCATTAGAGTAGAAACATCAGCTCAAACCTTATTAGAGATGAAGAGATTGGAGAAAGAAGAAATTTTCATATGGAGCTGACACACTGACCTGACCTACACCTCAAGACCTTCTGGATCTTGCTGAGTTTTGTTGTTGTCCAGAGACCCCAGCTGATGCATGACAGTTTACCTGCCCATATTTTGGCAGCAGGGACAATATGAGATTTCAGCCGATTGAGTGGAGTTATTTAGGTGCTTGTATCATGTTTGTGTCATGTATTGTTACATAAAATTACTCATTCCAAATAGGGGGAGCATAGTGAGGTAAAAAATATCACTATAATTATTCAAATGAGCTGAACACCACAATATTATATACTTACATGGTACGTACAGGTAACATAGATAAAAATATCAACCAACAGTGTGATCGTTAGTGGGAGTTCAACTGTCACATTACTGAATTTGTGATTGCAAGTGGTTAATGAGTAAAAGGAAAAACATTTTTTTGTCCAGGTAATTGCATAAATGACAAGCTTGACAGGAATTATGACTATAATGTTATGTCAATGATTATAATGCCAAAAGATTTCTGAAAAAATATTCATCCACTCTGTCTCTTTTTGACTATGGGAGCTGGCTTACAATTTCTGTGAATTGGTATCTTATCTGTAAAATTAAGATTTTAATTATTTATTATTTGTTAAATTATTTTAATTATTTGAGTTTTGGTGTTTGTTGTGCTACAGACCCAACACAAGTCTACATGAACAGTACACACACAGAACGCTTTGATTATTATTTTTAATCTTGCATAATTTTCAGCAGAGATAACAAATCAAAACAATTCTAAGCTTACAACTATGGTTACAGTTCGCAGTAAAAAAAAAAAAAAAAAAAAAAAGTCATCTTGCTATTGTGCTGTTGGTGGTGTTGGTGGTGCTGCTGATTTAAAGTCTTCCATCCAGACTTCTAAGTTAAGGGCAGTTTATCAGACTAGTGATTTACTGTGTAAACAGATCCTACTGCTGGCATTTAGGAAAACTTAGCTGCCTGGCATTCAGCCAGATTCTTTAATCACACTTGACTGAAGTTTCCAGCCTTGAATTATTATTTAATAACATCTGAGCAAAAGTCTAATTTATTGTTTAAGTAAACTTTGAAACAGAAGAACAGTGCCTTAGATACCAGACTTAGAGCTTGCCTCAGGCGGAGCATTTTTCTTTTAGCACAGAAGTGGAACAGAACAGAATACTGTGACTAATTTCACCTCTTGTTGCATGCATAACTTACCTAACTGGCAGCATGCTATCTTCTGAGCTGTTATTTCCTCATTCATGTTTTGTAACACTGTTAGCCATCATGCTGTAACTAACCACGGGCCAGTTGCACACAGACAGGTACAAACCACGCAATTTAAAAGTAACACATTTGTTGCTATAGGGAAAATCGAAACCATCCTTTCTTTATCATATCATCTGTTTTAGCAGTGATGCCTGAGGAAATCCTTGAATTTCCTTATCATGGTCACTTGTAGCTAATTTAGAGAAGGTTTCTATTTCGATGATAGCCATACCTTGTCCTCCATCAATTTCTTACTACTTATCGTTTACAATGGTGTAATAATACTAAGAGCCACCAGATGCCAGCACAAGCACGCAAGCACTCAATAAGTGCCTGTTCTGGGCTAAAAGGCAAGGATGGTGCAGACCTCTCAGGTTATTATGCAGTATACAGTCACACTAACAGTACAGGTGGGCTTTCTCTTAGATGTTTCAATATCATTTAGGAAGAAAAGATCTTATCATCAAGTCAGATCTGCATGGATAATTTTAGATTTAAAGAGACCATCTACTGGAGAAAGGACTGTATCACTGGCCTAACTGGTAATTGCCTTTGCTGTTCAAGAGTAGTTTAATTCCATATGGAACTTTCACTTAAATTTCCAGCCAAATAGCCCTTCTCATTGTGCAAGTCTGCACAGAATATGACAAAATCACTCCATCATCTCTTCAGAGTAGAGCGTACCTTCCACGTGTGCCATGTTCTTGGCTGCAGGCATGCAAACAGCATAGACAGGCAGAATAAAAGACAGGTACTCATGGTGCAAATACAGTGCAACACTTTCAAACATCGATGGGGGGGTTCTTTTGAATTTGTCAGCACTGCTGCCTTTGCAACACTGTAAAGTACTCACAGCCTTTTGAGATTAACTGAATGACGAAAATCGTTTCTGACAGATTTCATCCAGAGCAGAAAACTTTGGTCCTAGAGTGTTCAAAAAATCTGTGGGCAAGTCGTCACTGCCCATGGAGAGAGAGTGGAAGGAGTTACTTTTCTCCAGTTCTCCTTCCAGTGCATATATGCAAGGTGCATAGCTTGCCCAGTAAGGTTCCAGTGCGCTTTGGTCATACAATTTCTAAAGGGAAGAAACAACACAAATCATCATGGAAGCTCCTACTACCCTTTGGGAAATTAAAGGGATTCACAGTATACTGTTATCAAACAGGCAAGCAGGAGGCTACAGTGAACAGTATAGGTTTCTCTCTGATAAAGAACAGTTGAACTGAAACTCTCAGATGGAAAAGCACAAGAGCCTGATCTTCCCCTGAAGTGCCAATGAGGCAGAAAGGAGACTTTAATATGCCTTGGAACAAACAACTCTAAGTAAATATGAATGTGTGGAGGCATGCAGTCTGGTGCAAGGAAGTGTGTAGAATAGGCCTGTTCAATGACCAGACAGAATATGGCAAGAGAACTAAGATTTCTTTGCTTCCACAGAAATGAAATAGCAAGAAAACAAACTTTAATCCTGGTATGGTCATATAAAGTATTTTAGCCCCACCACCTAGTCTTGAAGTATTCATTCCAGGTGAAAGTCTCCAGCTTTCCAAGAACTGTTGGGTGACCAGGTATATTCAGCGAGAAGTCTAGGAGACATGGCATCTTCAGCAACTAAGAGTCCTGACTGTTCCTCCATCCAATACATTCCCTTTTTTTTTTTTTTTTTTTTTTTAATAGTAATGCTTTTTAGGTGTGGCCAGACAGAGTAGCTGAAGCAATAACAGCTTTTCAGTTTTGCAAGCTTTTTTTCCTATTCTTACAAGCCACCTCAACAAAAGAGGGATTCAACATCTGCTTTCTTACCTGATTCAATATTTTTTCTACTGTCTGTATGATGTGATCATGGTGTCTTACTTGGACTGTCTTTTGTATAGTGTACAGGCCACTCTGAAAGATAAACACAGTTTCTCAGGTTTCACCAGTGTAAAGTTGCCTACTAAAATTTCTTTCAGATACAGATAAATCCAACTGCTTTCTCTCTGTTACATCCATTTCTCTTGTGCTGTCTTCTCTATTAGATTGCAGCTTTTCCTGGTCAGGGACTGTTTCGTCTTCTGCATATATAAAACACTTCCTGTATACGTGGAGCCACCATGTATGTGCTTTTTGTAATCTCCAGTAGCTAAATATGTTTATTCCTCTGAATTTAGTGAATTGCTTCTTGCTAGTGCACCAACATGACCTCAGAGCTTTGTAATGTCTACTTGTATAGGTACTTGTAGCTCCGAACTACAGACTAAGCATTGTGGAATTAGATTCTACAAATTCTACATACATTAAAAAAAAAAAAAAAAAATGGTTTTCATTTTCTTTGTCTGCTGTAAAACAGAGGTTATTTTAGAATCTCTTGATGAACATTACATACTTATGACCAGAACACATGGCAGTCACTTACTGATGTAGACCAGAATTTCCTTCAGGGATTCTTTGCAACAAAAATAGACGTCTGTTGCATAAATTAGAGAATGCAGCACAAAAATCTGCAGAACAAACTCAAAAGCCTTCAAAACCTCAAAAGTACATCTTCCAGTTAAAATAAATAAATAAATAAATAACTCTTAAATCCTATCCACACAGGACAGGATTAGCCAGTATGCTAAGTCAAAGATGTTGACTGGCATGTTTTTGATCAGATGAAGAATGATGGATCCTTTTCACTTATACCAAGAACTAAGTAAAGTTTTATTTAGTTTTATTTTACTTGTTTTATTTACCTGCATATCAATTCAGGTACTGTGAGAAGAATTTTAGAATAAATTGCACTTCCAAATATTTAGGACAATTACTAATGAAAAGAAGTGTCAGTCTCAAACTGAAAGTTGCTGGGGAAAAAAAAATGTGTCAACATTTTTTCATATGCTGCTGGAATCTCCAGCAAGTAAAATTTATTTCTAATTTAGCTATATTGCATTATTTTTCCCACTATAATTTATACCAAGCATCATTCTCAGGATTCTAGCCACAAGGATATATGTTTTTGCACTTACATGACACAATGGCTTACTGCTCTCTTCATTATAGTTGATAAAGGTCTGTTCACCTTCTTGAGGTAGAAAAACAGCTTTGCTTTTAGATTGTGGCACATTAAACTGACAAAGTAAAATACTGGAAACTGTTGAAAGAAGAAAGGAAATGATGAAATTTATGTTGCGAACAGATCTGTATGGTTAAGCACAGGTGTCTGGTGAGGCTACTCACCCAATAGTAGTAAGAAAGCTGTCAGTATTATTGCAATGGCACCACCTCCAAATCTCACAGCTCTTTGTGGTAAATCTTCACATGCATGCCCATCTGGGCAAAAGCAGAGCCTTATATGCTGATTCTGCCTTGTAGAAAGTCCTCGCCTGTCCCGAATAATGAAGGGCACCACATAGGTACCTTGTGGGAGGCTTCTTAACATCAAAAGTTCCACCGACTCCACTAAAAAGACAAGCAAATTATTTCAAAGAATCACAGAATGGCTGAGGTTGGAAAAGACCTCTAGAAGTCATCTGATCTGCCCTCTGTTCAAGCAAGGATACCAAGAGCAGGTTGCCCAGGGCCAGGTTCAGGTGACTTTTGAAGATCTCTGAGGAGGAAGACTCCACAGCCTCTCTGGGCAACCTGTGCTGGTGCTCCATCACCCACACAGTAAAGTGCTTCCTGATTTTCTGGTGAAACCTCATGTATTCTAGTTTGTGCCCATTGCCTCTTGGCCTGGAATTGAGCAGCAATAAAAAGAGTTTGTGGCCCCTTTGTACCATCCCTTTACATATTTATAGACATTAATGAGATTCCTCCTGAGCCTCCTCTTCTCCAGGCTGAAGAGTCCCAGCTCTCTCGGCCTTTCCTCATAGGAGAAGTGCTTCAGTTCTTTGATCATCTTGGTGGCCCTCCACTGGACTCTTTCCAGTATGTCCATGTCTCTCTTGTATTGGGGGGCCCAGAACTGGAGACTGTACTCCAGGTGTGCCCTCAACAATGCTGAGTGGTGGGGCAGGATCACCTCTCTTGCCTGCTGGCAATACTTTGTGTAATGCATCCAAGAACACTGTTAGCCATCTTGGTGTCAAGGGTATATTGCTGACTCATGTTTAATTTTGTGTTCATCAGGACTTCTAGGTCCCTTTCTACAGAGCTACTTTCCAGTTGGGTAGCTCCCAGCATATACTGGGTTGTCCCCCCTCCCCCCTCCAGATACAGGACTCTGCTGCAGGACCTTCAAAACTCATGGAAAAAAAGTCTGATGCTCCACAGTGCCTTCTGACAATAAAAGGAAACTCATCTGCAACCCAATTTCAAACAGTTTTTCCACCCTTAGTGCATCATGGTGAATAGGACAAAACCGCATCCTGTTCTATCACCTTGCTGAGCCTTCTGGGCAAAGAGGTGTGTCCCAATCTTGCTGCATTCTAGCACAGCTGCACTGACAACTTCTAGAATTCATCAGAGGTCATTCAAATGCAGAAGTTGTTCCTCAGATGTCTTGTCTCCTTTCCCACAACTGGAGTGTATTGCTTCTGGCCCTGTCCTCAGTAGTGATGAAGAACAATTTTTTGTGTTTGGTGTTTTTTTGTTTGTTTGTTTGTTTGTTTTTTCAAAATTGAAGAAACTGGATTTTGAATGCTGTTCTTCCATGTCCTTTCAGTCTCCTTGAGACTAACCAGTAACAGACCATAAAGTAAGTGATAGTGAAATAACTAGAGGGGATGTAAGTGACAATAGGCTTCTCATGAAGGGCATAGACAGAAGAACTCACCAAAGTTCCTTCCTAATTTCCAGGTACTCTTCACATCTTCAGAGTCTTCAGCAAGCTCAAATGTAAATGGCCAAGAATGTGAATGGACCAAAGGAGACTTAGCTTTTATAATGAGAGGCCTCATTTCTTTTTTGTCACATACATCTAAAGAAGGATCCACTAATGTTGGCATATGCTCTTTAATGTCAGACAAATAAAGCAGGATGGTGCCAGTACCAGTCTGTGGTGGAGTATCTAGAAAGGAGCAAAAGAAACAGTAAAATACTTATAACTGGCTATTGACAAAAGCCATTCTATTGGCAGGAGCTCTGCACCTGGTATCCTAATAGTCACACATGACACAAGTGTTTATTGGGGTGTTCTGAATAACCATTCTCCACTTAAACTCGTAGGCTTGCTATCATTTTGTATCTAGCATGCACCTCATCTCAAACAGTTGTGCTTGAATATTTTCTGACTGGCTGCTTACCATGACCAATACCATGGACGATGATGGTGTACAGGCTGTTGTTCACATAAGGGGATTCTTGATCAAACTCTTTTACTACAGTAAGAACTCCAGAATTCTCATCTACACTCAGCCATCCAGCTGGGTCACGGGATAGTTCATATCTTAAAAAGAAAGGAAAAAGTTACAAGGAAGCACATTTCTTTAAGTGAATTTTGAAGAAGAGAACATTTCTGCTGCATCTTTTTTCTTTCAAGCTCTGTAGGTATTTTTGTTAGTGATGCTTACTTTTGCTATCTCTATCACAGGTTGAAGGTTTCTGCATAACCAATAGTTCCCCGTGTGGTACTAATATACCTTGCACAGCCCCAGTCAAATCCATTCTTAGGGGTTCAGAATGTATCTGTTTCCACATCAGATTATTACTCTTAAAGCCAAACTTACCTTAGTCCCTTCTACAGCATCAAAATTTGGTAGTCAAAAGTGACATATAAATAATGCAGCCTGTTTTTAGGCAAAACTGTTCTGAAGACAAGAGAAACATTGAGCAACCAAGGACTGACAAGGCCTATAAATTTCATCTTACAGAACCAGCTATCTGGATCTGCAGCATTATTGGTAGTAAACCTGCACCTCTAATGTGTATCTTTATATAACTGTAAATATGCATGTGTATGTATATATACACATTTGAATATATACTATATAAAACTCAAAAAAAAAACCAAACACTTTATATTCTTAAACTATTTCTTATTCTGAGAGATGAAAGCATGTCCACTTACCTAATCTTATTTGGCCCACCATCTGGATATGTAGCAAGGTACTTTCTAAACATTCTTCCAGGCTTCATCTCATCTTCTTTTTGGACAACAAGTATAGGAGGATGAAACTGAGGAACATTTTGCAACTCTGTAACCTTGATATTCACAGTTGTGTTCATGGGTTCTAGGCTTGAGGTCATCACAATGCCATTTTCACATGAGAAGAAAGGTTCTTCATTTGCTACAGAAATTATGAGTCTCTTCTCAGAGTCATCTTTATAGCTGAGAGGCTGAAAACCCCAGACAAGAGTCGCATTAGCAATTATGATCTTTGATATGGCAGTCATATTTTTTCATACTTCTGTATGCCAGGGACTGAGAGGGCAGCCGTGAAACAGTTAAGATGCTAAGCTATTATTCTTATAGTCAGACTGACCATGTAACACATTGCCATGTTGTAGTTCATCTATTACAGTTCCTCCGGTCTGCTCAATAAATATTACCTTGATAACACTCAAAATGCCTTCATTTGTGTCTGGGTCAGTCTCAATGGTGAATTGTTCCTTCTCATTGCCTTTTATTATTGTGTATTTGGCTCTCCAAGCTGGAGTGTAAGGCGAATCTTCATCTTCCACTTGTAGCCATAATGCAGCTGAGTGTTCTCGGCCTTCTGAAATCTGTAGCTGGTACTGGGAGCAGAAAGGAAAGAAATAAAGATTATTTCCATTTCCAAGATGAGAAGTCTGTTAGCTCATTCTGAGACACAGTTCCAATACCCAGACCATGTGGAGCTACTTTATAATCTTTATGAAGATTTATGAAGATTTATGAAGAATGCATTGTAATCTGGACCTTAGCTTCTCAGATATATTAGAATAAGCTAGTCTGTCACCATTGCTATGCTGTGAGAAAAAAAAAAAACTTCTAGTGCTGTACATAGAAATCTAACCAAGTTTATCACAGTCAGTAGTCAAGTGCTCTCTTACCATCCACATTTTAAAGAGGTATTTCTTCTAGCACTATACCATTATATAAAGTACATTTGCAAGTGCTTTAGCCTGATCCTGTAAAGGGTCTGAGGGTTCCTATTTCTACTGCATAGTGCCTTAAGCACTCCACTTGAAGGACTGAACTGTATTTAGGAAGGCTAAATAAAGTAATAATGTTTTTCCTTACATTATCCCTAGTAAATACAGGGGGGTGGTTGTTTGCATCTTCAATAGCTACATTCACTGTTGCAGTAGATGACAGCTGAGGAGTTCCTTGGTCATAGGCTTTCACCAGAAGTTTGAAAGTGCTGGCAGTCTGAAAAACAGAAGGAATTTCCAACCTCAGGTCAGAAGCAGTTCACACCTTTTACCAGTCATAGCTACAAAGCTGGATGTGAAACTGCCCCTCTCCTCGTACCCAGTTAATATGTAGTTAATATTGATTAGGCATTAAATTACAAGAAGCTGCCATATGTACATCACCTTATAATTCAGGCATCCAGACAGATGTATTGTTCCTGTGGTAGGATCAATATCAAATGGGAATCCATCTAGAAGGGGTATTTGCGTACTTAGAGAATAGGACACGTGAGAATTAGCAGTGCCACTTTCATCTTTGTCCAAGGCAGTAACTTGGAAAACCGGGTCATCTGGAATGAAGAATCGAGACATTAATACAAGTGCCTAGTCTTGACATGGAGTTTCTCAGGCCTATCTACACGCTCTTGGACACACAGGTCCTAAGAGCAACTGCAGCTTCTCCTGTGGCTATGGTTATACCCAGAAAGACCCAACTCCACCTCATTTGGGTGGTAAATCTGCCCACAGTATCAATGGACAATAGAAAGGGTTATCGCACTCCTGAATTACTTTGTCAAAAATATTCAGTAGTATTCATGACAGTTCTTGGCCAGCTCCAGAGGAGATAGCACCATGCCCATGTGTCTACATGTCTGTTCTTTGTGAACACAAACAGAGATTAAGTCTTTGTCTGAGCATTTTTCTGTGACACGGTGTGCACACACAGGTTTCAGATCCGTGGTTCAGATCGGTCTCCTCTCTCCTCGGCTTACAGTTATGAGCAATTTTCACAGCAGTTTTTCCAGAATGTCTCTGACATTATGTTAATGTACAATCAGACAAGTCAAGCAGGAGGAAGTAGCCCTTCACATGAAATAAGTACTCATAATTTTAGGGACTAAGTAAAACCTATGGAGAAGAATGGATTTGGTAAGTAAAAGAAGGACAAAGGAATTAAGAAAGCATTCATACACAAACCAGTAGTATCCATTGTTTGGGTGGCACTTACCTTCACTGTGGTTCTCCCTTATTGAAATGCTGAATTCCTCTTCGGGAAACTCAGGTGCGTTATCATTAACATCTTTTACTTTAATCTTGAAATATAAAGGGCGGTCCAGTGGCTGACCAGTTTCTCTGTGCACAATATCGAAACGTATCTAAATAAACAGTGACACAGTAGCTCATTTAGATATCAGAATAGAACAAGAAACTTTGAATTTTGAAACATCATCAGTCATATTTAGCTAGCATTTGGCTTTGCATTGTTAAGACGTTTATTCATTTTTCAAAGGTAGTAGATGCATAATGGTCATCCATCACCTTAAACAATACTTTAAAAAAATCAGTTAAAAAAATCTGGATCTGCATTGTTTGAAATAACTGCTTAATGTAAAATATGTAAATACCCTTGAGGCCAAACACAAGAATTTCAAAGCTGCTTCCCAACTCTGAAGTATTTAATTGAGAGGTATACTCAGTTTTCTCTAGCTGCATTTCAGTTATAAGTTCTGAAGTCCCCTTTGCTACACTTATTTCTGCTTTAAAACCAAGCAAAAAATGTCCTGGACCAACCAGATGTCCAGTGAGGGGGAATAAAAGGCTCTCCAAAAGTTGTCTTTTCAGTGTGGAAGTCAGGACTTTGCACTGAGAACAAGGAACTTTAACTATGAAGTGGGTACAATTAATCCACAGAGATGCTTGTATAAATCATCATAGAATAAACAAAAGGAGACCATAACCAATTTTTTTTTCCAAGAAGAAAACAAACCCACACTCACATATTTCGTTCATACACTTATCACATTTCTTTTGTCACACTTACTGCTTATGAACACTTTCCTGCTTTTTAAGTAGGAACATATGCGTACCCATGTAAAGTTACTGTAATAGGACTTGGCAGCTACTTCCTTTTGTAATGCTTAACTTTTTAGTTCCATTATCTTGATTAGGAGTTTGGGGGTTTAAAAAACAGCTGTAACACACTTTGAATTTCAGGACAAACTTTTCATTTGTAGGATATAGCCAAGGTCAAGTAAGAAAAATGATAGAACAGAAGTATACTGATACTTGAAATCCAAACATGTCACAACAGTAGTACGGTGGAAGTTCCCTATAGGTCTCTGCTGAGACAACTATCTTTGCAGGTTTCAAATAAGAAAATACACCCTTAAAATTCTTATTGGTCTGCCTCATTTCTGTGAAGCATTTGGCCATGAGAAAGCAGTTAATATTTGCAAAGAGTTTTAGGTATTCTTTAAAGTGTATTACCTGAAAAGATGGAGTCTTTTCTCTGTCAATGGTACGATGTACATACACATGCCCGTTTTCATCATCTTCTATAGAAAACAATCCAATCTCTGGAGATTCATCTACCCCAGGTCCACTAATTAAATATTTTACTGATGTATTAAATGACCTGTTATTGAACAGCTTTTGAAAAGAGAAACAGCACAACACGGTGTGAATAGGGAAGACAGAACAGAAGTAAAAAAGCTTTAGACCAACTATCTTCCTGCCCACTTTGTCTTTGCAGATGAGGCCATTATGTAGGCTTGTTCTCAGCCAACTCAACAGTTTTCTGGGTTGCAGCATCACTACTCTCTGCACAATGTGCAGGTACACAGCTCTGTACAATGACTCATACCTCTCCCACCCTATAGTCTCTTCTTTCCGCTGAGTATTCCTAGAGCCTCCCATAAAAAGAAGCAATCTCTCTTCTACACCAGACAATCCTACCCACTACTCTGTTTAAATAAGCCAATTCTGAACAAAGGTTTTGTTGTTGTTGTTGTTTTGTTTTGTTTTGTTTTAAAAAATAAAGCTGTTAAATACACAGTTCTTACCCTCTCCTGCTTTTGGTATTTTATAGAAAAATCCGTGTTGGTGAGTACCTTACTGTGAGGTTCAAGGTAAACTTTTACTAAAAGATTGGTTGTACCTGTCCAGCATATTTTGGGAATGGTCCTTCCTCCTCCTCTGTAACATCAATGGTGGTGATAACCCATGTCCTTTTTGTACGTCGTAAAGGACGTAGACTGTCTAATTGATAAGAATCTATCAGCTGTTGGATAAATAAGTGTATTTAGTGTCATAGTTTACATACTAACAGTTTTGTATCTGTTATTAAATAATATTGACTACAAACCTGAGTATTCTTCTTTTGGACAGCTCGTCTTAAACTGAAATTTTCAACGTCATGAGAAAAACTGTTGGTGGCAGTAACCTTATTAAAAAGAGAGGTCATTGTGAGAAGTATGGTTAGCTAGAAACCATTGTTATGTTGTCTAGGAGGACTTGTGCTTCACAGAAACAGATTGATTTGGTTTTGACAGCATTGTATTAAGTTGTAGCTGAATCTAGAAACCTGTAGAAATTCTACAAATATAGTCCATCTCATTCCAAATCAATTGGCTTTAGAGCTTGAAACTAATTTCTCCGGTCAGGTGGTGCTGGTTCCAGAAATACACAAACACTGCATCTAACACCATGGTACTATCTCTATGGATTTTCTTAAATCAAGTATCTCAGTTTTCAAAATATTCACCTCTGTCTCTGTCTGTCTTGCACTCCTTTAGACGTCTGGTATCCACTCAACATAAACCTATTAGTGGTGAAAGTTAAGCCTGGGGAGTATTTCAGGTTCTCAAAGACTGTTATGTTACTCTAAGTGTCCCAAACATAGCTGATCTACCAGAAGATGAACACTGGACAAAGTCTCCAATCCAGGTGAGAGAAATAAATTGAGAATGGGGACTATACCCTAATTGGCTGAATTTGCCTTTTTCTAAGCTCAAGCTTCCTGCACAGGCTTCAAACACCTGCACAGGCTTCAAACACTGCTTTCTGTTTAAAATTTCCACCACAAGGGAGTATGACAGTACTCAACTTACACTGTCATCATTAGCGCACAGGTAACTTGTATACCTTCCTTTCAGCTCTTGCTGCTTTTACAGGAAAGCTTGTTTGGATTTTTTTACGACCCATCAGATGACTCCAGCACCATATAAGATAGGAAACCAAGCTCTTACTGGCTCAACTCAGGCAAAGGTCAGGCCTTTACCTCCTGACCTGTTTCTGAAAAAACAATATACTGATAAGGTCATCATGGTTACTAACTTGCCAAGCAATGAGGTTTCACAAGTGAAGCCTTTGAGCTATTCTATAAAACTGTTGTATGAGCTGGAGAAAACCTCCGTGGTGTGGAAACAGCAAGCAAGGCTTTAACCTGGCTCTTGCAGAGCACATTCATTAGCTTGGGGGCAGGTTCCCATCTGCCAGACTCAGTTAATTTGGTCTGTACTAGACCCCCCAGCCAACCTGCTTTCCTATTTGTCTATGTGTAGCTACTGTTAATTATATTGGAGCTCAGTTGTGTATTTTATGGCTTCCACACTCTTTCACACACACCTGTTGTACAGCAATGGCTCTGGCCAGATGTGGAGTTGCTGCCAGAAATACAAATCAAGTTCAGGCCCACAAACCCCCCAGAAACACTTATGGAAATGCCACAAAATTACTGCAAGGGATCGTAAACCCAGCAGGATCAACACCAGGCACCCGCACGCTGTGCCAGGCATGGAAGGCCCCTATATCCTTACCAGGAGGACTGAAAGCTGGAGCCCTGAGCCCGAGTCTAGGGTCAAGGCAGCATCATCTCCTCCCTGGGGGCACTGCAGCAGGGCCCAGCATGGCAGAGGGACCCCCAGTACCCCAGGGGCAGCACAGCACCCTCGTCCCCATGCAGCACCTACCTGCAGGAGAAGCAGCACAGCGAGGAGATCCATGGGGCACGCAGTGGGACAGAGGGAGCAGCACGTTCCCGTGGCTCTGCCAGCCCAGCCCAGGCGTGACAGGAGTCGGTGGGCCCACTCTGGTCCTCAGGCACACCTGGTGAGCTCCGGCTCAGTGCTGGAGCATAACCCACAGCCGGGCTTCCCGGCAGGTGCTGACTGCACCCTGTTGATGGGCTCCCCAACTTCCGTCAGGTTTGGTGCCCCCAGACGCTGTTTCCTACCTCAGACTGCACCTTGTTGGTACAGGAAAAGCCTGTTGTTTAGGAATGTCCTCAGAGCAGCTGTTCTCGGAAGAACAGAGCGAGTTTCCCCAAAAAGCTCTCTGAAATTCGGGGATGAGAAGGCAGCGCAATGAATCCCAGCTTGTGTTCTGCCCAGCTGAGCGCGAGCACGCAAGGCTGCTTGGTTCTTTGACGTGCCAGGCTAGAGGGCATAAACCAGGCAGTTGGCACGCTGCAGTGGAGTTATTCCTTCCTAGGAAGTTCATTACAGTGACTTATTACAGGGAAATTAAAAAGAAACCAAAACACTGAATACCTGTGGTGGCTTTATTGACAATCATATAGCTTGTGTTGATAATTACTTGGAATCATAATTTCCTAGTAACTTCACTGTTTGCAAAAGTCCAAGCATGTGACTGTAATGGGAGCATGCTATTACCTACACTTGCGATAGTTCAGAACCCCAAGTTATGTTTATCTGCCATGCTTAGGAGTGCTATTGTATTACTTCAGACTTTGAACCTTGAAAGCTGATACAACTATTACTGTCTTGTTAAACTCAAAAGCCATTAAGCAAGTTTGAACTTGCATGCCTGAAGCTGACTTCACACCCAGCTTACAAAAATACATTTTAAATAAAACTACATAAAGAAGCAGGAAAGGAAAAATAAAGTCTTGTAAAACCATGTAAAAAAAAGACTGAGTGGCAGACAGTATGGGAAAGGTCCTGGCTCCTACGAATATAATAGGTACTTTCCATTCTACATCAGCATTGTTTTTACTGGGGACTTCTTTGGAACTGGAAAATTTAAGGTTGCAAAAGTTGTGAAAGGAAGACTTACAGAAGAACTCATCTTCTGCTAGGAGAAGAAAAGCAATAGATCTTGTCAATTAGGCCACAATATTTTAAGTTGAAAAGTGAAAGTGAAATTTACTGTTAATAGGATAAAAAGTAAGGCTTAAATAGCAGCACAGGATAGGAGGATTTAGACATTAAGAAACCCTCCATAGCAAGAATGTTGAAACACTGGAGAAGGTCCACACCTCAACAGCACTTGCAACACAAGAATGTGGCTGAGACCCCACCTGTGCAAGCATCTACCTACATGTGTTTGCTGTGCACTGGATCATGATCTAAGTGTCCTAGAGATTAGAACAGAGAATGTGAAGCACTTTGATCGCTGCATTAAAAAAAAGAGTATGATGAATTATGAAAATTGAGTATGATATTTAAGGCTAAAATGATGCCTTAACACAGCCATTACAGAAGTGACTGCCACGTGGAGCAGAAATAATCATGTATCTTTTAGCCAGGTAGCTTGGCCATCAGCAGCAATACAGCTGAGATATCACTAAGCTAAGAGCCTTTGCCGTAGTAATGTTTTAAAAGAAAATTCAAAAGTGCCATCTTGTGGATGATGAAAAGAATACAACTAAAAAACAAGTAAGCAGCATCTCACTTTTAATATAATAAATACACAGTAACTTTGAATTACAAGATCACTTTCCAATGAAATTACCAGCAAAAATATCCACAGAATCTTCAAATAAATAAGAACAAATGATTGCCAACATCAAAAGCTGGGCTCCAGACAGTGGCCTGTTTAATTATTTTTTTTATGAGAAATTATTTTTTCATTAAGAACAACAGTTGTTCAAAGTTGGTATATATATTGGTATAACTGAAGTAGGATCTGGCTATTTAAAATGCAACCTGAGTGTATCAGTTTTGTAGGTAGTACTACAGAACGCTATTAATTACATAGAAAAAAAATCATTCCATTTAAATAGCTCAAATTACAGTAAACTTGCTCTTCAGCATCTTCAGTGCTACACTTAGATACATGTGAATATAGGATAATATTGCTATATAGAGTGAAAAAATATAAATAACCACATAAATAAACTGTGCTGTGGAATTATTTAAATTCTGAATGTAATGTACTTGATGGAATAAACTTTTCTGTTATATTCAGAAGTGTTTTTAAAGAAAATACCCATCAATAGAAAATGAAGGGAAGATAAACCATAGTCCTCTTCATAAAAGCAGCTCTTTTCATCTATAGGCCCAGAACACAGACAAGTAAAATAGGAGCAAAACTGCTTCCAGATAAAATCCAACACTTGCAGGTCTGCTCACAGTAAGAACAGTTTTTGAAAAAAAGCAATTTTGAAAGTATCAAATGAACGAACAAAAATTAGAATCAGAATCGTGTGATTATCATGTGAGACAAACTTACTTGTCCTGATCACAGCCAGAGCTTAGTGATGAACAAGTATTCAGACTTGTTTTCAGTGCCATCACCATCTCTGCCCATTAAACTTCTTAAAAAGTCTCCAACAACAGATTAAAGTGCATTAGACCACAAGTGCTACATTAAAACAATACTTACTAATTCCTGGGTCTGTGAGAAAAAAAATTCTCAGTGCCAATCGCCTTTGCTCTAGTCAAAGCTGACTGAAACACCATTTATTTATTTATTCTTTAAGAGGTGATCATGCAAAATGCGTATGTCTACATGCTCTCCATGTAATCTAGGAAAGCACCAATATAAAGCCGCATTTCAGATAAAAATTTAGCATACACTAATATTCAGTGTCATAATAACATGCTGAATTATTTACTGCATCTAAGAGAATTTGTTTTTAAAAACTGCCATTCTGATTATTGACTTGATCCTGCTCACCTTGCTTTTGGTGCTTATAGTAGTGTGCCAAAACAGGGTACTAAAATCATGCACTAGAACAGCGCTTATTATATAGTAAGAGCAGTCTTACTTTCACTACTCTTAATGTGAATCAGTAAAACTTGACTAATGAAGGCTTGGAGAATTTGGCCAAAGCCTGAAATTCCAGCAGTGGATGCAAGATCCTTTCATCTAAAAAAGCTGAAATACACAATGAGTCTGGAACAAAACAAAAGGATGAAATGTGCCAGTGCTGTGCAGTTGCTGGTATTTGAATGCCATCCTGTAAGTTTCATCACACCTGCAACACAGCCAATTTATTTGATCGTTGAGCATGTCAGATTAAGTTCCACTTTAATTGCATAGAGCACAACATACAAGCAACTACAATTTATTTTAACTGTATCCTAACAAATACTGAATATGGAAATATACTGTACATTAAATTTGTTTCCTTTATCAATTTAAAATTTCACATTTGGTCTCCAGTAGACTAGGAAAAAGCCACTAAAAATATTTCTCACACTATTCCTGAGCATTGTTTTTATGTACTGTAAAATAATCTAGTTTATTACTATATTTATTAATGTTCTCTCATTTTAAACTATATATAAATCCATGCATTGAAATTTTACAAAGCTGAAGATCTGGTAGGCACAATGAATGAATAGAAACAGCTAAGCATCTTAAAACCAAGATGAGATCAACCAGAGAAGTGCAATTCAACTATGTACATAAATATATTCTTTAGCATTTGCTACTTTTTCATTTGATATCAAAATGGGAAGGATCCACTTGTAAAATTTGGTCCATCAGACCTCAGCTCACTTCTCATAAACAGTTCGCTGTGACAGGTGGCTGAGGATGAAGCTAATTGTGGTCAGGAAGTATTTCATTTTAAAATGAAAGTTCAAAACATTTTCTAGAACTTCGTTTTAACAGGATTGTGTCCCCAGATAACAGCTGAACTGACACTTGAATATCCACTGACTTATTTTTCACATTCTCTTGTATCTCACAGACACAATTCAAAATAGAGTCCAAGGACAGGACACTGCATTAAAAAATTGTACAATTTCTTTCTGTAGGGTATTTCCCCATGCCACATCACTAAACCCTGAAATAAGCCAAGCTAAGTGAAGTAGACTGGACCATGGAATTGTCATCTCAGTAACTGAAAATAGATATCTTTTGTATCAAAATATATCTTTAACAGACCTTAAAATAGCTTTCAAATTCATCCCGTAAGAGTCTATTTTCTATGTTTTGAGAGTTTATGAGTTCCGGACATTAGACGACAGAATATTTAGTAATATTATCATTTTGCATTAGTTATTGATATCCATGTGCGGTTTGAAATTTGGTCTTTTTTTCTAAATGACAAAAAGCATCAAGGTTTACAAAATTAACTTGAAGGAATACTGTATATAAATACAGCGAAGGTTTCTGGGTATAAAAATATGCATTCCTTATTCTTAATCTGCCACTACAGAAGCTGTCTGCTCCCTAGTAATTGTTTGTCTTTAAAATAATCCTTTCTGCATTAAAATATTTCAATACTTTATTTCCATTCTTCTTCCTAGCAAAAAATAAATAAAAATCAAACACATCAAAAAACTCAATTTATCATCTTCTATGAAGAATTAGAGTTTGACTTTGTATAGATAGGTTACTCCATTATTTTATAAAAACAATTGAGCCCTTTTTCCATCAGAAAACAGAACACCATCAAACCTGTCTCAAAATAGCACACCTGTTACAGAAAAAGAGCGCAGCTCTTATTCTCTCAAATACACCAAGGTAAGCAGAGGAAACACAATGGATTTCAATGGAGTTCAGCTGGTGCAAATAGGACATATTGTACATCTCTAAATTTTCATATTCTGCTAGTGTTATCTTCATTGAGCAATTATAAATACTTTTGAGGAAAGACTGATGGAAGACACACCTTCAGGGAAAAGATTTCCTGATGGCCTTGCTGGCTTAAGATCAAATGTATTGAAAAGAACAGTGCTGACTTAGAACCATGCATTGAGAACATGTCTTTTCAGGATCTTGCGATGAAGAAAACATGACCCTTCTGCATTGGCCAAATGCTTTCTAGCAGTCAAGAAACATCAAAAAAGATGTTGTTTTTAACATTTACATTTTTTCTAACATTTAAAAATCATTCTTCATTTTAATTTGTGCGATGTTTGCTTCGTGCCATTTGTTTTAATTTTCCTGTCCCCTGTTGGTTTTTTAGAAGGAACGTAATTGTTAGCATTGCCATTTTTCTTTGGGTTTGTACATGCATATGTTTTTACGCCTTTCATGGGAGCAGCTGAACCATGGTATACTGATGCTTGCTTAGGGGGTCTGATGTTACCAACATTTTGAATTTTAGATTTGTTCTCAGGTGGCTGAATATTGAGAAGCTGTTGCTTTGCAGTTGTTTTTTTCAGTTCACTTCTTACTTCACCAGATTGTCTCTGAGAAGACATTGCATATCCTATTCTCTCAGATAGTTTCAAGTGACCTGGATGTGAACAGAACTGTCGACTTTCTTCACAGTATAAATCTCCCCTGTGACCTGAATAGCATGCAGGGAGCTTTGTAACACTTTCCTGGGGAGCCAATTGCTTGCTAGGCAATGGGCTGAACAATGCTTTGCATTTGCCAGGGCTTTTTAGGGTACGTATGGCACTGGGAGCAGTCTGTGGTCTGGCTTTGGCTGCCTTTACCTTCTCGTTCTGTACAGTCTGCATTTGCAGCCATTCCAGCTGCAGAAGGCGATCAATGTATTTCTCCAGAAATCCTGTTGGCTTTGGTCGAAATTCAGATTTACCCTCTACATTAACAAAGATGGCCAGTTGCTTCAAGTCCCATGAGTTGAAAGGGGGTGGCAGGAAGTCTGGGTAGTAATATTCTGATTCTTTAAAACCTGTATTAGGTACATGCTCCAAACAACCTGGATCAATTTCCTCAGCTCGGAGTATGAGTTCTGGTGGTGTGCAGGGAGATGGAGGAATGGGAATCCTTTCTGAATCAGAGAGATCACTGGCACTATCATCTTCAGCATCTTCTTTAATAATTTGTACCGATTGAAAATCAAGAAACATTTCACCTGCAGATGCTCCTTGCCATTTAGAGGAGCATGGACCAGCTTCAGCAACATATTCTTCACGATTCTTTTCAAATTTTTCTTTTTTACTGCAATAAAAATGTTGTACTGGCACGTCTTTAACCTTACAGAAGCTACCTTGTGTGCTGCCTTTTATGGCAGGAGGGATCCTGTGCACTAAAGATTCACTTTGCCTTGCTTCTGGGAGACTCTTCTTTGATCCTTGTACTCTAGGAAGTGATGTACAAACACTCGTGATCCTTAAAAAAACAAAGATCATATCCTGTTAGAATGATTGATGTATTTGGAACAACAGGTTACAAAGTTCTTGCCACCTCCTTCAAGGACCTAGACCTACACAAATTAAACTACAAATGGCATGGAAATTTAGTAATAAGGCAAAATTAATATTTGACGGCAGAAAGAATGCTACCTACTACTATTTTTTTATTGTTTTATTTTATTCTGAATTTGCCTGAGAACCTATTAAGGCAGTATAGTTAAGTTTCCATATTGACTACGTACGTTCATTATCCACAGAAATTCTGAATTCTGAGTCTAGGTAAGTTAAAGGCAACAAAATGAAGCCATGATTTTATCACAAGCATTTAAATACCTGCTTGATTAAATTAAACAGATGATCTTAGCACAGAATTACCGTTTTGACTGAGCATTGTCATCCAGTTGATTTCTTCCCTTCCTAAAAGTACTTGGTTGGTTGCCATATTGAGTATCGTGGGAAGTCTGAAAAGATATGAAAATATGTGATGTTACTATAAAAGCTGACATAAACTAGGTACCCTTTTTCTATAAACAAAGAACTGGTTTGATTTACCTTTTCACTGGCACTTGATACATTTTTCCCTAATGTTCCAGGAGTCAGTTTCACATGAGAAACTGGTTTCTTTAGTCCTTTGGTGTTTGGATGGCTTTTTCCATTACTGTAAATAGCAAGGATTAAACTGAGTATGACACACAAATAGCAACCTATCATCATCAGAATATAAATACAATAAAAGTTTACAGTACCATTAAGTTTTAGAGAGCTGATTGCAACTATTCTGAATATTCACTGGAACTATGCTATGCTAACTTTTTGATTTTTATAGTATTACTATACTACTATACTTTTTACACTATTATAGCAAAATGCATAATTGAATGATACGATAACAGAACTTAGCCCTTATATAAAGCCTTCTATAAGAGGATCCCAAAGTTACTTTAGGGATAATAAATAGTAAATATTAGAGATTGTGTATTTAATTACTACTGTATATAATAGCTGGTACTGATGGTCCTAATGCACTTTACCAAACTAATTATAAAGTACAATATGAAGGCCACCACAACCAAATCTTGCTTGCCTTTCTCATTTGCATAGTCTTAAAATTTAAAGGATTATTCCTATGATGTTAATGAGTGGAAGTGGGCAGGGAGCATACAGTCTATTATGATATTACTACAAACTAATTCACAACAGCGGCACAAAAAGATTCATCAGTTTGTTTTATACTGGAGTTGTACAAATATTAGTAGGAAAAAAATGCAAGCAAAAGAAATGGCATTACCAATCTGGACAGCTTAAAACTAACATATGTATTTTACTTCAAATCAGATATATCAGTGTAGTAGGCACACAGCATCATTATATCAGTGTGTTGTTTAAGAACCAGAAAACAGTGTTTGTTCTACAAACAAGAAACATTACTAATTTTACAAAAGAAAGTTTTAAAATGTCATCTTAGAACAGGAATAGGAAAATTATACTCCCCCATCTGATTTAGATTGACCAGTTTATTTAATGTCAGGCAAGACATCTTGTTCACAGTTTTTAAGTCAGTATAGTTGTATTTTCGTTTTGTTCAAAAACACAAAACAAAACAAAACAACAACAACAAAAAAAAAACTTTAATTCATCAATTCAAGAGCTTGTAGCAGAATGAAAATGAGTCTGGTGCCTCCAGTGACACAGTCACCTCTGTCATTTTGTGACCTGCATGGTCCTACTGCATGATCTTTTGTGGTGGTGTGGATCAGAGAGGGAGATGAGAATCTCAACAGTACAGTCATGCGCTTATTAACTCTTCTACAGTACTTAGAGATTTCTATAACTAGAAAGAGAGAAAATAATTTCCTTACTTTACCATTCCTTTGTGGTTTTCATTGATTTGGATTTCCTTTTTCTGTGTCTTTCTGTGCAGTAATAAAGGATGTTCTTGAATGCCTGGTCCCATTATTACTCTTTTAAAATGGTATCTGCACCCTTATTTGTACATAATCTTCAAATGACTCCAGTCTTAGGTCCATACGACACAGTTTATCAGATGTAACCACCACCATGTCCTAGAAATGCGATAAACAAACACATGCAATTCCTCCCAATGTGATTTATTTTTAAAGCTGTACAACAATCAATAAGCAGATACCAAATGGCACTGGAAAGCACCATCCCCTCCCTGGGTGCTTGCATATTATTCCCGCATTATTCCTCTTCCTAGTGTTGATCCGTGCCCCGCAGTCATCCCCCTGGGTACCAAGAGGCGAGCAGAGCCAGGAAGCAGCACCCGGGAGCAGGTTGCCCATTAACACTGCAATGCAATGCACTGGTAACACTGTAATGCTGGGGGGCACGGCCAGCCAGAATTGACACACACTTTGCTGCTGCAGCCACCAGCCCAGTGCTGTCACCCCACAGCTTCTGCAGTCAGTACCGAGGGGATGCCTGGCCAGCCACGCCGTGTTCAAGCCTGTCCTGGGAAGGTGGTTTGTAAAGATACAGACAAATATTTTGAAGTACAGCGGCATTAGGAGAGCTGCATTTCATACCACAGCATGCTCTTCGTTTTGTTCTTCCTGCAGGGCCTTATGCGTGCTGACTGCAGCCAAGTACCAGCCAAATGGTGGTGGGTGTCGCTGCTCTCCATATAACACGAACAGCTGATCAGCCTCCCGCATCCTGTGTGTGCGGAGTTGTCCTTTTCTGAGCCAGGAAACGCGCTCATGGTACGTTTATATACGTGAATTTTGTATCAAATGCTTAGTATTTTCCTTATTCAAAAGCACATCTCCCAGCACTCATAAACTGCTACCAAAAATGCTCCCAGCAGCGTATGCAGGGATCCTTTCTCTTCCAGAAACCGCAGTTCCCTCCCAGGGCTGCACAGACACAGATTTCGGAAGGGGAACAGCTGACTTGCACCAAAATACCTCTCCTCACCCACCCACAGCTTGGCTGCGCTGCGCTTTGTGCTTATATGTATTCGATGTGTATGTATGGGGTTTGTTTTTATATGGCTTGTGTTTATAGGATTTATGTTTATATGAACTCGATGCAGATGTACGTGATGTAGATGTACACGCTGTATTTGTACACGATGCAGATGTACACGATGTGGATGTACACGGTCTGTGTGCGTTACCTCACCCACCGCCGCTCCGTCACCCCCCGTCCCTGCTCTCCCTCCCGGCCGCCGGTCTCAGCGGCTCCCTCCCGCACCCCGCAGCGCTCCGCGCCCCAACACCGCCCTCCCGTGGCCCCGATCCCCACCGACGGCCCCATATAACGGCTGCTGCCCACAGCCCCGCTCCGCCCCGGGCACTGCCCGCAGCCCCAGCACGGCCAGGAGCGGCCGGGCCCTGACGAACCGCCCTCCCCTCACCCCCCCCCTCCCTTCCCCTGCCCGCCCCGTCCCGGTACCTGCCGCGGCCCCGCCATCCCCCGGCGGCTGCGGGCGGGCACTGCGCGTGCGCGGGGCGGCCATGGGCGGGGCGGGGCGGGGCGGGAGGGGCAGGGCCGGGGGCTCCGCGCAGGCGGCCCCGGGAGGGCGGGGCCGGGCCGGGGAACCGGGAACTGGGAACCGGCCCCGGGCCCCGGCACCGCCGGTGGGGGCTGCGGGGCCCCCGAGACGGGCTAAGCGGGACCCCCAGGGCTCCTGCCGGCCTGAAGAGCCGCTCCGCCAGCCCCGAGCGTAGCGGCCGCAGGGCCCGGGTCTTCCCCGTGAGGCGCCAGCCCCTGGTTTGCTTCCAGCGGCTGAGACGGGTTCCAGGTCTCTGCCCTCGCCGCCTGGCTGTTACCACAGGGTGCGTGCTCCGGGGAGGCAGCGCTCGGTGCTGATACCATCAGCTCAGGATGGAGGTGCGAGGCCCTCGGAGGAACCCCAGCTACCTGTCCGATCTCTACCAGAACATGCTGCGGGCGGAGGGAGCAGCGGCACGAGGGCAGCAGCAGCAGGTACCAGCAGCACGTACCAGCAGCAGCACGTCTGTGCTGAGCAGTGCCTCAGCCAAGGGGGGACCTCAGACAAACCAGCTTAAGAGCAGCACTTCCAGCACCTGCGACCCAGCGTTACGGCCCATCATACGCCGCCGGGCGAGATCGTTGCCTACAACACCTGAAAGGAGGAAGCGAGCAGCGGTGCAATGCCAAGTTCCCAGGTGCCAGAGCCGTATGAACAGGGTGAGGTTTGCTGATGCTCTGGGCTTGGAGCTCACCGAAGTGAAAGTCTTCCAGACTGGGGAGGATCCATCCATCCCCTTGCATGTCCTTTCCAGGCTGTCCATAAACTCAGACCTCTGGTACAGCAGCTTGGACTTGGAGTTCACCATGCAGTGCTTAGTCCCTGACTTCCAGCAGCCTGCAGACTGCATGGATTTCTCTGCCCGACTTCAGGAGCAGCAGGTGTGTCTTGAACGAGTGACCAGTTCAGATCTGGGGCTCAGCGGCACCATCCAAGTTTGCAATGTTGCTTTTGAGAAGCAGGTGTCTGTGCGGTACACCTTCAACCAGTGGAAGAGCCTCCATGAAGTGGCTGCTCATTGGCACAGTAGCATCCCTGAGAAAAATGGGCAGGGTCAGGTTGATGTTTTCACATTCTTTCTCCCCGTGCCTCCTTTCCTCCTCCAGCTGTCTTCAGTAGTCCAGTTTGCAGCAAGGTATCAAGTCAACGGGCAGGAGTATTGGGATAACAACAGGGGCAAAAACTACAGTCTGACTTGCCGGACTCACCCCCTCAAGATGCCTAGAGAATGTGAGGAGAGCTGGATCCACTTCATCTGAATGAAAGGAAGTGGCTGCGGAGCAGCTTTGCGAGTTTCAGTGGCCCTCTCTGTGCTCCTGTGGCAACAGTCCCCTCTTTGAAACCTACTGAACGTGGTGGCAGTGTTTCAGGACAGGCAGGTAGCCAACAACCTGTACAAACTGTTCTAAACCTCTCAGAGAGTATAAAGGGCCAAAATGTGTAGAGTTACATCTGCTGAAAGCCTGTGTGATCTCTTGTGTGTGAACCAATGCAATTCAAAGGGATGCTGCCAGGATATTTTGCAGAGATCAAAACAGGACACTTCATGTTGCTAGTCATATTCTAGATTTCATAGAATATTTCTAACAGATCTGTTTTACTATTTTGTACTGTTTTTTTAAGTGGTCAGTGTGGCTTTACTCAGTTTTTGTTTCTAATTCTGTTTGTATTATCTCACCAAGTCTGGCATTGTTCCAGTTATGCATAATTTGCATGGCAGACACTGTAGGGAAGTACTTGTATTTATATACTTTATTTTTAATTAAGACTGTTAACCATGTTAAATAATTCCATTAGTTTTGGGGTTCAGAATTAACAAAATGAGCAAAACCTACAGGAAAATGTCCAATCAGCCCATTTTTTTGTTTGTTTGGTTGTGTTTTTTTTAGGAAAAAAAAGAAGTGCCTTTTCTTATCTCCCCTGTTGCGATTGTTACCGGAGTGTATGAAGGCAGGTCTTCCTGAGGAAGTTCTTGTCTTTTCCACATGACATACCAGTAGGTTTCTCCTCCAGGTGGTGGTACAGGAATTGTTCTTCCCTTGTGCAACCGTTCTTACTAAGGGAAACTAGAGGGATTTTGCACTCGTGTTACAATTACACTTGTAGATCTCAAAGCACTGTAAGAATGCTATTGATCTTATACTCAAAATGAAGCAAATATGAAAGGTGAAAGAAAAGCTAATACATGGATCTGTAAGCAGCTCATTGGAACAGTGTGCTGGAATCCCAGCTGGTTGTTCCCCAGCATCCCAATGTCATTGCAGCAGTACTTTCTGAATGCTCTTAGCTACTTCTGGTTATAAACCAGCTGAACTCCAAGACTGCATTCCTTGCAACTCCAAGCAGGAACTCCAAAGTAAAGTGATGTTTTTATTTATCAGTAAAAATGATATTTACATGTGTTCACAGATTCCCTTCTATAGGAGGGAAAGCACAGCAACACTCATGTATCATCTACCCAATAGATGCTTCCTACTCTGCTACTTTTACTGTGAGGAATTAGTGTGTCTTCAGATTGGCAACAGGCTTGGTGACAGACATATCTAGTAAGTAAAAGATTTCCCATTGCTTTTTTGCCTACATATGCAGCACTTCATGCAAAGTTTATGTATACAGCCTAAATTTTCAAAACTGCCTGGCTGGAAGTATTAGAAACGCTGCTTTTCAGAAAAGCTCTGCTATGAAAATCATGTAGTGTATTCAGGCACCTTATTTTAGATTGCTGCTTATTCATCAAAATCACAAGTTATTTTTAAAATCACAGATGTAATCAGCACGCAGCCATATATCAGTCTAGAATGTCCACTGAGTAATTCTGGAACCGTGCAATCCCCAAGAAAACTTTTGTGTCTGGCAGCTTCATGTTGTTACTTCGTTGTGCGACCTATTTAGCAAAACCAGGATTTGAAGTGAACAAGCTGCCCAGTTCCATTATGTCTTTGGCTTTCAAAGGAGCCAGTCGTGACTGATGGTTCTATGAGCTGCTGAGGAGCTCTTTCAGAGTACTGAGAAAACTCAATCCTATTGGAAACCATTGAGAACTGACTGTGTTGGAATGCAGTAGGATAGAACTAACCCTATGCAAATTAACTTGAACTTAGGCATTTTGCATTTTGTTCTTTGTTTTGAATTGCATATTTATAGTTTGTTCCATACCAGCAGTCCAATGTGTACAGCTCTGAAACTGATTTCAAAGCAAAACTGTTGAATTAGAGGTTATTCTCCGTGTTTTAGGGTATTTAGTCAGCCTTCTAGGGTGATTAAACATGCTTCGTTGGCTGTTGTCTTAGTAGGTAAGAGACATATTTTTAAAAAACTAATAGCATTTGCAAGTCGTGTTCATTTTCATTCTCTAATTTGGTACATTCTGGTAGTAATTGCTGTTAATGGAGTGGCAGGTTACATGCAATTTTGATTTCTAAGCTAAGTGAAATGTCCACAGATCATGCATTTGATTTATATAGCTTACATAGGTATTCAGTATAGCAGCAGAAATACAAGATGTACTTTTAATGTCTTGTTTTCAGCAGTACTAAGCACTTGTCAGTACTTGAATTCAGTTGGGGTTGCAAGGGCTTTCCCCTGAGAGTCAAGTTCTAATTATTGCTTTTACAGTAAGTGTCCCTACTTTCAATAACGATGGGTTTTTAACTTGTATCTATAGTGGTCAATTACCAGTGGTTATCTGTGGGTAGGGAACAGTAAAAATCATCATTTCTTTATTAATGTTTTGCATAAAAGAACTTTCATTTTCCTTTTAAGAGAAAATGCATGCCAGTGGTGCTTTAATTTTGTATTGGAGCACTGAGAGGTCAAAAGCTTAAATTGAAATTGATTTGAACAATCAACGCAACTACTCCATTGGGTATTTCATATCCATTAAGGCAGGCAGAACACTTCTGAGATGAGGGTGAGGCTGTACAATGATTGCTAGCTACATGGATTGAAAGAGTACTGCCTGCTTTCATTCCACCTGCATATTTTCTGCATCTGAGTTAGAGTGACCATTAATCTGGCAGCAACTCTTGTGTCGTAGAGAATCAGTACAAGGAACTAGAACTCTGGTCTTCCTCATATGCCACAAAAAAATGAGAGCTCCATGACAAGGGGCACTATTTGATGCCTCCTGTGGTGGGCTTCGTATGACTGAATGGCATACAGCAACACAGGACATAGCGCATCTGAACTAGTCAGCCCGGGCTTTCTGTATAGTCAGTTGGGATGTTGCCTGTAGAGTTAGCAGAGTTGCTGTGGTGTGCCAAACTGCAACAGCCCTGCTGAGCACACAGAGAACACCAGGGGTTGAGTCCTGCCACATGAAATTGTCAGTGTTCGTGCAGATCGTGCCAAATGATGCCAACTGGAGTCTGCAGGTGTCAGGTGAGGTGAAACACGCCTGCAGTGACTGCAGAGGAATCTTTCTTGGCATGACCTGAAATTCTCATCCTTACATTGGTGAAACTTTCTTGCTTAAGTAATTCCATTCAAGTTTATTGAATACTGCTGAAGTCCATAGAAGTGGAGTTCTTACATGTTTGTCAGCTAAGAAGAAACCAAACACGCAGGTACATACAGAAGGGCATGTGCTGAATAAAAGGCACTATTTATTATTCCCCTTCCTCTACTCTGCCTCCACCCCCACCTCCACCCCCCAATTACTGTATTTCTCCCATTAGTAATAAAACTGAATTCTCTCCCAGCAGACAGTTAAATTCCTTCTCTGCTGAGCCTGCTATTTAACAGCAGTTTACAATGGATGTTGCTGAAGCCCAGTGTGACACTTGGCTTACTGGTATTAATATGCTGTTGCCATCTTCTGGGAGAGAATCTTTCATGCTAGCAAATGTCAAAATCTTGGTGTTATTGCAAGCAGGGGGAGATTATGTAAAGCTGAGACTGTCAGTTTAAAGGTTAAAGTCATGTACACCACAGTGTCAGGGAAATGAGAACTGAATATCTCAGCAAAGTGAATTTGGCTTGTATTGTCTTCCTTCTGCAACTTCTCAGGGTATTTGCAAGTGCAAATTTTGAATATTAAAGTATTGTTCCAAGTTGTTTTTTTTTTTTAATCTCTTTGCACGTCTTGCACTGGTGGAGAAGAGCTGACAGCAGCTGTTACTAACTCAGTTGTCTGTCATTACTGGCTGAGTTGAGCAAGCCTAGCTTCTAATGGAACTGAGCATGGTCTTGGGATTAATTCAATATATGAAAAACGTTTTTCTGTAGGGAGCTTGCAAGCTGCTAAATATTCACTCATGAGGACTGAGTCCTGCCACATGACATGAAATTTGCACTCATTTTTTCCTGTCACATTCAGTAGTGTACATCAAAATAAGTCTAGTTGACAAAAAAAAAAAAGGATTAAGCCATTAAATAGTGGTATTATGCACCTACAATGGAAGCAAACTTATGAACTTTCATAAGTTCTCAGGACGACTTGACTGCTTGCACTGTGTTCAAACTGAGCACTTCCCTTATCATGAGGATTTTGTAAAAGTGAATTCTTCCCTAGAGTTATTGTCCTGTAATGCACTTTCAAAAGCCTGTATTTATTATAGTCATACAATAAATGAATGTCCAGCAGTACACAATTTCAAGGTTCTTTCAAGCATGCTTTGTTTTTGAAAACCAAACATGGAATTCATGTAAATGAAAAGGGGTTATTTTTCCTGATGGTCTTGTCCGGAAAAAAAAGTATATTACACAGTATGTCAATAAAGTATACACATTAGACAAAAGGTCATTTTTTTTAAGTGGAAAGTTGTAAAATGGTACAGTGCTTAATTCATATAAAAACAGTAATAGAACTATGGCTATTTTAATACAAGAGATTGTAATAAAAGCTTTTCACAGTTTGTATTGTCTGTCAGTGGTGCTTTTTTTAGCAGTTGCTCTTTGGACAACATAGAGCTGAGTTGTTGTTTACAAAGCAACATAGTTTAGGAAAATAAGGTGGGTTCAAGAACTGCTAAAAATGAAAACCATGTAAAAAAAATACAGTGATTAGTCTATATAGCTTGAAAAATGACTGTGCTGCCACTTCTTACATGCAATTTGCTGCCATTTAACCTTAGATCTGTGCATATGGCACTTGCAGGCTTAAGATCTAATGTTGGAAAAAGGCACGCTGCCACTTATTCTGATAAGTTTATAATATGGACTCAAGGAAAAGAAGAGAGGGGTATTTTTTTCTGATAGCATTTCCCAAAATTGTACTGGACGCCTCTTAATTGATTTTGTGCCTCACAATTGTGTTATTCTTTCTTCCATTTCTTCTTCCAATTTTCAGTGCTACACTTTTTCTCAGCTAAGATGATGTTCTCTTCACTCACTAGTTTCTTGAAAATAGATGTACATAGAGTAAGAGCATCCTTCTTTACAGCACCTGATTTGTCTTCTACATGAAAGCATCTTCCTCAGTGCCAAGCATTTACTTGATATAGTTCAAGTTTGAATTAACTGTTGCCAGGTTTGTTGTAAAGCAAGACACAGGCATTTAATTGGAAGACATAATTAATAAAGACATGTATTACCAGTTACTTTTTAATCAGCAGTAATAAAATTACATTGCCAAAGTTGCTTGGGGGAAGACGTTATTGCAAATTGTATTAAATACATGGAAATGCTTACGTTGTTAAAGAATTTCAGTGCCATGTTTTATTATATAGAGATTGTGTTATAAATAATGCATAGAGATACATAAAGGAGGGTGCTTTTAGAAATACCTGGTATTATATTATCTGATCTTTAATACTTTTTTTTTTTTCCTATGCTGCTGATGTGAATCTGAATTAGCAGTACCACCTTCATTGTTTTCACATTCCCGGCTATAATAGAGTATTAAGCATCACCTGCAAATAAATATGGTATCCACAGTGTAGACTAACCAGAGAGCAGTAAAGGATAGAGATAGCACTCTTTGATTTCAACATATCACTTGAAGAGTGTGAATTTATTTTAGTCTGTGTTTTGCATGTATGATTGCACAATGCCACAGTTCACAAGTACTTAAGATATCTGGATATCCTGCAATATAAATATCAATACTATTTTGTTGAGCTGATTTTTAACACTTTGGCTTTGTTTTTACTCTGAGCACCGTACCACGAGGTTCATCTTACAGGCAGTCAGTGTTATTTTACATTTTAGTCTCAAATGTATTTGAATTTATCTTACAAAATAAATTCCAGCTTCCAGTAGTAGTAATATACAAATAGTCAACTGTAAGTACAGTACTTAAAGCAGTGTATCATCAGTGCTCGGTGCACTCAGTTGCATGCACTTTCTGAAACTGTCTGATAAATCCAGAACAGCAAGTCTGAGCGTGTAGTCATTTGTCACTGGGAGTCTAATGTTAGTACTGACTTAGGATTGACTTCTCTCCCGATTTGGCCTTCTCCCTATGACCTCAGATCTGCAGCTATTTCAGCTGACATTTGATATTAAAACTTGGGCACAAACGCTTCTGACCCTTCTCCATTCTGCACACCCCTGGAGCTGTGCCAAGCCCTGGTTTTGGTGCCTAGAACAGCGTTTTCAAGACCTCCGCACAAGGTACGTGTTCCTGGTACCACAGGGCAGCAGGGGCTCCTTCGCACAGTGCTCCCCTACTCCAAAGATGGTTTTCCTTCTATTTTCTCTGATTTTTTTTAAGCATGGTTGGCATATCAATGACCCAAATAATCCATTTGAAAGGAATTATCCCCAGGAGGGTCATTGAACTCAGTGAAGTCATAATGTATTTTAACTTTCTACATTTTCAACAGGGCTCCTGGCATGTGGGACTTGCAAAACATTCCCCAAAGTTTGCGTGAGCCCTCGCAGCTGTTCCTGCGGAGAGCCTGACAACTTCCATGGTTCGCCCCAGACCGGTTAAGGCCGAACGTGAGGAGGGTTCTGCGGCTCCTCACAGATCCCCGACCCCGAGCCGCCGGCGCCCGCTGGAACCGGGCCGCGAGCTGAAGCCGCCCCGGGCGTTACCCGCTTGTCTGTTACGGCCAGAAGAGCCCGCCTCCCGCTGAACGCCTCCGACAGCGATTGGCTTGCAGGGGGCTCGCTCGAAGGCAGCGATTGGCTCGCGGACAGTGGGGCTGGGAGTGATTGGCCGGCGGGAAATGGCGGGCTTTTCCCCCTGTGGCGGTGAGGTGAGGGCCGCCATGCTGGCCGGCCTGCGGCAGCCTCGCTGCCGGCTACACCCAGGAGGGGCGCGGCGCGGCCGGGGGCGGTGCGGGGACAGTGCGGGGACAGTGCGGGGAGCTTTCCCCTCAGTAACGGGGCGCTGGGGGGGAAATGCCGGTGACTCCGGGTGTTCCGAGGGCCAAGGTGCCACGCCCCCGTCAAGGAGGAGGCACCTGTGAGGGGAATTGTGTTCGATGCTTTGGCTTCTCTGACTAAACAAGAGACAAGAGAACCGTGAGGTGATAGCAAAGGCTGCCCCGTAGGAAGGTGCATTCGTGTACTGGAAACAAGTGTGGAAAAAAATCACCCTGTATATATTGTTTCTGCATTACTTAGGAGAGTGAAAATGACGTGTACTTTCAGTTACATCTTATACTGCAGTCGTCCCCTGGTTTTAATTGGTATTTCCCTTTGTCTAGTTCTATATAACTTATGGGATGGGGAGACCAAAACTGCACATGGTAGATCACTAGATACACGTAAACATACAAAGCATCAAAATACTGTTTTATATATTAACTCTATCTAAAAGAAGTACTTTTTGTGCACTTCTAATTTTTACAATAACACTTAGAAAACTTAATTCGAGATATTTTTTGTTTCTTTGTTTTGTTTTATTTTGGTAGCAATAGGCATCACAGAGTCCATGACTTTTATAAAATTAAGAAGGCTTTTTCCACATATGCATTACCACATTTTTCTTAAATAATTTCATCTACCTGCTTATAAAGAGGCCCTTCAGGAGTTCTGCTGTTGACTTTCCTATCTGAATGACTCAGTGGTGATGGTACAATCTGCCATCCTGCTGCACTTTCCAAGGTCAAGAACAGTGCTGCAGAACCTCTGCCTTGCCCTCCTTGCTTGAGCTGATCGTTGGTTCTCCTCGTTTTCAATTTTAAGCAATTGCTTACCCATGAAAGGAATGCTTACCTTAGCTCCCAAGTTAATTTCATATTTAATATATTCCTGACTCGTTAATTACTGAAACATGTTTGCAAAACTTACTGGAAGTCTGTGTCAGTGCATCGTGTTTTGGTTAAGTGACGATTGTTCCCTTCTTATGCAGCTGAGTAGATGAACTGCCAAAATGGCAGCCAGGAATGAGACTCAGGTATGTGCCTATAGATCAAAATATGGCTATTCATTGTTTTAATTACGAGCTTTAACCATTTCTTTTGGTACTTAACTAAAAGTAAAATTTGCAGTGTGGCAGAGTGCATTAGGAAGAAATTTTCTGTTGACATACGTTAGTGCTAAGAAGCTGGTTGGAAAGCAAGAGTAATTGGAAGATTTTACTGATGAAAATAATTCATATGCATTGGATATGAATGGCTTAAGTAGTGAGGATGATAATTAAGATCAAAACGTTGAAATCTGCTTGTAATTGCATTAGAAAGAGTAGAGAGGCAAAATAGTTGAGGAAACGTAGTCAATATACTAATACCGTTTGAAGTCGCTAATGGGTAACTAGGAAGTGCAACTTCCTGAATGTACTAAGAAAAGGACATAAACACAATAAGCACTTATGTAAGCACTTGTTTGTAATATGAGGAAAGAAAAAAAAACACACAGTTAAGGAAAAGTTGCAGAAGTAACTATTTGCACGATTAGTATGTTAGATATGGTGTTTTGTACTTCCATTTTTACGCTTAATGATTTTGTGATTCAGTGTGTTTGCTGAGAGTCTAGCAGACTACATGAAAAACATATATTAAACCTTATTAAATCAAGATCAGTCTTGAGCATACATTAATAGTGCTCTATTTTCTTTTACTCTTGACAGTTTGAAAAGTTAATCGATGAAGCTACAAGAAGAAAAGATTTTGAATTGCTAGAACAATATCTGGAAACAGAAGAGTGTGAAAATGTTTCTCACAAATGCAGCAAACAGTTTGTCAACAAACTAGACAAGCTTCTGTGTCAGGTAGTGTCAGTGGTACATGAGAATGATATATGCTGCTATTGTAATAGTCTGAAAAATATTGCATTTGACTTGGTTTATACCAGTAGATGATTTGAAAAACTGAAATAAAGTCTAAGAACAAAATCTCTATTTGAATTGTAATTAGGGTGGCTTTTGAGAACGCAAAGATTAACTAAATGTAACATCTAGTTACTAAACTAGTAATTAAAGCTGAAATCATCATAATAATTTCAATTTCAGGAGCTTGACAAACAAGAATTCAAAACTATTTCAACTTTACTAAATTCTCTTTGGAAATGTGGGGAAAAAATCAGCATAGCCGGCGAAGATGGGCTCCCAGCAATGATAAAATATGGTCTTATTGGAAAGATAAGTATAACCATAAACCATACAGGAACTTCTGAAAAAATATTAATGAAGTAATATTTTAATACTATGTACAATACAAAATACATAAGTAATGCTTCAGTATTGAACAGCTTAGTATTCAATTTAGGCTTTGATTACCTTCTGAATTGAGAATTTCTTATAATTTCACAATAAACATTACTCATTAAAATGTTTTTAGACAACCAGGTCCTTGTAAAGTGATACTGCTCTATTAAAGTGGAAGTTTGGCAAATTATGCAATATATAATTACTTGCGATAATGTTTTTGAGTCAGGAATTGTAATTTTCTCATGCAATTTAGTTTTTTTTTTGGTGAATACAACAATAATATTGTATCTGTTCTTTCAACAGATTATAGTCCTATTCTGATTATTTTCTGTTATTTAAATGTGTACGGTAAATAACTTAGGCATTTGTAACTCAGTATATTAAATATACTTTGTAACTCAGTATATTAAATATACTGAAAAAAAAGAAAACCACCACTTCCTTAATGCTTTAATCAGAGAGTTCACTGAAGAAAGTTAATGGCAATGTCAGAAAGTGACTCTTATTCAATTGCCTACTGCTTTTTCCAGAAAAGTGGCAGTAACTTCCTGCTTCTGCTCACACCTGCAAACACTTTTTCAATCAACCACCATCCATTGTTGGCTGTTTTGTCTTGTGACAGCAGTTGCAAAAGTAGATCTCCAGGTTTTGTGTTAGAAAGCCACAGAAATGACTTACTAACAGATTTCAGGACTGAAACAACCTGAGTGTGAAATTTCAGTCACTCTAAAGTGTGCTCAGGATGGTAACTGTTGTTGTTGTTATTTTAACCTTTGTATAGTTTGTTTAATTTTGTGTAAGTATAATACAAACTTGTCCTTTTTCATGCAATTAAAATACCTTTGCTTTTATTTTCTCTTTACATGGTTAATTGGTTTGAAAAGGTAAAAGGAATTTTGATCCTTAGAGGAAATGAAAATAATAAAACCCTTACAACTCTGGCTGAAGATTTCTTCAACGTATTGCTGGTAAAAATATGTTGACAAATAAAATCCATTGTGTGTATTTGTGAAAATTAATATTAGTAGTTTCATTACAAAAAGACTTTGAAACATTTTTCCACTTACCATCCTTCTAAGTTAATGTTACAATTACTTCCAAAATAGATTACAAGTGGATAAATACTTTGTCTGTATTCTTACTCATTACCATAAAGAAAAAAAAAGTTTTTAGTGAACAAAAAAAATTGACTCCTTGGTTTAATTTTTTATTGCAAAAATTAGCAGTATACTAATCTGTAATCCAGAGACCCAAGCTTTGTAAGATCTATGAGTTTTTTGTAAAAATGTCTGCATAAAAAATTATTGGGGAAATAATCCCCATAAATTTAACAAATATCTTTTTGGGAAACTCAAGTTGATAATAGAAAAGGTCTCCTGTATTCCTCATTAGGGATGCGATAATTTTAAAATCTGAGATGTTTTTTTGATTACTTGCTTTAGGTACATTGACCTAAATTTTATGCTGTAATATTTATAGTGCTTTTTGCTTGTTTATTGTAGGCTGTATATGATAGCAGACCTGAAGGTGAGCTTAAACAAATATACTCTAGATATGAGAGTTAAAATGTCTCTTTCAGAATACTTTTAAAATTATTAGTGTTAAAATAACTCATTACCTATGGAGCCATATAAAGGCAAGGTAGTTCTCAGTTGAGCATGTATAATAAGGCTTCATGATTAATGTAAGTATTCCACTTTTCTACATGCTGCGGTTAGTAAACTAAGATAAAAGGGCTTATCCTCAAGAGTGCTATTCTGTGCACAAAGAACCTCCTTTCTCTTTCATGTGTTTTTGTTTAAAAAAAAAAAAAAAAAAGCTTGAATGTCAAGTGTAACTTTGTGTAACTTTGATTGTTTAATTTAAGGTTTCTCTACTGACAGGTTTTCTTTGTAACTTGTTAGTATCTGTAATAAAAGGATGAAAACATCTATTTAGTGATGGCAACTAAATGGAGGCTTTATTAGAAAGAACCATGTTTCTACATAGCACAGTAGTATGTCTTCTTGGATATTGTCTTCAAAAATATCACTCTTACTTTTCAGTGAGGTAACACTAGTGGCAGAAAGACCATTTGGCTGTCACTGTCAAAGTGATGATTCCTTCCTTGTCCTTGGGAAGACATAATCCCAGGGTCAGAATTCTCTCTCAGAACTGAGTTACAGTGTGATGATGAGCTCCATGCACAGGGGACTCATGCAGTGAGAATGCGATAGAAAGGCATGTAAACATAGAAAGACATACCTACAATAAATTGAAGTACTATTCCATCTTGCATCTTCACTGTGAAGTTTAAGGCACTTGTTTTTATATATCAATAATCCTATATGGAAAGAAAGACGTGCTATGCTTACACCTGCAAATAAGAATCTTTTCCCAAATGCTAGGTGAGGGGGCACCCTAAAAAAACTGATAACCTTAAATCTATTTTTTCTCTCTTCCTTAGGTAAAATGCAAATGTTAGAAAATTTTGTTTTGAGAACATGTACCCTCATTGCGGATGTAAGAATTAGTATTTATGTCCAGCAGGAGGTAAACATTTCCTTTTTCTAAGCAGCTGTTTTCTGTTTAGTGTTTAAACTGGCTTTGAAAAGATAGTAATTTAATTTTGCAAATGCTATTAAAAAAAATAGTGTTATAGTATAAGAAGGATGATTTAATATCTTTCTGAGATGCTCATTGTCATTTATGTTTTTAACAACTTTCAGCTACTGACCCTTATTTTTTCTTTGGACAATCAATTACAAAACGGTGGTAGAAAGATTCTGTTGCAGAAGCTATACAAATGCATAGAAAATAAGACACTGTAATATAGTTGCTATAAATATATTTGAGAATGTAATAAATACTTTAGATGCTTGTGGGAAACTTGTATGCCTTCTAGAGTACTCAAGAATTCCTTGTATTTATTTTACTTAACATCATTTTAACATCATTTTATTTAGGTTTTTCTTCCTCTTTGAATAAAGGAAAAGTTTTTTGCTGCTTTTTTTTTGGTTGTTGTTGTTTTATAATTGTCTTCTTTAAAGGCTGTATCTCAAAAGCACAGGCTTTTTAAAGCAAATTTGAGGTATGCAACAGCCAGCAATCAGCTGCAGACAAAATTTAGCTCTGAAAGTTTGTTGCTATATTTAACCCTTGCAAAAAAGAAACATAAGAAACATAACCCTTTAACAACCAATACTAACATTAAAGGTAATGTAAGTTATGGAAGTTGAGGTAGTTATATTAAGATAGATACCATTTAAGGTCAAACAGGACTATTTTTTTTTTTTATTTTGCAATTACTTAATCATGTTATTTTCTTCAGTCATATGAAATGCTTTATGTAGGCCCTAAATGCAGGTAGAGAATAATTTAAACTTAAGCAATTTACTTAATATTTAACCCTACTCGTTTTTTTCCCACTCTTCTTAGGTAGTAAGAAAACTTAATTTAATGCTTGACAACATGCCTCGAGATGCCAGGAAAAAGATATTTTCTACAAAGGAAATGCTGCCTGTCATGTAAATAATCTTTGGTTTATTTTATTTTTTTAACCGTGACTCTTTATAATGCATACACATTAGTCCCTGTTTAACTCATTTTTGCATTTGCTGTTATGTAGCCAAGGGCAGTGCGCAGGTATTCTCATAGTTTTGTTTTGTTTTGTTTTGTTTTTTCCCCTTACAACCCTAAATTGCCTCATTTTCAATCTGAGTTAGGTTTTATTTCATCCCAGTTGTCTTTAAACAATTACACTCTTAATTATAAGGATGTGTATAGAGCACAGTGAATCACTCACTGGAAGGAATGTCTTTGTGTGTTTGGAAAACTTTTTACAGCATTTAAAAACCAAAAACATACACATCAGGTGCTTCACTTCCCCAGTGTTGTTTTCAGTTGTATGTCCTTTGCAGATCAAAGATATCCCCTCTGAAGTCTGATAATTCATCTGAATCAGGGTTTCAGCTCACATGTCAACAGTTTGTAATTAAGTAAACTTTTCTTTTATGCTTTTTTTTTTTTTGCTGTCATAGTTTGACAAAACTGCTTACTTTTGCAGGAGTGACATGGGTAGGAGAATTTTGGATGCTGGAGGTGAGCATGGTTAATAAACAACCTAGTACTGAGCTTAAAAATTACATGTAGACCCCTTCAAAATTGAGAAGAATACCTTTATAAACTGCAGAATGTTGCAGTTACAGTCCTCTGAAGAATAAAATATTGCATGAAAACAGTCTGCAAACTGGAATGTATCAAATATATGCAGAATATAGCTAACTTGTTGAAGCTTTTGGTCCTCTCCTCTAGCAAATAAGTTTTAAAATAGCAAAGATCAGAAGGAAATCAATCTTTAAGCATAGTAAATTGCTAGCCATGTTCAGTATTACTATAACTTCTATCAGGGATCACTTCGGTTTGCCCCCATTCAAGTGAAAGTTGAAAATGTCTTATCTCTTCTTTATGTGCTTAGCATTGCTTTGACATTCCTTGAGAGATTGACTGAAATTTTATTTTGAAACATTAAGTTGTTCAGTTATCCTTATTCCTGTAATTCTTTATCCTTTATGGATTACCTGCCTGGATTTAATGTGATGTGTAATATGAAAAGTTCAGCACTTCCAGTACCAGTTTCTTCTGTAATATTTTTTGGGGGAAATCAGTAATATACTTAAAATTACTATTCCTGCAAAATGTATTGTGTTGTAGACTATGATCTGCAAGTAGCCATTACAGAAGCTTTATGCAGAATGATACCTGAGAAACAAAGAAGGGAACTGGCATGCCAATGGTTTTCCATGGAGTTTGTGTCCAATGCATTTAAAGGAATTAAAGATTCGGAGTTTGAAACAGTAAGTCATATGAAAAATGTTTCCATGGAGGTCGACTTTTGTTTTACACTTATTCAAGAAATGTCTCTGTTTTAATAGGACTGCAGAAAATTTCTTAACCAGGTGAATGGCATGCTTGGAGACAAAAGAAGGTAAAACTGATTTATTTTTTTTACACTAATATGTTTTCTTTTCTGGACTCAATGGCTGTTCATTGAGAGTACCCTTTATGTCAAAAAAAAAAAAAAAAAAAGTGGTTTTGGTGAACCCTGAATTAAAACAATACAAGTAAATAAGACTAATATAGCTGTGGTATTAAGTCAAGTAACTGTAGACAGTTAGGTGTTTTTGTGTTTTGTTCTGTTTTCAAAGCATTAATTAGTAAAGAAATACTGTCTTTTGGCAAATTGCCACAGGAATTATCTTCTCTATCTAGATGTTAATTTTATGTAATTCCTACACTTTGGGAAAAAAAGACAAACAATGTCAGCTCAAATAAACTGTTCACTAAAGAACATTCATCTAAGTGACTTCTTTTGCTTACTGTGATCTCTTAATTTCTAAAGTACATAAGTTTTGTGCTGAAAGCAATCCGTTTGCTTTGTTCAGATATGCAAAATTTACATCATTTTAGTCTTTGACAAAATACCCTTTTCTTACAGGGTTTTTACATATCCGTGCTTATCAGCAGCTCTTGATAAATATGAGGTAAAGTGCAGACTTAATCATATATCCATAGATTTTTATTTGTGCAGATGAAGTATTTCTTTGCCTTCTCGTTCAGAGAAGTAAGGATTAAGTAAGATTTTTCAGGCACACATATGGAAGTCCATGTATTTGTAGTTTGCCAACCTGTAACACAAAGCCTGTTAGCTGGTATAAATTGTTATTCTTAGCTCTCATTCTTTTATCTTAATTTTTCTGTTCAGCTACAGATACCATTAGATGAAAATCTTGAAGAATTTTGGATTGATTTCAACATTGGTAGTAGAAGTATATCTTTCTATGTGGCAGCAGATAATGCAGTAAGCAAAGTTTTGTCTGTCGCACTTGATTCCTCTAAGGCAGGAGATGCACATGGTTTCAAGTATATAAAATTTGTTTCCCTACATCAACATGTTGAAATTATATATGCATCTGGAGAGAAACAAAAACCATATATTTATATATATATATATATATAAATAAATAAATAAATATATATATATATATATATATATATATATATATATATGATTTGGTGCAGAAATAGGCAAATGTTGCCAGTAAAAATTGAAGTCATTATTATATCTTTTTTAATGTATTGAGATAAAAAAAAAAAATCAAAGTAATGACCAATACTGTTTGTGAACAATTTAATATAAAATAGTACATGTGAACAAGATGCCATTTAAAAATTACAATCATAGAATCAAATGGCAGTTTAGGTTTTAACTCAACCATTTAAATGAGTATTTCTACCAAAGATCTTCTGAAAGATTACTGTTTGTTATAAATGAAGCTGATGTTCATTGTCACTTCTTCTAACAGAGGCTGCAGACAACTGAAAATGTATCTTGACTGAGTAGCTTTCTGGTCTATGTGTTCCATTTAATTGTAATATATGTTTTTCTTTTCAAAATTATGTACTTTTTTATGTAAGGATCATCAATGGGAAACAGTCATTATACCAGAGGAAGAGGTAGTCCTGTACAACCTCGAAGGTATTGGTCATGAATGTGATCTTTTGTTATACACTAACTTGGATTTTCAAACTGATTAATAATAAAGTACTGACTAAAATTCTCAGCAAAGCAAAATTTTCATTGAAAACATTACAGGTACTGTTTTTATATAATTGCACTGCAGTCTTATTAGCATTTTAGGCACGCAGGTATGATTTAATTAAAATAATTTTAAACTGATGTCTTACAGTCATTTTATTGCAAAATAAAGCATAAAACAACATTTAGTATTTTTCCTTTCAAATGTCTTAGAATGGTTTTGTAAATACCTATAATTTGCCTGCAGCTGTAATAAGTAAACTTAAGAAAAAATCTTACAGGTAAATATATAGAATAATTTTTTTTACTGGATTGAATCTTGAATTATTTCACTAATAACGTCTATTATAGGTTAGACAGAATAAAATAAAACATCTTAATAGCTTCACTGAAGCATACAAATAAGTATCATGTGTTTACAAATATTACATGAATGGAGATACAAAATTCTAATGAAAATATTTTTTGCAATTTTGTTTTTTGTCCAGAAAAAGATTCAAAAAAATTATTAACGATAGATCTAAAAAGCCCGATGAATGTGGGTAATCAAGAAGGAGAGAAAATTTTTTTAAATTTTGATTCTATCTTGGAAATCAAAGATGTAACCGGAAAGGTTTATGGATTAAGTAAATGTAAGGTAAGATTTAACCACTCTTCCTAACAGTTTTTATTCAATCTGAAATGATGTTTCATTGCCATATAAATGTTGTTACAAGTGTGATTATTTTATCATTATCTATTTATACGGATAGTTTCTGATTAACGTTGCCACTACAGAGCAGCATTTCTCCCATGATCTGTTAAGCTTCAGTAAAGTTGCCTAATAAATTTAAAAATAATTACAACAAAAATGAAGAGGCTGTAAAGGGTTCACTGTCAAGTTTTGCATATGCAAATTAGCATTTTGCATATATGACTTTGCAGAAACACAGGAAGTAGATGCTTAAACATACAGAAGTCTATCAGAAATGATTCATTACCATTTACGTACCCTCCTATGAATTGATTCATTTAATCAAAAACATTTAGCCAGCCATAGCTTGCTCCTTTTATCCTTGTTGCAAACTACTTTGCCTTGAACTCTTCCTGACTGAGAAATGTGTGAGCAACGGAACTGCTGTGAACTTGCAAGAATCTATTTTCCCCTCTAATCTGATTTCAGACACTACTTCAGACTTAACTGTTTTCTTTGTGTTTCTTGTTTTAAAGTGAGCAAAATGTTTATTTTACATAATGGTTACTCACTTTGTAGGGATTTAGTAAGAAGCAGTCTTCGTCAGTTGCCAAAACAACTGTGCATGTTGTCTTTGATGAAAGTGGATCCCAGGTATTTTACTTCAGTATACTGAGATGGCTGTTTTCTTTTTGTTGTTTACACTTAATTCTTAGCTAATTATGATCATTCACCATAAAACAGTAACTTTTAAAACAGCAATGAGCAAAGATAGCTCTAAAGCCAATTAAATGATTTCTATTAAGTGTGAATTGTATCTGATTTGTATCCTTTTCGGAAGGAATCATTAATATGTGGAACTGTGATTTGGTAACCCGTTCTTAGGTAAAGTAACAGATCGGATACTTTTCAAACTATATGCATATAAGCTCCAAAGTTTATTAAAATCTACAGTAAGGAAGGTGTTACTCAAGGTAAAGATTTTTTTTGAGTGTGTGTTTATATGTATAAATATAAAACGTTATATTATTTAGGATTTATATTTATGTGTGTGTTTATATAGAATTTTGATAATGTGTGTGTGTTAGGTTCTGGTACCAGAAAGTCAGTTTTCACCACATTTGGAAGAAAAATCTGAAGAGGAGAAACTCAGTAAGTACAAATCACAGCAACTTCCAGGGACACAAAGGACTCTTTGCACAAACAACAACCAAGATAAACACAAAGGTAGTTCCTCCAAGGTAAGCTGGAGTATCAGAACAGAAAAGAATACATAAATAAGTAAACTTAAATGTTTATATACTTTAGAATATAAAAAACTATTATTTTAAAATTGGAGTATAGTACAGATTTTGATTTCCCTATGACTTTTCACTAAGCAGTGTGAATCCTTTTTCAAAAAAGTTTGTCATCATTACTGTTATAGTTTCAAAATGCGTAACAAAGAAAAGAGCAATTTTTGGCATTATTTAGTAGACCATTATCCTTGTAGAATTCTCCTTGGAGAAAAATGTTTTGAAGGTACGCTTAGACATCTTATGCAAAAGTCAAGTATAGCTTCTGAAGACTAGTTAATGATCAGCAATAGTACTTGCTCTAGTTAGCGACAAGTGCTATGCACTGGGTGTTCACAGATGTTTACAAAAAAGCTCTGATGTTGTCAAGATTAATCCTGTCGTGATTAACCAAACCACAATTTGATGGGCCTGTCCCTGTGCATAGCTGATTCTCTGGTTTAAACTGGGAGGGGTGGGATTGTGAAGCCTGGTATTTCTTTTGCTACATAGTTCTATAAAATTGTGAAGTTATAAATGTTAGTTCCAGTTGAACCATAATACTACAGCTATGTTAGGAGAAAAAGATGAAGCCATGTTGCCATTTCTTCATAATGCAGTAGTCATGCAGTGCGTGTCTTGTCAGAAGTTGTCTTCAGTGGACCTGTTCCTGAGGTTCTGCTGGTTTATGTGATAGGTTTGTGGAAACTCCTGGGTTTCTTTGATTGTTAACAAGGGACAGGATTTGGCCTTGTACTGTTGAATTAATTTAGGAACAACAATTGCTGCTCTAAGTTAAAAACATTTAGTTTCAAGTGTTATGGTGAACTTTTTTTATGGAAAGAGAACTGTGTAAAAAAAAATCTGTTTCATTGACGAGTGTAGCAAGAACAATTGTCATTTCAATAGCAAAGTGTTCAAAGACTCTTGGAAATAGATTTTCTAAAAACTTGTGTTGTCATCCTTAAGTCTGTATATTATGGTCAAGTGTTTTTTGTATCTCAAGATAACCACATCTTGTAAAAGGAAAGTGTCTGAAGCATCAGTGCTTATTCCTGGAACTACAAGATTTCCCATGCGGAGCCCACTGCTATTCGTTAGTACATGTAAGTTTACAAGTACTTTAAGGGTAAAACTAAACTATAAATAGTCTTTGAGATGGCTGGTTGAGATAACGTACAAGGATGAACTGTAATCCACTGCAGAACTGAAAATGAATAATAGACTTCGTAAAATCTCCTTAGCAGGTGCTTTAAACTTGAAATTTTTAAAGTAGGCCACTTGCTACTGTTCCATAGACAGAATAGCATTCTAAACAGCTGAAAGCCACCTATTGGGTTTTTTTGCAGCTGTCAGTATGCTGTTTTTGCTGGAGCAAGCTGAGAAGTCAGCTTGTGAGGAAAAGTAGGAAATAATGGATCAGAAGGTCTGAGTCACAGACCCAGTGCTTCTAATGCTTACTGCAGAAGTGCTTTTTACAGAGAAAAGGATAACAAAGATACTTTCCTTTATCACAAACAGGAGTCATCACTTTCCTACTAACAGTTCTACTGTAATAGATACTTTCTAAAGGAAAGGGAGAGATTTTTAAGACAAAGGCCAACAAAGGCTGGAGATGAAGCTGGTGGCCAAACAGCGTGACTTAACAAATCTAACTTTCTGTCTTTAATGGTCTGAAATGCAGGAATATCCTTTGTCAAGTGTATCCATGTGTCATACAAATTAAAAGAACAGAGGATAGAAATGAAAGCATTTTAATTAGGATGGAACAATACAGAAATTCTGTAGCTTTATTATTTGGAGTTTACCACACTATCTGTCCCAGCCAAAATGTATTACAGTAAAATATTAAACAGATGACTAAGCATTTTCTACTAGAGCCTGGCTGTAAAAACATTGCTTGCCTCCAGACAGCCACCATTGGCTCATTAATCTCCTTAATAACATAATTGAAATCAATAAAATTATTAAAGATGGATAATGAGTTGATATCAATGCTACTCAGCTTTTAAAAAAGTATATGCAATAAATGAGATCATGGGCAATGCTCTTCATATTGATCAAATACTAGAATTGTAACATGTCTCTTGTTTGCTTTCAGCTACTCCTTGTAAAGGACGATTTAAATTACCTTTGAAAATGATGAGTTCTGCTGACAGGTCTAACAGTAATGACATAAATGAGACCAGAACAAAAAATGTCTATAAAGAACCTACTGGAGTATGCATGCCATCTGTAGCTAAGTCTTACTCAGATTAACATTAATCTGTATTCTAATATATTCTTAGTTTGTATTTTGGAGAGCTAGAATTTCGCAATCAGTAAATCACTGTTAGAAAATAATGTGTTACATACACGATGTATTATTGCCCTCTGGATTTCAAGTTTAATCATTCTAAAGTCAGATTGAATTCTTGCAAAAATAACCAAAACTTGCATTCAGTCATTAGTTCTGACCCCAAAACTTGCTTCTACTAGCAACCACAGTTCTTCCTTTGTGTATAATGTGACAATAGTGTATACATAAAATCTCAGTTACGTAATGTTGATGTAGACTTAAAGAACATATAATACAGTCAGCTACAGTTGTGAAATGTTAACGTCTTCAGGTTATAGCATTTGTAGCATCAGTTTTAGAGCATTTGTGATCAGGCATCCATTAAAATCTAATAAAACTACATAGGTGTCACTGAATAACTGCAGTTTGAGTATGTGTATTTTTTGGTTCTTTTCCAGTTAACAAAGACATCAAACTAACATTTTTATTTTATTTATATCTGAATGTTTTTCTGAATCAGATTCAGGTCAAATCCCCAAGAATGGGACTCTGAAGCAGTTTTTGATATAGCTATGCTTCAGAAAAAGGCTTTGTTATATAGAATGTATAGTTTAGAATACTTCAAGTGTTAGTGGGAAAATTTGTTCTGTTTTTTTTTTTTTTTTATGGATTGTAATTGCCATTTATTGTACTTTCTAGAATGGGCAAAGACATGTATCAGATAATGAATTTTTTGAAACAGAACAGAATGTCAGGAAGTCAAAAATCAGAGACGAGACAAAACTACCTGAAAAGGTATTGGAACCAATACTTCATTTAGAAGAAAAAATAATTCTCCGTTTTATTAGGGATACTGTAAGTTTGATGTGTCTTACTGTTTGTAGTTCTATGACAGTATTTTATTTTGGATGTTATTCTCCTGTAGGGAAAATGTTATGAAGAAGTTTTAAAAAACATAGAAGAGGCAGAAAATGGGGCCACCAGAAAGCAAGCCTTAGGCAAGTAATTTCACAAATGTTGATAGTCCTTACTTTAATTTTTTTAATCTTGTCTTTTTTTTTCTTTTTTTTTTTTTTCAAAAATGAATGATAACAAATTAATGTCTTGTTTAGATGATGCACTAGATATTGTTCCTGATTCTCAGCCAACAGGGAGAAGCAACAAACATCTGTAAGTATTGCAAAAGAATACCAAGTCACTGCTGTTTTATGACTTATTTATGACTTGTTTATGACATGAAAAGGTTATTCTGTTGTCTTAAACAGATTCACCATTTAGTTAGTCTTTGATTGCTTTGAGAACAATGCTCATTAAGAGTAAGAGTGACATTTAGTAGTACCACAGAGAGTAACTCTCTCAGATGACATCAGAAGGTAAAATAAAAATGGCATGGGATTACATATAAGTAGGTGAACTGTGTCATAAGAAGCAGCAAACTTCATCTAGTTTTAACTCTTGTAGACACACCACAGAATTATCTGGGTTCAAGTTTAATGGTGGCCATTGGGTATTGCTGCCTTTTTGAAACTGACTTAAAAATGTGTATTGTTTATGAAGGTTTGCCATTTAACAGTGCATTGGTTAATTGAACAATGGTAGCAGGCTTAGCGCTAATGTAAAATGCACTGATATCTATAAGCCATCACTATTTTCCTATATTGTGATGTACATTTATTGTAATTCAAACACACTTTCTAAAATTTACTGATAACGGGATGGTATCATTTCTATTAGACTGCCTGGTCTTTTGGAAAGTTCTTCTGATAAAAAAAGAACATGGAAAAAAAGAGCGTGTTCTGTTCCTGAGAATAATATAACAACTGGTAGCACGCAAAAGCTAAATCTGTCATCAGGACCTACATCCCATACAGGTTATGTTCATATTTTGTTAATTGTTAGTGTTAAAAATGTTTGAGATGAATTTTTAACCCATGGCTCTGCTTTCTTTCTGTATTAGTTCCTGTTTTTAACGAAAGAGATGTGAAACAAAATGTTTTTTATTCAATTTGTGGAAATACCTTTCCAGATAAACAAATAAATACAAATAGAGAAAAACAGCAGCAAAATGGAATTCAAATCACGAGGGAAGAAAACTGCAAAATACTGAGTGGACAGTCAAAGAGTATTAATAATTTGGAACTGAAACAGTTGAGTACAGAAATTAAAAATATTTCAACTACTGCTGAAACATTTAAAACATTTCTTTCAGCTAGAGTGTCAGAAACATCTTTGCATTCTGATTTTACAAAATACAGCAATACAGAAGAAGAAGCTGATGTTCTCTCAGGAAAAGAGACTACAAATAGTAAACAGTCGAAAATGGTGAGAGTTTCTTAACTTCATTTCTCTGACATGTAATTAAGGTAATTGTCAAATTTCCAGTATCCCAAATTTCTCAAAATGTATTTTACTTTGATTTACTCTCAAACTTATTTTTACATTATTTAATTCATTCTTTATTAGTTGAAAATCAATGTCAGGTTAACCGTTCATTTTCAGTGTGATCTGTTTAAGATTATCTTACTCTGAATTTCTTTTTTAAAATCAGACTTTTTATTAATAATTCTTAAATATGCAGCTCACTTGTGCTTCACATGCAGTGCTCATTCATTCACTTCCAAATGTCAGAGTACACAGAAAAAAAAACATTTAAAACAAAGTATCTGCTAACCTCATGTCTTATGGCCCACTGTATGGGCAATGCAACGGAAAATTTTCAAACAAATGTTACTTAGAGCATCTAGAAGGCTTTTGATTACTGGGAAGCAGTAGCTCTGTTGCAGCTTTACCCGTTTGTTGCATGGCTTCAAAGCTGAATATTCAACACTTATTTTTCTAGAAAACAAAGTCTAAAGAAATGACAGATGCAACAAAATCACTAATTAGTAAAATCAGTGACAGATATAAAGAAAAGACTAATGAGAAAAGCAAAACAAGAGACTCCTCAGGTTTCAACAGGTATGATGTAAACTATATACTTTTATGCTTGTTCCTTTGTGTAGAGCTTCATCTGCAATCTACTTCTCTATCTACAGTTATTGCACATCAGCTTTTATATGAATTTTTGTTAATTTCTAATAAACCTCATGGTACGAAAGAGGCAAGTAGTTGTAATAGCTGAAATAAGGCTGTTGGAAATTCCATGCGGTGTTTTCACTCATTCATTCACAGAACTTTCCCTGGAGCTTTAGCTGGAATAGTTGATGATCACAGCATATGCTGAGTGTCTCCATCCTATCTTCTTCATTCAGGATTCAAAATTGGATTAATTTATCAATTTTCTGATGATCTAAAATGTTCCTAGTTCTCTTCTCCTGAAACAGTTGGCTGTTACTTTAAATTAACAAATTCTTAAATGGGAAGACTAGTCTTATCTTGCACTGATAAGTGGAGATGTGCGTTATGTATAATTACATATCCTCTTTTCAAGCACAAAAATAGGTGGGAGCTGATCTATTTTTAGCCACTTTCTTTACTATTTAAATGCCTGAATACATTTAAATTTGTATTACATAAGGCTTTTATTTGCATAAACAGTAATTTTATATATATTCTAATTAGGATCTAACAAAATGTATCCTTATTTTTTCAGACCATGTTTAAGTAAATCTTGTTTCAGTGTTAATAAGGTAATTGGAGTTACCAATTTAGTTCCTTTTTTTCTTAACAAACGTGTGCATATATGATGGCATTTACTAGATGTAATTCGAAAGTTTACAAATATCAGTGAATGTTAAACAACTCTGTAGAAGTTAATGTTAATTCTGCATTGAGTGTTAACTATCTAAACATACTTATATATATGTTGTTTTCTGGAATATTAGTTTTATGAGCAACTGTTAGCCAGAGAAACCCCAATTAATTTCTGTTTACATATTCTGTATTTGAGTCTGCTTCCTTGTAATATAGACTCTTTAATTTTGAGCATAACAATACTAAACATTTACAATTAAAATGCTATAGTAATCAAGCTGGTCTAAAGGAGACTACAGAATCCTTAAATGAGATCTAGGTAGGATACAGAAACTACTCCTAATGTTTGGGGGTGTGGGGAAACAATTGATGTGAGGTTTAGTTAGTGTCATTAAAGGATAACTTCTAACAGATTTAGGTTCTACTAGTGCTTTTTTACATCTGCATTATTGCTAATCAAGTGCAAGTCTGAGAAGTTCTAGGTTTTTCCATAAGTTCATGCTGAAAAACTTGTTTTGTGAAATGACAGTTTGTACAAATGCATAGTCCCAATTTAACATGAGTAAATTCCAATTTATGTCTAGGAAAAAGTGCAGAATAGAAGCTTAAAAACTACTACTTTCCTTGATACAACTTCTGGTCATACTGTGTAAGTAGTTAAAACATTTTCAAACAAAATTTATAATTACCCTTATCAAACTATGAGAAATATTAATTTATGTACTTACAGAATTGATCTCTGTGTCTGACAGGGATGATGTCTACAACTTTAACATCAGTGGGTTTGATGAGCCTACAATAAAGGTAGGGGTAAGAATATAGTTGAAACCGATATGTAATGAATAGAATGTAAAGCAGCTCTATCAAATGAAAATTATGTCTACTGAAAGTATAGTTAACATCTAAAAATTAAAATTAGTGTCACTGAAGGGTGTGGGCAGGAAAATAGTTTGCCAAGTTCTTGTTTTGTACATAAGTACCTCCATCACTTTCAAATGTATAATGATATATGCTATTGTAAGGTTCTGGCCACTTTTCTGAATTAAGAATTAAACAGTTTGTAAGAAGTATTATGTATCTATTAAAAGATATAAAGAAAAATCATTATCACCTTCTTTCTAACGTTCCATCCTGTAAAGACATATTTTCCTAGCTATGTGAGTAACAAGAAAATGGATGACAAGAGACAATGTGTTGCCTTTTATAGCTAAGAGGAGCCTACTGAATAGGTGAAGGTAATGGTTGAAAGGCAAGCGGTTGGAAGCAAATGTATTAGCCGGAGATACACAAGTTTTAGTCAATTCTAGATGGTTTTAATTATCAGCTCTGTTCTTAAATAATTTCTAAGATAGAAATTAATCATAGCAAGTTAATTGCTGAGTACAAAAACTGAGCAGAAAAGCCCTTAATCATGTTATCTGATGGCCTGTTTAATTTTGCTTAAACTGTATCTTGAATGAAATTTGTCATTTATTCTCATTTATGTTTTTTAGATCCAAGACTGTCATGTTAAAGAACAGAACGTTCGTACAGATCCAAAGAAAAAAGGGTAGAGATGTTATGTTGTGTCCTAGTCTCCTGAGGATAAGCAAGTATAGTAGTCTGCGTTCCCCAGCATTCCGTTATGACAATCCAGGGAATGCATGCATGACGTTATCATCTTGACTGTTGTTTTTTCAAGCTGTAAACATAGCTGCTATCATTTCCTACTCTATTTTATTATTTTTTTTTGGAAAACATATCTAAGTTTTCTATAACCTGATAAAAATGAAAGATTGTGTTTCATGATGAAAGCAGCTTTAGTATTCATGGAATACTACAGGAATTTAACCTCCTAAACAGAGTGGGGTAGTTTTTGGTTAATGCCCTGCTTGCAAATGGGCTTACTGCTAAGTGTGGTGTTACTGATCATTAGCAAATACACGTCCTTTAGGGATAAGGTGAACAGAGCTTTCTAAAATAGATTTGAGAAAAAAAGCAGGTACATCTGTTTGAATCCTTAATCCATACATCATACAAATAGCAGAAAGATTTACATGTTGATTTATTGTTTAAAGGTGTTTTTTCTTTTTTTTTTTTTTTTTTTTTAATCAAGGAATCCAGATGAAATTAAAACTAGCACTGAAATGAAAGCAGGAAAAAAAGTAAGACTCAGAACTTTGTGGAAACAAAACAATTTGTCTTCCTGTGTTTAAATACCAAGTATGTAAGTGAAAGGAAAATTAAAAGTAAATGAGTAACTTAGAACTTTTTTTTTTAATAGACTAGAAACAATCGGGACAAGAAGCATCTCTTCAGTGACACAGACACAGAATACAGAGGTGATGACAGCAAGACAGACATCAGCTGGCTACAAGAATCAAAATCTAAACCCCAGTTAATCGATTATAGTAGAAATAAAAACTTAGGGAAATCAATAATCGCAGGCAAAAGTAAGAAACTTTCTTCATATTTAAATGCGCTGCAATAAAATTTGCCCATAGACACGAATTGTACAACATGTAATGTGCTTTTTTTGTATATATGGTAGGTTTTAGTTGTGCTGTTTCCGAGGATGAGGACATTGTAGATTAATTATCCTAATCATTTAGGAAGGTTAATTTCCAAAAGGTCTGTATTTTCATATGGAAAATTATTGTAGACAGTGAGGCTGTTTTCAAGAAAAAACTTCGGATTTTTACATAGTGCACTGAAGGCAGTTTACTAACCACATTCATAGGCATAAAAGTGATTTCATGATTTTACTGCTAAACCTTGAAATGTTGAACATTTTATTATGTTTTGTTTTTCTAACTTTGTGTTGTAACAGCAGATAAATTCTCTGAACCTGCTTGCCGGATGGATACATCTAAAGGCAAAACAGCAAAAAAGAAAAAGGTAAATGTAAATTTGCAACCTGACTTCTAATATTCTAAATACCTTAACTCACTAGAACAACTATTTTAAATTTATTTCATAAATATATACAATTTCTCCATGCTTATTTCAAAATCATTTTCTAAATGCAGTTAGCTGTTTTCAGGTACTATATTTTTAGATAGTATTTAGGAAGTATTTCTGGTGTAATACTAGCTGTGACTTGGAATGATTATTGTCTATCAAGACGTTAAGTTTTGTTACTTAATCATTGATTATGCTTATTTAGTGCTTAATAACAATCAACTCCACTGAATAGGTCATTAGCTGTTCAGTGAGGGTTTTCATGTGGCTAATATGCTTAATTGCTTTTTAATGGCTATGAGATTATAATTCCTTGAAAAGAATATAGGTAATGTACTGAAACTGAAAAGAAAAATGCTTGATGTTAGTAAAGAATAATAGTTGAAAAATATTGTAAGCCTATTGAAATTGGGGGTGTAATGAATTATGAGTGATTATGAGCATGGTTATGGAAGACACTTGTAGATATTTGTAAGCTACAGCTTAAAGACAAATAAAAAACTACCATGTTACCCTGCCCCACAAAAACACTCTTTGGTGTCTCAAACTGTACACTAATCATTCAGATCTGTGTAATGTTAGTAGCTTAAAGCTATTTATATTAACACAGTGTAAATTGTGAACATGAAAATATTACTATATGTAGGTATCAGTGGTGGTCTAGTCCATGTAAATAAAAACTGAAAAGTTCTTAAAGTACCTAATTAACCAACTTTGAATCAGCCTACTGTTTACTCTCCTATTATCACTGATTAAATATTGTGATATAAATTGAGAATTTTTTGTTATTCTGAAGGAAACTGAACGTAAAAAACAAGCTCCAAGACAAGACAACATGATAGAACAAACCTATAGAACAAAACGACCTCGAAAAGCAGCATTAGCAAAAAATTACAAAGAGCCTTCCAGCTCAGAGGAGTCAGAGAGTGAAAGGGAGTATTCAGCATGTACCTCTAAGAAGGAGAAATCAAAAATACAGGTATACAGTTGCACTGTATTCTTAAAAATGTACTTCTACTCTATTTTTTGAAATAGACTCTGGTCTACTTTTTACTTAGACTGTAGTAAGCCAGAGTGTTATTTGAGGTAATGTTATGCCTATTCTGTATACAATAGAAAATGCTGACTTGATAGAAGGTATGTCAATGCATTTGTTGAATATCTAAGTAGGGTTTTTAGTAAATTAAGCAATGACAATTGTTAAATAAAACTTCTTTGTTTCTTTTTAGCATAACATTTCAATATATACGGATAAGCCTGTAAACTTCATTGATTAAATCCTGAAACATCAGTATTTGTCTGTAATAATTAAGAACTTTATTAGAATAGAAATTCAGGTGCTGAATTATGCAAATTCAATGCTTATTAACATTAGAACACCTGATGACCTTGTGAATTTAAGTACTTCCAATGATCTTCCTATTTGGGCCTTACGTTTGTTCAACTGTACACGTAGATAATACACTCTATATATATACATATATATATGCTTATATATGTTTATGTGTTTAGCAGTGCTTATATACACTTCTTATTTTAATAGAAACCTATGAATGAGGAAAACAGAGATCGTGATCAGCAGAAGAAATTCCAGAATACTGTATCTTTGGAGCCAAAGATAGTAGTAGACTATGTAAATAAAGCATATATTAAATCAAAGAACTTTGATGAAGAAAAGGAAATTGAAATGTCATTACCTGAGAGTCCAGCATCTCTTGAGACAATGAGAGGTATGCATTTTGATTTTTTATATAGAAATACCATGTCAAATGTTGGAGCTTAAATGAAGCTTATCACAGTAATAAAATTTTATGTTTAATTCATGCTTTTAAAATGAGATCTCCCAATTCAGTGTGTATACCACATAATTTAAGAAAATATATTAGTATGTCATTACAACTTTTATAGGTAGTTGTTTCACATCAGCATAATACACTTATGTAATACATAAGTGAAAGTAGGCTGTTAGAATTAATCTGGTAATGTGGAAGATGCAAAAAGTTCAATGTGGTAAGAATTATGCCAATATGTAAAATAAAATTTCACCCATCTGACACTTGTAAATAGCTAGAGTAGGGACAGTTGGCAGTATGGGGCTTTAACATAGTATCATTCTTCACGCTTACAGTTCGGTCATTGTTTTCTAGGTGCTGAGAGATTATCAGAGGGAGATGTTACTCAAGAGCATATTTCTATTGAAGGATCACCAGGTCTTCAGGAGTCAACACCAAAAAACGAGGAAACATTAAACTTTGGGAAAGGAATCTCTCCTAATAATCTCTGTCCACAAAATAAGAGTTTTCAAAACATGTGTCTAAATCAGTCCCCTGAAATGACTGTTAAAAAGTTAACAGTTGGAAATAAAAGTTTCTCGCCAGTTATGACTGCATCATCTTTGGTAAGAATATTCAAGTTTCTCTACAGTTATTTTAACTGATGATGTTTCATTCAGCTGCTATATATTACGCTCTTGTGCATCTCATTTCAATAATGATTTTGTTATTTATGCGTAGCTCAACTTAACTCCAGTAACCCCATATAAAACTGTCAGTGGAAAACATACAAAGGAATCTGTATCTGAAACATGTGATGCTAATGAAAATTTGAGTTTTGGACATGGCTTTTCAGATAAACTTTCTGTTGAAGGAAAGCTACAAGATATCACTAAACCTATCATCAAAAATAAAAGAGAGGTATGTTACTAAATCCATTCCTCTACAGAAAAGAGTTGCAGCTTCTTTTCATCCATTATATCTACATTGCAGTTGGTGAGATTTTAGGGGAATGGATCTTTCTTAATGTTAAACACTTGATATAAAGAGTACTTGTTAATTTTTATATATTTGAAATAATTTACGGAATTGTGTATCTGACAGATACAATAAAAGAACTAGGTCCCAACAAGACCAATTATCAATACCTTCAAAAAAGAAAAAAGCAAATATTTTAATCTTGACTTTCAAAAAGTAATAAAAGATCTTTTATAGATTACATAATTATGATATTGGCATGGAGAAATTCTTTGGGTGGATAAGTGCTCTCAGTAGTAACCTATTACTTGATATAACTTGTAGCACTGAGAAATAAAAACAAACTATACCTTCAACCCATTTTTGTAAGTATTTTTTTCTGGTGAAAAAAGCACTAGTGACTCCACTGAGAAAATAATTTTTGTTTTTTGTACTATTGCAAGAAACCGACCTTATTGGGCATTTATCTTACTGCTATTATTATGTATTAATATGGTAAAAATGTTATTTTTCACTTTGATGTAATGAGACTTAGTAGTAATTCACGTGTTTATTTTTCCTTCCTGTAGTTGTGTTCCTGTTCATAGTTAAATGAAAAGCAACATAAATGTGGATTTCTGACAAAGACTTCTAAAAGCATTTTCTTGTAGAAGCTAATAAATCAATGGCCTTTCTTGTAGGAACCATCTCCATTGTCTGTTTCCAGTGGAAGTAAAATACAGTCTTGGAGTCAAGAATGTTATGGCCCTGTGCATGAGTCAGGTACAAACACTAAAGGCAGCAGACTTTCTGTGTGTGTGTTAAGAACGGTTAAGAAAAAACATTTATTTGGCATAGAAAAATCTTGCAACTCTTTGATTTTTTTCCTTTTTTATTATATTTTCAGTATTGTTCAATTTTTATTCTTATTTTCTCTGCTGTTTTAAGTCCTCCAAAAAGACTGAAACATGGGCTCCAGCATGTAGATACTCTAAATAGTAGCTGGTCTCTTAAGAAAGAGATCAAAAAGCATTCCCGCTGATACTGGGGAAAAAATGGGAAAACAGTATTATCAAGTAGCGAGGGCTTATAGTGAATGTCTTTAATGAATGAGTCTTGTGTGGCTCAAAAAGAGTTCTGTATTCCACTGAAGTTCTGGTCATTTACATCAAGTGCTTATACCTACTGAACATGCCCTTTATAAATGCAATGTTCATTAATTCTTATATGGTTCTTGAGCTGTAAAGAAACATACTGCTAAAGTTTTGATCCAAAGGGGCAACACTCTTCTTTATCTTGCACTGTCATTGTTGTAAATAATCCTAAAGTTAAGCATTGCTTTCATGTTTATTAAAGGACCAACTATACATACATTTCTGAAACGAAGGTACCAGAGTGATACAGAAAGCCATTCTGATGAAGTAGAAACAAGCAAAAAGGAGGAAAAGAAAAGAACCAGAAGAACAAAGTTGCAGCCTAAAAAATTATTTAAAAAGGATGACACGGTTACTTACAGAGGTTAACTATGAAATGAAAGTTGATTATAGTTATGCAAAAGTTGAAAAGAGCATAATAATTTAAAGTTTCAACCAAAACCAGTAACATCCATTAAAAAAAAAAAGTTTCAAAGAAAAAAATGCAAAAAAAATCAAAAAGAACTAAATATTTAGAAACTATCTCCATTTAAAAAGTCAGAAAATTGATTCGAAAATAGAAACTAGCCCCAGCCATTTAATTGGTGCAATTAATCTGTATTTAACAAGAGCTTATCTAGGTTGTAACTACAGATAGGAAACTTCTTCATGCTGAATCGTGACATTACCATTATTTATATATATATATTTTTTTACATTTCTTCAGTGTCTGAAAGCTTATCTACTGCATCTGTTTTGGGTGAGAATGTCTGGGAACCTGGTTATTCAACTCTAAGTATGTGTCAGAAGTTCCAGAAAGAATTTACTAAGAAAATGGAGGCAAGACATTTTATATACAATATTAGTTGTGTGTGCAGTTACACATGCATATGAATAATAGTTTTGTCTTACACTGTGGAATTTACTTAAAAAAACATGAAGATAGCTAAGTGCATAGAACTTCAAGAAATCACAGAGTTAAAGTTGCTTTTTAAGTCTTTTTAGATTTGATTATGTACTTAACCCTCCAGTGGTTTTCTTATGTTACTAACAAGACTACTGCATTTTGGTTCTTTTCAAATTATCAACACCATGAATGTGGCTTACTAGCTAAAAGAAAAACATGAGCCTAAATAATGCATTTGTTCCTCTAAGACAGCTGCAAGCACACAGCATTCACTCCATGTGTACTTTACCTATTTTCAGGAAATCTATTTTTCAAATAGTGTATTTCTAATAAAATATCAAAAACATAAACCCATGATTATTAACATCTCATTAACAGAAAGTTTTTCCTTAAAGTAAAAGGAGATTAAAAAAAAAATGTACTCGCTACTATTAGTATTAGTAATAATTAACAGTACTAAACATAATATAGTTTTTTCTTTAAGTGAAAATAATCTGAAAGTAATGTTAAAATGTCTTTACAGAGCCGTTCACAAAAAATGGATCATTTTACAAAGCAATCATTAAGAGCTGCCCACCAGCATTTAGCAACAATGAATTACCAGCTTCACGAATGCAGGTGTGTAACAAAATATTTATTTTAAAGCACTTAAAATGCAATGAATATCTTCTAAAGGTAACTCATTCTGTTTTGGTAGGATTAGACAGCTGGACAAATTTCATTTAGTTATCCTTGAGGAAATTGAAAATTTTGAGAAAGATTCTCAGTCCCTGAAAAACATGGAAAAAGAATTCTTGGTTTGTATTTTAATTACTTTATCATGGGGAAAAATGAGTTTTTATGAAATCTATAGATTTCTCTTAGGATCTTTATGTTATTAATTCTAATTTTAAAAAGCTTTTCTGTTCTTCCTTAAATTTGATTCAGATTTCAAATAATGAATCTGAAATGTCTGGATTGGCTTATGTGGTCCTGTAAGAATTTCTATATTATCATTGTGTTTTTTCTTTTTCCTAGAATAAACTACTCATACTATTTCTAACAGGCTGTGTATACCATTTCATATGTGTTTTTTTCAGTTGGCTTTAATTTCATCTGCAGTGTGTAGGCGCTTGAAACCAATGTGCTGTGTGTTCTAAGACAAGTCAGTTGCCTGCCACTTGCTGTAATGTAAAATCAATATAATCAATATATAAATAATCATGTTAACAGACTTCAGTAGCTTTTTTTTTTTTTTTTTTTTTTTACTCTGAAGGCTTTTCTTTATTATTATTTTTCTTTTAATTACACTTAAGTGTATGGGAAATATGATTAAAACATTATGGATGTTCTTTTCCATCATTTTGAAACTCTTAGGCACAGAGGTTTACAGATTTATGGCAAATTGTTTCCGTGAAAACAGAATTCCTGAAGTGCCTTATCCTGCCAACTAAACTTTTTTTTAAAAAAAAAAAAAGTCTCTGTGGTTACTGTTTTACTCCTACTAATTCTGTGCTGAGGCTGTGACTATGGGTTATTTTATTCGTAATAGATATTAGTCAGTTTTAGTTAAGAAAATAATAGTTACTGCTGACTCTTAATTGTTAATATTTTTCTCTCCAGGCCTTTTGGAAAAAACAGAAGCAGACTTTAAGTACGTACCTGAAAAATGAGCAACAGAGGTTAGTACTTTTCACTAATGCTGTTTTGAAACTTGTTTTCTTCTGTAAATTCAAGATTTAAGTTAGGCCAGCTAACTGTTCTTTACACAATTGCTCTCTTCCATAAAATAAGGATAGTAGATGAGATGAGAAAATGAGATTAAAATGTACTGAAAAAATGTAATTTTTCTCTATTTGGAATAATAATTATTAATGTTTTTAAGTACTATAAAACTACAAATAATGGGATATACTCTTGATATTTGGGAAATGTTCATATGTAGCAAAACTCTTTGAATTGCCTTTTATTTCTTTAGATTTCAGATCCTTAAAACATCATTTGAAAAGAACATCTACCGTACCGTTGACTATGAAGAACGTATTTTTACTTCACAGGTATTACAAGCTTTCAGTTCTTTGCTGTTTTTAATCATATTTGTTTCTTCCATTAGAAAGAAACAATCTGCTAACAGATACCAGTATTGACTTATTTTTTCCGCAAAGAATTCCTCATCCTCACAATTACATTAATGCTACCTAGGTATTTTTGTAGCTTTTCATTGTCATAAAATATTTTTACTGTAACACTATTCAGCGTTTTAGGGCTACATTTAACCTGTCAGAAGGTATTTGCAGTTATCTAGAAAATTGCTGCAAGGCTTACACTGTATTCTGTGACTTTGTTTACCAGTGTAAATCATCCAAGAAGGAACAACTCAGATGCAAACATCCCTTTCCGTAAGCGGGTAGATGCATGTGCATCTCTTTATTTCTCACTTATAAACCATTTAGGGATGTAATTGTCATGTTGAAAATGTTACTAATTGCAAGCAGAGAGGATACATTCAGTATGAGTATCTTTTTACAGATGCATCTTATGAAAGAAGACATGAAAGGACTCCAAGAGAAATTTCTTAAAGAAATGGTAAAGGAAGTTACCTTTTCTTTTTATTTATTAATGATAATGTAAGTATAGTTGTTTGAATGTTAGAATTTAAAACTTCAGTAATTTGTTACTCTATCAGGAATAAAAATTAATTAGAATCCTCATATCACTGATATTTTATAGGTTAAGCCTTTTACTCGAGTGATGAAAGTATCAGGTAGATATGGATATAGTGTTTTATGTCTGAGTCTTAATATGTTGAATGATAACATGGAAAAGTATCTTATTTTGGATATATTAGAAGCAGGACACTATGCACCAGAATTACATTACAATATTTTTAATAAATTTTATTTCAAATGTGTGATAATTGTAATGCTTTTTGCACAGCAAGAAGAGGAACTGATTAATGTTCGCAGAGGATTGCAGACATTGTTTCTATCAGAAGACCGAGAATTCTAAAGTAATATTTTCAGACACTTTCCTGAAATTTAAGCTGAATATAAAGTCATTTTAATGTAAAATTTGACAACTAGATTTATTTATTTTACATAAGGAAATAATTGTAATGAAAGTATATTTTCCTTAGTAAGATTAAAGTCTTTTGAATAAGACATCTTTTATTAGAGAGATTTGGAATTATTTCACTGAATATGCTAAAATGCAGTATGTAAATTTTTGGATTTTTAGCATATGCTATTTTGAAGAAGTCTTTATTAACATTTGTATAGGTTATTTAACTGACTTTTAGAGAAATCACTTCAAATTTCATTTCAAATCTATGTTTTTGCTCTGTGTGTACAGAATATTTCTTTTGTCTGATGCAGAATACAGGCAAATTATTTAGGGTTCAAATAGCATGTGCTAATCTCAGTCCTATTCATCTGTGATACTTGATTTCAGTAGAAGTTTCTACCAGAAAATGACTGTAAACATTTATGGTTGAACTAAGTTGCAGATATTTGTATTAAATATTTCAATAAAAATATATGCCGTCTGTCTTGTTTTTACAAAATGGTGTTGTTACCATTCTGCTTTAAAGTAGCAATACTTTTTGCATTTCAGTCACAGAAAACGTTGCTGAGCAAATATTTTGTGTTGGATAATAGTAAGAGGGTGTACTGCCTATAGCTCAGAAATGTCCTATATACTCATATTGTCTGTTCCATGTGCATAGGACATCTTCTGAAATCTATGTCATCTGAGAACCACCAGTGAGTTACAATTTACCTTTTTCCTTTGCTGCCGTATAGTGACTACGATTTCTGTTTAATTTTAAGAGAAATAATAGCTTAGAGAAACCTTAAGAAACCTTAAACTACTCTGCATTTATAGTTCCTTAGCAATCTTTTTAACCTTTTTAACTGGCTATCCTGCGTATATATACACTGTAATTTTTTCAGGCTCAGAAGAATACCTTTAATTCCCGTTTTTTAACAGAATTTAAATGAAAGCTATTAAAAACTTACAGCTCATCAAGGAGAAGTAACAGATGTAGAGAATAACTCATAGAACATGCATGTCTTTGAGGCTGTCTACATCATCATATGCAGAGCTGCCTATTTACTATGGAACTGACTCCAGATTAAGATTCACAACACTCAGGAGCCTGGACTCAGTAAGCATGGCACTTGTACAACTTCACAGCTTCTGGAGCTACCTTGAAGAGGCTACACTCTCCTTTGTAGCTGATTTTATGACCACCATAGTCTCAAAATAATGTATTGGCCAACTTTGTGGTAACAATTCCCCCCAACTTAGTTGCTTTACAGGCCTTTACCATTATACCTCTTATTTTGAAACTTGGTTGTCTTTAACAGAACACGTGCTTTCTGTCTGATTTCAATCCCATGTGTGCTGAGAGTAGCATGGAGAGTAATTCGTGTAATTACTTAATGTAAATACTTTCATTGGGTAGTAGCTTATTGTAAATAGTTGTAAATTATTTCTTATGAACTAAAAGTTAAAAATAGAAGAATATTCTTCATGGAAACAAATGTATTGAAATGACCATAAAATAATTTGGTCCGTTCATTCCATCTGTGTAGGTGCATGGGGTCCTCTTTTAATTTTTGAGCCTCTGATTTAGTTTTTTTTAAGCCTGTTATCACTATCATCTCCACTAGATGGACCTCATGAGACGTTAAAGATTTCCTTTAGTGATCTACTCTGTATTTGAAATAGGATTTTTTCTCAACTGTAGAAGATTTTAAGAAGTGTAGTATACAGCCAAAGTTCATTTCTTTCATTGAGTGCATATTGGGAAAAAAGTGCTATCTTTAATAAAAACTTATGCTGAAATAGAAGTATGAACTTGTACTGTCCATCCATTAGTTGTTACCCCACTCCATTAAATTCTAAACACATTGAGCAGATACAGTCAAATTTAACAAAGGTACAGATATGAAGCATATCACAACAGAATATTGATAAAGGCAAAACTGAGCACAGGGAAATTACTAATTTTTTCAGTTTGTGGATGGGAAAGCTTGAGGTCGTTCAAAGCAGACAACTAAAGTGATATAAATTGTTTGCTGCAGGACTGTTTTTTGTTTTGTTTTGTTTTCCCCACTAGGTAAAGAATAGCATAAGGAAGATAGCCTCCCTAAGCTAACCATACCTTCAGTGAATTTGCCCACCAGTTATTTGACATTGATTATTTGTGGCTCTGAAATAGTCACAATGTTTTGTTTCTTACCAGACTGAAGCAAAAAGAAAGCTGGGATGGTTGCAATGAGGGGACAGCTGAGGACATGGGGAAGAAGCTAAGCATGTTGCTGCATAACTACAAGATGGCTAAGTTGCATTAGTAATCCAGCTCATAGACATTGTTTGGAATTTAAAAAACTGCTCTAAGGTACCCTTAAAATATTTTATTACATTTTTTAAACATAATTTTGATGTATTTTATACATTTTGTTATCAAGGAAAGTCTGCTAGTCTGTGCTAAATAGGAGTGTTACCTTCATGGATTATTAGCCAACTTTGTAGTTAACAGTGAGTCATCTACAGTTTCTAAGCTAAAAATGGTTGTTCTGCCTAAGAAACATTTCTCCCAGTTCTTTTTACCCTTTTTGTATTTTACATGTTATATTGTTAATAAATATTCTATTAATAAAAATTGTTGATAAATATAATTAAAGGTATGTTAAAAGGCTAGTTACGATGTTACATATTTCTGTGAAAAGCCAAGTTATAAAACTGCAATTAATAGAAAAAAAATCTTTGGATTAAGTAATTCAGTGATTCAAGTCTTAAACTGATATGCAAGTCAAACATTAAAAAGTTGTACAAAAATTACAGCTAGCTACAGAGCAAGGTAAATTATCAATGTCGACTTTGTTGGTCCTAAACATGATACCTCCCCTGATTCATCAATTTCTTCAAGCATTGTCCTTATTGAAATATTTTGTCGTACTGTATGTTCTTACCTTCCACTTGTAAATGTTAATTTGCTGAAAATGTAATGCTATTTTTGTTCTTGCGTCCCCTCATTGAGCACCGAAGAGAACAGAAATTGCATCCACTGTTTGCACTGATTCTATTCACCAGCTTGCAGCAATTTAGTAGTATTCTATACAAACAATTTTACATACCTTTATTTTCTGGATTATTTTCATGCTTCTTGGAGATCATCTTAACAAAGCTCCTTTTTCAGATTTTTTGACACTTAACGACTTCCTAAAGGGATGTCATTTAAAACTCTTGCAGAGAAGTTTTTGTCTTAGGAACTTGCTCCGTTTTGTCATTGTCTCGTAAGGCATGCTTTCCAGATACCTGTATTATTTTCTAACTTTTTCCTTCTAGAAGTATTTTGAAAAGAATTCTTAGGTGCTTCTAGATGTCAAGCATTATTAGAAGTGTCTGGTTTATATTTTTCTAAACCAATTCTCTTTGTTATTACCATCAAGTAACTTCTTTCCTCTCACTATCAAGAAATCCTTGAACTATATATACATTTCCATTAATAAAAAACATTGACATTAATTTGTTTACTAAACATGAAAGTACATTTTTACATAAACTGTTTATGTATGGTTATCCAATTTAGTAATTTTTTAATAAGAATATCAGTGAACTTAATTGTAATTCTTCAGTGGGCCAGAACTTCAGCTAGTGTAAATGACGATCACGTTATGCACATTCAAAGGACTTGGTACAAAACATCAGTATTGCATAAAATGGAAATCTTAGTTAAAATCATCTTTTTGAAGACTGTCGATAAAGAAGTGATATGATCTGGTACATAATAATTGCAATCTCTTCCCTTCCCAACTGTCCCTGGGAAAAAAAACAGCTTTAGGAAACATGTTCATTTCCTGCAATAAGTAGTCATTTAATTAAAGAACAAAAGTAACAGGAGTCAAAAATGCTTGCAGCTGTGTTAGACATTATATAAAAAAAGAATGAAATTATAATACATTAAATTAGTTTTTAGAACATGAACTTAAGTGTTTTACAAACTAATTGTGGTAAGTTCCAAATGTCTTGTCATCGTAATACTGAATGACAGTGTGTCATGTCCATTTATGTCAGAGGCCTTGGAATGGTAAAGCCTGTACATGCACAACATCTCCTTTACCATGATAGGCTGCAAAACAGTTTGAAACAAGTGGTAAAGGAGAGTAGTAGGTTCTTTCAAGTAGCTTTACTTCATTCAGTCTTTCTCAGCTGATCATCTCACTCCACAGGCCATCACTCTTCTGGCTTCAGAGTGAAGTTCATCTCTGGTGTTTCTTTCTCTATGTAAGTGCTGCAGAGTTTTCATCTGCAGAGTCCACCTTTCGCATAAACATCAAGGTATCCTGGACTGAACTTTAGGGAAGGGCTCATACGTTCCCTGATGTGTGTTCAGCAGCAGTATCAAAAAGTAGACAGATTCTTCTCAGAAGAAAATTTCTATGGCCTGTGAAATCTAGGAGAAACAGGAGACGTTTTTTTTCAGTCTACTTCAACAGTCTTTAAAAGTACATTTTTTTAAATATATGGTTTAGATTAACATTTTAAAAAATATAATTCTCTTTAAAGGCACATTAACAGTATTGAAAACTATTAGCAACTTGAAGTCTTAATTTTCACTGACACATTTACACTTGTATGTCATGACTGTTGTACAGTTACATTCCTCAAGGTCCAGACAAGCCAGTTCCCAATTATTTGGGAGTGCAAACACAAATATAGGTGTGGAACTGTGTATCTTTTGTTTGTTTGTTTTTTCTTTTAGTAATTAGGCTGCTGTTTGTCAGTGTCAGTAATATTCTTTATTGGGCCATGTTGCTATTATTTTGTAAGAATAAAGCACTTCTGAGCTGATGCTTTGGAACATATGAATACTGTTGGATTAATATATGATAGTCTTACATTCTGTATGGAATAAATACGCTGTTGCTCTGTAGGCTTGTTCTCTTAGCTGAGATATGTAATTAAAGTCTCAGTCATTTGTAATGCTTTAGCAGTAATTGTAAATTGCAAGCCTGTATTGCACCTAATATCCTGACCAAATTTCAAAATACATCATTATAATCTACTTAAACTCCCCAGGTAGCTCAATTAGAGAGGGTATCTTTCAATTCCTGCCTTGAACTGCAGCCCACCCGTATTTCCCATCTCACTCGATCAGCGTACTGCTATCTTGCCATACACGTTGAGCCTGAACCCTGTAGTTAGAAGGGCCCATAACAATGGCATGAAAAGTCTAGAATTCTATAATTGTAGCATTTACATCAACATATATTGTATTTATGACTCCGCTGTATTTGCTTAGATCATCTTTTCACTGAGCATACAAAACTCTCTTAAGATCAAATTCGTTCCACATTTACAAACACAGAAATGCAGGCCTAGACCCTGCAGAAGCAAGCCTTCCAGAATAGAGACTGCACCCCAAGCTCCTCGGTACGGTGCTGGGCAACTTACTTTAGCAGCAAGCACACCTGGGAATGCTTACAGACAGTGCAAGAGTACACTGTGCTACCAACAACTCCCCAGATTGTCTTTTAAGAGCAACTGGACTCAATAGACGTAACAGAAATTGTAGGAAATAACTGACTGCTGTTTAAGTTTTTCTGTAAGTGACAAGGTCTTTTTGCAAGTAACTTAATGGCTGTGGAATCAGCTTCTCTCACAGTCATTCTCTCGTGGAAAATCCAAGTGTTTTCATGACTGTTTAGACCTAAAACCTGTAATTGCTGTTGTGACAAAGCAAGTGCAAGATTGACTTGATGCACAGCAGCCCACGCATTTGGACAGTGCCAAGCACCCAGGCCAATTTTCTCAATTTTCCTGCTGGCCTGCCATTTGAGGGGGTTGCACACATTCCAGTGGCAACTAACATTCACGTGCTACTGAAATCTACAGGCTGAACCTCTTACAATTTTTTGTTGTAACAAAAATTTTACAAGTCTTTTTTATGGGCATTACTTCCCCATTGATGAGAAAGTTACAGTGACTGGGTTAATCAGGTTGCACGCTCAAGTACACTCCAGTATTCAGTTGTTCATCTGCTTTAAACATCATGGGGATTGTTTAACATCAACTGTTTAAACATCAGGGGGTTGTTTGTTTTTCATTATACCCCTACATTTAAATTTTTGCCATAGCTTTTGAATCTTAGTTGCAAAGTATTCAAGCTGAGTGATACTGTGGAAAAGGTCTGGGGTCTCCTCAGTACATGCTAATGTACGCTATATATATATTATTTTTTTATATATATAAGTCAGAAAAGCAAAGTTCGGAATGGAATGCGAAATGTTTCCATTTCCTTTTAAAAGAAATGTTCCTATGTTCCCACATCCAACATGTAAGAGCAAAATCTATAGATTCAGGACTCAAAGAGACTAGTTATTATCAGGCAATGGAAATAAATGGCTGGAAGACTGACCTTGTCAAATGTTTGCTTGATGCATGTACCTCCATTTCATTACTTTTGTATTCATTTAGCTCTTTCCGAATTGCTGCCTAGGAATTGAAAATAAAAGAGAGTTAAATAATTATGTATTTATAAGCATTGTAAAATACCAGACTCACAGAGCAGAATAGAAGTTTCATTAAGTAGAAATGATAGGCACTGGGCACAGCAATGCATACTATGCCAGTAGAAATGCTGAATATTTAGGTTTTACAGATTGCTGATGATTATATAGATGAATAGCATTTTTATGACAGTATGCATTGGCCAACATGGTTACAGCAAAACATATAACATTTACAGAGGTTAAATGCCTCAGAGGTTAAATGTCTGCAAAGTCCAATGTAGCATTTTAGACAAAGTAAGTAGAAAGCAGTAATATTTTAACTATGTCAGTACCTTATCAGCTGCTGATAGTCTTGTCCATGGTTTATCTGCTCGCCTGTCGTAGTCCTGTGCTTTTGCCACTTCTACATAATCACTGAATCGAATCAGGATTTTTCTGTCTCTGAGTTCGTCAACTGTAGGTCGCTGATTAAGCTGCATTAAATAGTATTGTAAAATAAAACCAATATTAATAACAAATATTTCAATAAATTGTGCAACATTTTCTGCTTCTCATCTTAACTTAGTGTGCATTTATGTATGTGGAAGAAAAATACTAATTCAACAGTGCAACTCTTGGAAAGTCCAGGGAAATATGATGTCCTTCAAACTATTGCTGGGAGATTAGCAATTGTTTAAATGGAGTTATTGACTATGGCACAGTGGCTTTATAATGGACAAAAGAAAACATTTTAAGCTCTAAATTGATAAAATGCATCAATTTAGAACAGGTAAAATAGACATAATTAACTTGGTATGATATAAGTATAATATAAGGTTTGTTAAAGGTTTTCTTACTGCAGTCAGCATCAGTAAGAAGTTACTTTTCACTGAAAGGCTTTTCTACTGCAGTCAGCAGCAAGGTTTTCAGAACTGGACCCACTGTAAGAATTCCAATTTGGGTTTAATATATTATTGGCATTTTTTGCTTATAATTCCAGTGGGGGTTCCTGGGAACAGAAAAATAACACAATCTAGTTCTGATTTTAAGAATACCTCAAATGCAAAGAGAAATTTATTGTGAGAGCACTCTTGGTGCTCAGCAAGAAGCCAGCTCTGCTACTGATTGCTACAAGGTATAAAGTACTTCTTTTCTGGCAATATAGTTGCAAAATATGCAGTGTGCAAGCAAGTATTTATTTTTTGTTTGAAAGTTTAAATGTAAATATTCTATCAATTCTCATAGCTGAGACATGGTAGGTACTTATATAATTGATATACTAGATACCACACCACTGAGGAAGAGTTAAATTAAGGGAGGTTTTGTGTAGCAATGACCTCTAGGACTGGTTGATACTGTAATAGCTTTCATAAATTTCTAAAAACTAATAGAAGATATTACAAGATTTTACCTTTCTTGTCAGTCTCTGTTTGATTTCCCTCCTTTCTTCCTGTTCTGTTTGATCATTTCGTTCTAGAGAGAATATTAAAAAAAAGATGATTTTCCTCATGAAGAATATCAGTAGTTTCTGAAGTTCCAGGCAATAAGAATTATATCACAGAAAAATTAGTAGCTGGTCCTTAGTTGTCTGCTTTGTTAGTTCAGTACATCTTTCTGTTGCTCTGCTAGAACATATTGTTACCTCTCTGTGAGGACAAGGTACTGGTGCCAGCTTTTCCTGTGCTCTAAACTCCAGTTCCAAGGAGATTTAACAAACCAACAGCAGTCACACCAACTCCAATTGCATAAACTTTAGAAACAAAATCAAAATATTCCATAGTTAATCATCAATTTTTATTCTCCATATTGCTGGAGCCATTGTTGCTGTAGATGCTGAAAAGACTTATTGCACGAGCTTCAAGAAAAGTATGTTTTTTCCTATAAACCTTATTCTCAGGCTACACGTTTGGATGGTCACACTGCCACAGCAGTTATCTTTGATTTGGGTACTTTTTTCTCTGCTATTCAGGATGTGCCACTGACATTAGAACCTTTTTATCCTCACGGGTTTCCTTTTTGTAGCATTTCATTCTAACCTAAGCCAGCTAGCTTTTGTGTGTTGTGCCTATTAACATTCAAGCCGTGATAACTCCTACACACTGGGTCTAAAAATAGACCAGAGTGCTGTAACATTGTGTGAAATATATCCTTTGCCTTGGGATACGAGGTAATGGCGTTTCTATTTCTAGTACTATCTGTTACTAAATTAAGGCATGAGCCTGTGACCTGAACAAAGCTGCAGACCTAGAGAAAAATGTTCAACCATTCTGGGAATCTCTAGATAGCACTGTGAAGTTTATTATGCCATTTGCTTTAGATATTTCCAATGATAAGGCACACACATCATTTTTAATACACCTTAAAAAGACAATAGCGCTGCAGATGAGTTTCCAAAATGGTAATTTTAGTAATGAATTATTCTCCCACATTTTTACACACCTTACATTACACTGAAATGCCATCGTAAGTATCTGCTTAGAGTAAAATAGTGCATAACCACAACTGACTATAGCAGAAATGTAAAGCAAATGAATATAAAATATTACAATGTGTTTTATTAAAATTCAGTGGCAAGGCATAGAAATTTAAAATAGTGAATAGGACAACTAAAATTAGTGCCATGTCAGAGATGAGCAGCTGTTTAAGTTTGTTATGTTTAAAAGGAGAATATCATTTTTAAAGTAGAGTGTACTCTAAGATGCAGACATACTTGCAAGAATTTACTAATATGGTTCACTACATTTTAATTCACCCTTTTTAGAGTAGATATTCAAATCTATATGTTTTTATAAAAATAAAATAATTTTAAGATATCATTGTCAGTGAGATGCACTGAGAGAATTCTGAATTAAAACCACAAATATTAATTTCTGACCAGAAAATTATTTTCCAATTTTTAATATACTAAACATGCATAGTGGCCCCTTTCTGTGAGATATTTGCACAGACTCTGGGCTTATTCCCAGCTCCAAGAAAATGCTGAACGTGAAAACACAAGAAATAGTTCATTTAGAAAAAATAAAGCAAGATTTGATAGGAACTGCTAGTAAGGGCATTACAAAATTCAAGCATTGTTACAGAGGCAAAGCAGAGGTTTTCCCCATCAGCATCACTCTGCCTACACATAGATCCACTCATTACTGAGGGCTGGCTTTGTAAACCTGAGTAGAAAGAAGCTCCCAATTACAAAGTGGCATGTGCAGTTCATTTCGCTGCTCTGCAAGTTTTTCAGGGAATTCTTAGCTGTGCATGACTCAGAAACAATTCCTGGTGTTAAGAAAGAAGTGGGGATTTTACAGTGTGATTTAAGAGATGCTGCCTTCTTGAATGTGAATGGCAGCTCTCTGCTGAGTACAGGAAGAGCACGTGAACACCTGGGTCTTGATTTTCGTTCATAGGGTTGCCACGCTCTCTGGTAAACCAGCAATGTTGTATCATTAAAATAAAGGCAGTAGAAGAAGTTCAACAAAACTGTAAGAAAGTGTTGGCTTTACGTTTTAAGTACTACCTTTATCTCAGAACCATCTCCCTGAGGATGATAAGAACAGTCTCTCATTTTAATTATATTAAGGATTGTTTTAAAATGACTTAGTGGTTGCACTTAGGCACTTGGAATAAGCTTCTCATTTTGAAGGAGCAATACAAATGTGAATTATTAGTCCTTAAAACAGGTTTGGGGGTAATGTTGCTTCTGTTAGCAGTGTGTATTATTAACATCAAAGACATTAAGAAACTTAGGAGGCAACTGTACAAACACAAGCTGGAGGACGTTGTAGTGATTTCACTGAGGGGTATTTATACTGCTACAGCTTTGCACGTCAGACCCAAGCCAGGTGTTTTTAAAGTCCATAATAAGAAGATATATATCCCTATTAATAAAAGGGGAGTTTACTAATTTCCAGATTCACTCAAAACTGAGACTAGATTTGTTGTATCTGTCCGGCCGTTTATGATTACTATTGACACAAGTGATGACCTTAGCTCTTACAGGATGTTTAGCTTTTTATATAATGAAATAGGTAAATAAATAGAGCTGGCTGTGATCTCAGCTGAACCTGTATAAAGCCTGAGTAACTGAACTGAAGTCAATGAATTTGCTCCATGTTGGAAGCACTTTCAATGAGATACAAATCTAGACCAGTATGTTTAGCTGGCATTCAGGAAATATCTTTAATTCTGCTTTATCTTCTTTCTGCTTTATCTCTCTGTAAGCTCATTATTTGAATGTATTCAAACTTTTTTATTATTCAAGCTTGTCAGTTTAACCCAGATTAAGGTTGTAACCAGCATACTTCAAAAAGTAAACATAAAGGAACAGATTTTTTTCAGCAGAGATCCCTACTTAGGGGGAAAAAAAAAAAGAAAAAAAGAAAAAAAAAAGATTTTTAGAGGTGATCTTAGGCACTGACTCTTGAAAATCTGGCTCCACATGTTTCAGAATCCTGGGTTAATGCTTTTTCTTGTCTCTCATGTAGATGACAGGTGAATTTAGGCCAAGTTCATCCATTTATGTTTTCCAAGACTGTATCCTGTATCTATCCTGTTTCTCATTGAGCTGTGCACATGTGTCAGATGCATCTGATTTAACCACACACAATATATGCATTGGAAGAGTACTAAAAATATAAGTTGATTATGGAATTTCTTTTTGTAGGTTATAAAATGCGGATAACTTTTTTTTTTTTCTAGATAATTGCAATCATATTAATAATTAAATATGAATTAAATACCAAAGGCAGAATTGCTTGTATGACATAAGCCACATTCTACGTGGCTTTGTGTTTTATTTGTGTTTAATGAGAAGACAACCATTTTCACATCATTCTGGTTTTGTTTTTGTTGGTTTTGTTTTTTTACTGTCAACACTAAATAGACCGTAAAATTAACAGAAGTAATATACTTTTTTTCTTCAAGCAGATGACTCTTCCATTCTCCTGTCTGAGATTCACAGCAGAGAATAATCCAAAGCCCTTTCCCTTCTTCACCTAATTTAGAGAATTCCCAATACATCTAAGAAAGGGATGCATCATCTGTTTGATGCCTGGGTCAGAAACTTTAGGAAAAGAGTTGCAAGCTTCTGCTTTGTGTTTATTTGAAAGATGCTGAGCAACATTCCTGTGTAGCAGCATCTGTAATAGGCTTGGAATTGTCCCTTTAATAACTCTGATATCTCAGACGATATTTCTTTGTCTTGTCTTTGGGAATGTCCTCACACCTCTGCAAGGATGCTTTGTCTATTCCACTCTAGTCTTGTACAGTTTGCCATGGCAGTCCACAGCTTGAAAAATGACAGTCCAAAGCCTCATTGTACTGTGTGACACTAGGATGCTACTCCTTTCTCAGATATCCATAACAGTATATTCACATATAAATGTGAAATAATATATTCACAATATAAATAATTTGAAAACTGAAAATTGAACAAGGTACTATTTTCTGTACTAAATGGCACGCCTGTGTAAATTCTGATTTCTGCAATACTTGAAACCCAGGGCATGTTAAACATGAAAACTTTTAGGTACAGAAAATAATCACAGTGAATGAATTTCTCTATAAAAGAATATGTTCTAGAAATGTAATAATCAGTTTCAACAAATATATATAAAATAATAAAAGAAAAAAGTACTCACGTTTAAGTATATTTCTTCTTTCTAGCTCTTCAACAGCAGGTCTTTGGCTGAGTCGCCTACGGAAAAACACCAAAATCACATTTTGTACCATGCTTGTTCTTTGGAAAGTCTGCAGTATTCTGAGTTCTGGTTGGTGTTTTCCTTGTGTTTGTGGGTAGAGGGGGAATACAAAATCCTTCTGCAGGACTCAAGAGAAAAAAAAAAAAGGCAAGAATCTCAGCACCAGAATGCTTTCTTGTATTTGCCAATGTCAGCAATGCAGACAGAAGTTCTCCTCTAGTTTGCTCTGCTCTTGGTAGAATTCTTCCTCATAATGTGCATCCTTTTCACCATACTTTCCAGACAGTCAGTTGGAACCAGTGCCCTCCAACAGTTAAATTCACTCTCAAGGGGGTGTTTAAGGTGGTTATCAAAGGAGTTTCACAGTGATCTTCTGTAGCTCACTCCTTCTACCTTTTAATCTCACGCAGCAGCAGGCTTCCTCTTTTTCTAGTAACAGCAGTGATGCATCCTGACAAAATGCAGGCTTGCCAGAAATAAAGCTTTCCTGTGGTTTCCCGACTACACGGTTAATAGACCAATCCAGCAGCTACCCTCCTGCCTGCTGTATAAAATTCGTGTGCTGCTCACAGCCTCATGCTGTCTGAACAGAGTGTCTTATGCTGTTTCACCTCCCCTTTCAGTAGTGCTGCTTCAGGATTGAGTCTTCAAATCATATGATCAGTGCCACAGTGATTTTATTCTGCATACTAAATGAGATTTCCCCATGAGACACTGCCAATATCTGCAGAGAATCTCAGGTAATCGAAACCCTCCCCTAGGCAGACACACACACACTACATTTGCTAGCTTTAAAGTAATAATTCAGCAAACAGATCAGAAACAGTTCATGATGCTTTCTGGCCTGCATTCTGGCAACATCAGGGATTCTCATCGTCTCCTCTGTGGCAGGTTTTACAAAGCCAGAGACTGAAGTTACAGAGACAAAGAAATACTCACAGCAGGGACCACACTGCAAAATACGGTTGCAGTAATTACCCTTTGCTGTGTACAGAAAATAGAGGAATAATAATAAATGCTATAGCAAGATCTGTATTTTATCAAATACACAAGAAATGAAAAAATGAAGTAACTGTTATCAGACTGTTAAAGAACAGGTAAAAATGCCTAATTCTAATTTCTCCTGTTTTTGTAAGCCTTACCAAATATATCTTTAGCATCAGCTCTGTATTCATACTTTCAGATCAACAGCACAAAATATGAATGCCACGCCTTGTCCGTTTCTAATTAATTTCTTTGTGATTACTACAAAGGCCAAATTCTGCTCTCATCTTCAGCAACAAGAATGCATCACAACTACTATACCAGATTTACACCAACAGAAAACACAGATGGTGAGCTCTTGTACTTGAAACACCTGTAGCCTAATGCTCATTCTTCTTACCTAACACCATGTATCACCTAAGATTTTTCTCTCAGTCTCTTTTTTACAGAATAATGAGACAGATACTCCATAATGGAATTTGCAATAATCCAAACTGAAATGCTGAATGATTCTGAAATGCCCTACTGAAGTATTAAATATACATTTCTAATTCCTGTTACTCCTTCGCTTCTCCCTCCTCACTCATTTCCCTCCATATCTCAGAAATGATACCGCTCTGACTAGGCTTTGTTTGAAATAGATTAATGTGCATTTTATAATATAAAACAGGGAAGAGTAACTAACTCTGAGAGTTTATCTGGAAATGAAATGTCCACGCGATTTACTGATCACATGTCGCCCAGTCAAGCCAGTTGTAATTACAACCCTTCCATGTAAGATTGATAGATTCTCCCTGAATCTGTACATTACATTTCAGAGGCCTCCTTTAAACTGAGGGATTAAAAGCCTAACAGAGAATGATTAAAGCATAATAGGTACGAGAATACATATGTCTATTGAATGCTCTGTATAGTTTTGCATATATTGTTACTGTATTTATGTTGGTTAATTATTTAAAACCCTATTTCTTTTTTGACTTCGATAAATATGTGGTAGGTGTGCAGACATAACATATTTCTGTGCGCACCCTCAGTTTTTCCCACAACACAAGTAAAAGGTGCAGATACACACACACACATATATAAATATCTATGCATGACAGGGCACTGCATTTTTATTTGAGTTTTTCAGAGATGTAGACCACACTTTCAAGCTTTTTTACCACATCCACAAAACCAGAAGTGGTCTATTTTTAAATATTAAGTTCTACCAGGGAAGCTGTGTAAAAACACCACGTACATTGAGCATCATGATAAAATAAGAAAGTGGGTACACTACTGACATCTGTTTTCATCACTTTTTGTTTCTACCTGTTATATCATTTTTTTCTGTATGGAAGAAACCTCCATTTGCTGTAAAACCCCTCTTGCCTGCTTTCTCTGCCATGACAGCTATGCTGCACAGTAGCTGGGCCCAGCCAGCACTGCTGCGCTCCCAGGCAAGAGGGAAATGTAGAAAGATGGTGGAGGTGAAGGACTCCAGACATGTGCACCAAGGGCTTCTGACCACACTGGGGGGAAGCAGCTGCGAGAACAACTCGTCTGAGGAGGCCACACATCTCTGCTGAGCTGCACTGTGGTAAATCAGGCACTGTGGGGCTCTGTGAACTCTCCTGTGTTCTATGCACCATGTTTTGGAGGTTTATTTATTTAATTATTTCTCCCACACTGTTAAAGTACAAAGTCCCACCGCTGACAAAAACAGAGAACATCCCCCTTGAGAAGAGCTCGGTGCCCTTCCTCTCAGAAGCTGTGCTGTGGAGAGGCGGCGCCATTTTGGAAAAACCACGCCTCAGGGCCACCTGGCCTAGGGAATGGCATCCTGTCTCTCTTCTCACCTTTGTTTGAGAGGAACAAGACAGAAGGCAGGTACTGAGAGAAACTATGACTCCAGAGAGGGGATGCTCAAATCCCCTGTACTTAAATAAAGGGAAACTCCAGCAGAATAATCTTCTTAGCAGTCTTTTTACTGCAGCCAGAGGATGGTGTAAGCACTGGACACAAAGAAATCTTCATAAAGGCTAAGAGATGAACCCCCAGTGCCATGATCTCCACAAACTGTGCACAGAGAGGACTTTGAAATACAGAACCCCAGGCCATTCTGAGGCAAAGTGCTGGCTTGTTTCCTCTGGTTTCAGCAAACACCTGCCTGCACCTGTGTGAGGGTGGCTGCAGGGCTCCACCCTGGGCCCAGCCCACACCCAGCCTGGGCACCATACTGCCTCCCGGCCCTGTGGGCAGGAGCTGTGCAAGGGCCTGAGGTGAGGCTCCACCACCACTGCAACACTGTTGTGGCTGTAGCTGTGGATGCAGATATGGATACAGTCATGGACATCGATGGGTGAGTCCCGTGCTTTCAGTTTCTGTTGTTTTAATGTGGAGACTTTTGGCCCTGCGGGGGCTGTATCTCTGTGAGGTAACTGTAAACTTCGCTGGGAGCGCTAATGTAGTGCACCACCTTGGTCACTTCAGAGTAGTGGTTTGTTTTCAGTTGAATGAAATTTAGTTGCATTTTTTTCTGTTACTGATTAATCTGATTAATGCTGTTGTGTTTTTGAGAGATATTAAGATCTAGGTTTGGGGTTTGTTTGCATTACCTGCTCAGGCAGAAGTGTTTCGTCTGAGCGCCTCTGTAGAGCCAGTAATTTTTGCAAGGGTCTTTAAAACTTTCTTGAAAACTGAAGTAGCCAAGTCCTGTTTCTGTCCAGTTCCCATATAATATAAATGTCATCAATACTACCATATTTTGTCTTAGCTCCAGAAATTTACTTTCCCCCTGATTTACACAAAAGGATGCCAGGAGCAGAGGTAAGGGAAGGTGAATCTGAGGGAAACTCAGGGAAACTGAGCAGGACTGGAGGCACCAACGTGATTTCCTTGTAAATGGTGTTTGGATGTGGTCCAGAGTTTGCTATAGATGTGCCATTGACAGTCTAAGTCTAGACTGAAGTATTGAATCAAAAATTTGAGTATTTTCTTCTAAAGAATGGTAAAGTCATCTCTGTGAGTTTGGGGTGCTGGGTTGTTTGTGGGACCAGCTGTTTCTGAAGCTCAAAAAAAGTAACAGCTTACATGTTATTGTTGTTCTATGCAAAACAAACATAAACCTTCAAGCAGCAGGTGTTCTTCAGCTGTTTGAAGTTTGAAAGCTGTTCTGGGATGTATTTTCAGAATGTTTTCATCAGTAATTGCTTGGATTATGTGGGCTTGAAAAGTGGATAAATGTACATATTTGCTTAATCCCATGTCTCGGTGCAGTGCCCCTCCTGAGGGCAGAGGAGCAGGCTGGGGCAGGATAACAAAGTCAGCCGTGGCTGGCCCTGCGAGCAGCCTGCAGGTGTGGCCATGTGTGCTCCCGGTGGCAGAGTACCCCAGGTGTTGGGAGCCCACACGTGGCCTCAAGACGCTTGTTTTCTCCATCCAGCGTGCACATGGGAATCCTGTGAGGTTCATCAATGCTCCATGTTGGCTCTGAGAGGGGCAATGAATCTGTGCGTGTCTGGCTGTTTCCCTTGATGTACATGTGCAGTGCTTAATCGTGGCAAAACAATTCTATGAAAACAGGCTGCCTGGGGGATAACAAGCACAGCCCCCACTAACCTGACGGCTGGGGAAGTCTCTCTTGGCTGGTCTGGTGGAGTGGACTGCAGCCCTCCCCTGCCAGAGTCTGGGTTGAGGTCCCACTGACTACGATGTTGGACATGTGTGTAACAGTGGACCCTTTCAAGGGGAAAGCCACTAATTGCTTGTCCCCTCTGGAGCAAGGTCACATGTTCCTGAGCCCAATAATTCTCACACGTGCCTGTGGTTGCTGATCAATATTTACTTCACACAGTCAGATTCTCCTTCACATTCAAAGAAGTGAATGTCTTAGCAGCAGCGTTACACAAGGTTGATGGCATTGGGCTGTTCCAGGTGACTGAATCCCCAGGAGTCTGGGGATTTGCGTGTCCCTTGGATCCCAGGGTCTGCTATCAGATGGGCAATGCATCAATATGTCTTACAAGCAGGAGACTCTGCCAAGTTCTCTGTCCTCATAGTTAACCTTAGCAATATCTGCTTTGTCCGTTGTGGGAACTACACCTCTGCAAAGCTGCAGCATGGTGTGCTGTCTGTGGGCTTGCAGGCATGGGCATAAAGCAGCTGATGAAAGACAAAGTGGGAACAGGTGCAGCCCACCCGCGTGCACATGGGGTTATGCTGATTACTGACACCTCAAACACTCCATCCTGTCCAACTCCTCTTGCTAGTTTGCAGGATCTCAGCTGTCCAACATGTGCTAGCAAGTGTTTGGCAGGAATGTTTTTGTAATGGAATCCATTACAAAATGCTTGTGTTCTTGGTTTATGAGGCTTCTTAGGTCCCCTAAATGTGTTCATGTGTTCCTTTGTTTCGCAAATGTATTTCTGGATAGTGTCTGCTGCACAGTATCTGTATGATATAATTGTCATAAAACTGAATTTCTTTTAGATTTATAGCTGAAGCCAAAAAAAAAACAAAAAAACACCACACTTTGGAATCCTTTTTCTGCTTGCCTTTAGCGATGGTCATGTGTATCTGATAAAGTTTGACAAAGGGAGGGGGAGGAAGGACTTGAACATGTGCGTGTGCCCGTGAACTCCGCACTGACAAGTGCACAATCAATCGAGCCTCCAGTAAGCGAGCTGTAGCTGGCAGCAATCACATTGATTGTCTCTTGCGGCAGGTACTTCTGCAGAAAGAGTTTGGAGGCTTGGGAGGGGTGGGTCCCCTCTCACAGTAGATTTCCAGCCCAGTGGGGAAACGGGAAAGGGTGGAGGAACGGGACAGCCCTGTGCCACCTCCTCGTGAAGCAGCTTGTGTCTGCTGCCCGTCAGGAGAGAGAGGCTCTGTCTCTTAAATTGGCATCTCTATTATCAGAACATCGTGTTCAATTCAACAAGAAGTTTATTTTCATCCTTCCTATAAGTGACTGTGAAGAGGATATGTGCCAGAGCTTTGAGTCACCCACACACTGAACCGTGGCAGTGCAGCACTGCTTGCAATGTATGATTACGGGTAGTAGTAAATCCTTGGTAGGAGGGACTTGCCTTTTACAGTCTTTTCTCTGTACAAAATTAGAAGGCAGGCACTGAAACAGAAACTTGTTTTCACCCCAAGGCAGTTCTGGAGCACGTAAAAAGTGTTAGCTGTGTCGTGCCAGCATTTCCCATAACAGGATAAAAGTAGTTGCTATTCTCTGATAGTAGGAGGCTTGAGAGCATTATGAAAACGGTGAGTTGGTATGGTCAATTCTGCAAGTCACGTGCCAAAACTATGCTGGTTTAAAAATGACTGATATTAGCATCTATTCTCCCTCATGAGGTATTTTTTTTTACAATATTATTAAAAAATAATAATAATAAACTGCCTTTGTTTACCCAGTGCAAGATGCTGGATGAATGTAGTGACCATGTATCTCATCTTAATTATGTATCTTACTCATTTGTTTGGCTTTCAGTTCTGCCTGGCTTTGCAAGTCAGCAAGAGTTCAGTTAATTATGTCGGCCCTCACCTCCCAGGCAATTACAGGTGTCTGTTATTATAGTTTCTCTGACAGAAGCCCTGCACTGAGTAGTTTAGATTTCAGTTAGAATAAAAGCCAGTCTCTTGCCCGGCGTGAGGCTGTAACACAGCTCAGGTACCATTGCCCCTTGTCCCTGAGCGACCCACATCCTTGTGACAGGTTTGCTGTTCTGTGGTGTTGCTTAAGGATAAGCAGTGCAGGCTGGAATACACCAACAGAGTCAGTGTCTAATTAAGTGAGTGGATTCAGCTGGAGGAGGCGATACGGTAATCACTGTTCACCACCTGTGAAAGCCCTGCTGCATTTGACCTTTGGCTTGGTAGATTTTCCTGGAGGTGTGAAGAAGAAAGGTTGGGTGCAGCTGGAGCACGGAGCCTGTCTCTCAGTTCAAAGGCCTGCCGCAAGGTTTGGTGAAGATGCTGAGCATCCTCCCATCGCCTCCTGGAAGCTTTTGTTTCCATACCTCTCTCAATGTGCAGCTGAGGACTCTTAGATGATGTTGTGGTGTATTCCGGGGCTGACATACGGGTTTGGATTTTCAGCTCAACTATTAATAAACAAGAGCCAACGTGGTTAAGTTCTGGTGTAAATGGAATAGCTGGTGGTTATTTCAGAGCAGGAGGTTCCGTCTCTCCCTTCCATGTGTTCCCCCACGCTCAGTTTAACAGAGCTTTTAGGTGGTGGCTCTGTCCTGTTTGCAGCACAACTACAACATTTACTCATTAGGGTGATGAAAGTACAGCTGATTATTCAGCCAGCGACATGCTCAGAGGTAGTTTGAGCATTTCTTTTCACAGCAATGTCAGTGTGAGCAGCAATACCACTCGCTCTTGCTTCAGCCTTGCCTTGCAGCTGGGCAAGGATCGGGTTTGGGGAATACATTCAAGCTAAAAATAGCTCAGCGAGAAAAACTGCTGAAAGAACATGCTCTTCAAATTACAGCACAAGCGGTGCAGGCTCCCAGTGCAACTCCTGAGCTGGAGGCTGATGAGGGCTCAAGGGTGTGTATTAAAATATATGTTGAAGGGTCTTCTGACTGAAACCGCATGCCGGCTATGATCTAGGTCACACTGTGCAGGTCACTGAAAATGGTGAATAATGTTTTGTTGCAAAGCAATACATTTTCTTAATATTTTTCTCTGAAGCAGGAATAAAACTCTGGAGCCCAGTGTTCCTCCAGGAAAAAAAAAAAATCAGTATTACATATCTCAGGCAAATTGAGAACATTGTGGATTTGATGCTTGAGGACAAGCAAACAAAGGGAATGATAATAAATCCTAGGGGGTTAGCTCTATCCCATTATCCGTGTATTAGTTTTTATATTATTTTAAATAAAGACATCTGTCCCTGCTGAAGTGATGCTAAAATCAACTCTGATAGCAACTGCTTGAGAAACAGCAGGGAGCCTGCAAGTGGCTCACTGGCAGACCAGAAGCAAGTCTTAGCCCTGCGGTAGGGCCTCCCATTTTATTAAGACCTTCTGATATTCCTAGTGGGACAGTTATGTACTCCTGGGTGCTTACTGAGTAATGATATGTTTAAAAAACAAAACACTTTTTCATTATTTCTTTTTTTAACTTCACTGTATAAATGATGCCTAATACAATGCCTCTGCTTGATATACCCCAGAGAGACTGGGGCTGGATTGCCAGCCATCCCTGAGCCCTGTAAGAAATGAGGCATCTCTAGGCTCATGAATCCTCTTCCCACACAGCCAGGAATGTAATTTCAGTCACTGCAGTCAGAAGGAATGGGAACAGGGGGCCAAAAAGACAGAAGACATGTCAATTTGATCTGTAGCACAGGCTACGTTTCAGACTGCATCAAGTAGAGAGATGGAAGTGCCCCGAAATGTCCCGAGCTCAGCTAGGGTGTTCACTGCTGCACAGCCAGTATTAAGACCCTGCAATACTGTCCACTTATATAGTAACAGTTGCCACTATAAACAGATGTGATTGCAATATACCACTGTGGATTTGGGTCACTGGAAGAAATCACAGCTGGATTTGCAGAGAGTAGACAAAGAAATGTTGGTATGCATCACTTGTCAGCCTGCCTCTGCTGACTGTATGTAAATTCTCCTCCACCCTGTCAATTAGTGCAAAATCACTTGAGAAAAGCCGTTCTTGCCAGGGATACAAGCTGCTGAGAATCTCCCCAAGCAATGTGAGCACTGTGGAATATACTTCCCTGCTCCCAGTAACATGTATCCTTATGAAAGAGATGCTTTGGCAGTCTGCAAAGCCTGTGAAGCAGCGGATAAAGAGCTGCAGGTGTACTGGCCTTTGCAAAGTGTTGCTTAAAGCAAGAGTTGACTCCACAGCTGGTGGTTTTGAGCAGGGTGAGCCTCCTAACCCGGCAGCTTCCAGCCCTAAGAGGATGGGGGGCATGGCGTTGTGCTTTGCAAACTGGTTGTAATGTCAGGCTTTATGCTGAGGGATAGCTTTCTTAATCGCTGAAGTAAATTAAGGCAAACAGTTCTGTCTTGGCTTTGTGTAATCCCTAAAGGAGAGGGTAAAAAATGACGATTCCTAAAATTGCAAATGCTTCCGGGATAGACAGTCCCTCGTGGGACCGCGTGCGTGAGTGCACACCTGCCACCAAATGGCAGGGATCTCTCTGGGAACTCTCTCCCTGGCAACACAAGCTCTTTCTAGTTCTCTGCTGTCACTCACCCACACAGCATCTCCAAACGGATGGGATATCCCTGCCAGCGTGTCACCATCTGTTGTACTTGTTTCTGTTCCTCTCGTGCATGCTATTGTTAGCCCAGCATTACAGCACAGCTAGGCCTGCGGCATGTCCTCCTGCTGTCATTAACCAGGGCTGGCCTGAGCCACGCAGCCTTTGCCCACAACACACTCTGAATCCTATTTCATTACTGCATTGATTTTTATTTTATTTTAATCTGTTTTTCAAAATCAGAGGTTATCTGTTCATTTTCAATGCAAAGGCTGTTCCTGCCATCAGTGTGCGGAGTGTAATGAGAAATTCCACTGATAGCTTGAAGATGTGGCTGGGTACCCCACCAGGTCCTCTGGTCACAACAGGAATAATCATCAGTTCTGTAGTTATTTTGCCAGCGTACCTCTCACTGCTCTGAAAATTCAGTTCATGTGATTATCCCTGTTGTGGCAAAGCATCTTGTCTGAAAACACAGACTTGCAGACCTTCTCCAGGGATGTATTAAATTCCATCCCTGCCACCCCAACCTTCCTGCCCTGCTCACCCTCGGCACGAAGGCTGCCATTTCCACACACCTATCATTGTTAGCTCTTTCCTTCTTGTTGTACAGGCCAAATTCTTTAAGGGTAATTACATGGTGTCTCTAAATACAACTTTCCTTATGACATTAGTACTGGTCTATTTAATCTTTTCTCGAGAAGGAGGGTTTCTCCCATTGGGTGGTATTTGAAAGCACTGTAGCCACTCCCTGTGATAATTACAGTAATAAGGCTGCAGTTTAGCCTGTCCAGAAAATGGCTTTTGCAGACACCCTCAAATTAGGCTAGGCTCCTTGCAATAGACCAGCTGCTATCAGGAGAGACTGTTGTCAGATCGTCGCTCTTAATTTTTAACGTTATTGCTAAAAAAAAATGATGAACTATTAATTCATTCAGACTTTAATTTGCTCAATGAATATGATCATCCCCAGCAAATGGCAGTGGCTGCTCATCTGTGAGCCACGTAGTCTTGATTTTTGAGGGCTTTTTTCAGCAGTGAGGCACTTGTGTTTTTATTCTGCTATTTCTGTCTTGGCCCAGTAGTACTTTGTACCATTTTAATAAAACAAAATTGTTACATCTTTGTACAACACTAAAATAACTGGACTGAAGAAACCTGTTTCTATATGATTTAAGACTCAGATTTACCAACATGCTGGGCGTGTTTCCCAGCTGCCTGGGTAGTCCTCAGCAAAGTGGGTTTTCAGCTGAAGAAGGTCCCTAAGCTCAGAGGGTGTTGTCATGTTGTCTGTTTCTTTTTCACTTCACTGGGTAAATACTTGAACGTGGATTGATAAAGGACTGAGCGTCCTTTTCAGCCTTTTGATGTGTGACATGACAGCTACAGGGAAAAGATAGAAAATAAGGATTTCTAGGGGAAAAAATTGTCTTGAGTCTGGAGAGGTCAGGAAGCATGCTGCCCACTTGGATTATTTAACATCTTGAGAAACAGATACTGAAAGAAACCTGCAGTGCTCTGTTTGACCCAAGTAGGTCCCAAGTTGTATACAAAAAAATAAAAACAACCTCAGCAGGAGAACCCCCACAAGACCTGATTATATAGCTGCAGCTTGCCAGGTGGGCACAGGCAATAAAATCAAAAAGATTTAGCTAGAACTACGTTTGAATAATTGATATGGCTGTACAGTATTTATTAAGTAATGTTTGATTAAAACCAGAGACCTGTTCTGACCCGTTTCCTTCCCTTTGCCTATTTTCTAAAAATTTATTTCCTTTACTTTTCACCCCCTAACCTTCCCTAAGATTATTTCAGAAAGGTAGAAACTGTGCTACACTGACCCAGTTTTGCCATGTGAAAGTGGCAAGCCCAAGCCTCTGTTCCTGAATGAATGAGGCCACAGAATTTGTGCTCAGAGCTGCAGGAGGAGGAAATGGTAGGAACTGTATTTGGGGGGCTAGCAACATCAATGCATTAGCTGCTGCTTCCTTGGATTGTTTCTGGTGAGCCAACAGGTTTTGTCACTTGTTGGTAGAAAGTCTAAAAACATGCTTAAATTCTTCGTGCAAAGGTGCAGATATCTCACCTGATGACACAGCCCCACAGCTCAGTGACAACCTCCTGCTGCTGTGGTGCTCGCTGTAGGCCATGCAGGTAAGTGTGTGCAAATGTGATTCCACACCTAAAGAAAGTTTCTTTTTCCCTTCTCCTATCTAAAAAACACCACAAATTTTTGTGAGAAGTAAATTCTAACTGTTTGAGTATTCTGTAAGCAGCTCACAGCAATAGGTATGATGAACATCATTTATATCTACTCTACAAATAAAGTTGGCTAGGTTTGAAAGAAAAGGGGATGGGGGGAGCAATGCAAACCTCTTGTCTTTTGTTCTTATATGATTTGAAGTGGAAAATCTGAAGTTGGGTACGTTAAAGCTGAAAAACATGCAGCCAAATCCCCTTCAGGCTTAGGTTTTGCTTATACCAACTGATAGTCTTTCAGCTACGCACTGCCTATCTTGCTTCTGTTTGCACTGCATTGCAGTAAGTGCTTGGCATTAACTGCAAAAAGCATTTTTCCTGAGTTTCATGAGCAGGTTAAGACAAAAACCTAACCCAAAGTAATCTCACAGCGACCACCCCCCTAAAATGGCAAGGGCTGCCACCACGAATGCTTGCATTGCCACCTGACACACAACTGCTGCAGCACCTTGTTCTGGGCAGGTTTTTGTCATAGGACAGCACAAATGGCTGGGACAAGCAGAGCAGCCGCCTTTTGGTGTCTATTGATTAAGTCCTGCAAATTAAATTAAAGCAATTTCTTTCTGTAATTACTTGTGTTGCAGATCCAAACCAGCTTAAGGACCTGAATGATAATCTAGTGTAAATTGAAGCGCTACAGAACACTCCTGGCTTTATGCAGATTTCCATTTTGTTCCATGACTGCCTGTCACTTTACAACAGGGCTGGGGCCCAGATCTTCAGGCATATGCTGATGCCTAGTTTTTCAGAGGGGATCTGAGCCCAAACACATGATGCTATTTGTAGGCAGTTTGGCAGGGCAAAACACACACTATTTTCTTCTCTAAAAATATTTTTCCTTATTTAATTACACTTGCTTTAGCAGTTCTCCTGCAAGTTTACTTATATAACTAAGTTCCCTTGTAATACATTGAACTGTTTTTTTTTTCTTTTATTATTATTTCCAGTTCTACATGTGCCACTTACGCTAAAAGACCAATTCAAGGAATTGACTCTGTGTCCCAGAAAAGGCCCTCAATACTGCCTTCTGTGTTTACACCTGCTGCTCTGCTCTTCCCTTCCCTGCTGTGCACTGACCTGCTGCCCTTGCCTTCACAGTGCTGTGGAAAACATGTTTGACTGTGAATTCCCAGCACTGGAGTCAGGGAACTAGAACAGAGCAGTATAAGGAGATGGTCTTCCCAGAAGGAAATCTTTTATCGGCAGTGACCCAGTCATGTGAAACTTTCTCATCCCCAGGCAGAATTAACTGCCCGCTGCCATGCTTCTTCAGCACATCTGCACCAAGTAAACACCCAAAAACACCCTGTCTTCAACAGGAGGTACATGCTGATTCCTTAGAGATGTGAACGTGCACTAAGAACAGCTTTGAGTCGTGCACAACGTGCAGATCAAAAACTAACACATGGGACTAAATCCTCACTGTTGTAACCCTTTATGAAAGAACTACTGTGTTTAAATTTTTATTTATTTTTTTTTCCCAAGCATTCAGTGGGCTGCTCTGATACAGTAAACTGCTCTTTTGGATCAGCTGCAGGTTGTAGCTCTTGCCTAGGGCTGATAGGGTGTTCTGTAATTAATTGTGCGTGTATTGTGCTTCATTACTAAAGCAAGCAAACACCGCTGGTTAAAGGGTTTCTGTCTGGAGGATCTGTTATGGTCACACACTCACGGGGCTGGGTTTGTTACTTGCTGATCAGGGATTCACATTGGTGAAGTTCATTCTATTCTTGCAAGTATAATAAACGAAAGGGAACAAGGGCTACCTTTCTCAAGAGCTCTTCAGCCCTAAGAGAAGGGACAGGGTGGTTAAGGTATGTCATGTACAGTTATTCTTGAACCTCTTCAAACACACATATTTGAGCTGCACAGCAGCTCGCGTGAACCTGAAAAACACCGTAAACAGGAGGCTAAACTGACTCATCGCTTGGAGGCATCAACAGACCTTGAGCTTTGTCTTTCCTCCTGATTTTTATCCTTGAAGACCGCCTCAGAGGAACTCTGGGAGCAAACACCTCTTGACTGCAAGGCCAGTCACTGGGTACAGAACGGGATTTCCAGCTGTGTCAGTGCTTGACTCTGAGAAAGAACACGGGGAACATTAATGCCTGTGGGACCCGAATGTCTACGTCCTGGAAACAGTCCTGAAATACCTCAGTCATTGCTTGCATTTCTGCCAGTCCTTCAGACTTTCCTGTCTTTCTACTCCTCTTCCCCCCAGTACATATATATTTTCTGTAGCCTGAAAAACTGAGTCCATAATGGAGAAGAGGCAAAACATGGAAAAAAAAAAAAAAATCACAAATCCTCCCATAGCACCAGCTCTAAAAGCCTTTGAGCACTGTGCAAGCTGTTAATAAAACAGCACAGCCTTGTGAAACATGCCACAAGCAGCATCTCTGTGCAAATCTCCAGCAGCATCCCCCCAGCCTGCCTGCTGCCAGGGTGTCGTGGGGCTGGGAGGGCAGGAGACTCCCTCGGCTTGCACGCACGCCCCCGGAGCCAGAGTGCAGCTCTAAACATAGCTCCTGTCACGTGCGAGGAGCCAAGGCTGCTGCAGACGCCCACGCTGCGCTCACTGAGGTTATTTTTAGCATTGGTGACAAGGTAACCTGGATGATTCCTGCCAAATGAGGAGGACATATATTAAACTGTACACAGCCAATTAGCAGTGACAGACGATCTCTTCTTTGTGCCTGCCCTTCTGTCTCTGAAATAAATCTGTGCCGTGTCTTCCCAGCCAGTCTGAAATTATGATCTGAAATTGGGGCAGTTCCCCAACTCCTACTCTAGCCAGCGGGAGTTTAAGCACAGTCAGGGCTTCATTTTAAAAGAAAAGAAAACACAATACACAACCAAAAAAATAAAATAAAATAAAATAAATTCACCTGCAGATTGAATTTTAGGCCAGTCTCTAAACTGGGCTAAGTTCGGTGCCTTCAGTCTTCTGCATTAGGGCTACTAGTAGTTTGTACCTCTGTCCCCCTTTGATCAAATACAGGTGAAATATTCCCCAGAGCCCTGTGAATTCAGCCCACTTTCTCTCGGGAGGGCTGATGTCTTTCCAGCGAGCAAAGCAGTGCTGAGACGTTTCCGTGAGGAAATGGTGCTGCACCTGCTCTTCCTGGGAACAGGGCACAGTAGGTAACGTTTCCCTTTATTGCTGCTCTGTGCTGGACTGTCGTGCTTTATGCTGTTAGTTTGCAAAGCTGAAATGCTGTTTGCTTGGTGTTGCTCTGGCTTCAGAGGCACTGTGAACTTCATGCTTTGTTACGTGAGGCTGACCTCCAGACCAGGGTCTGCATTTAGCTACATCTGCAGTTCCTGGGCAAGTTAATTTGCCTTTCAAAGAACCTTAGGGCAGCGCTAGAACTACAGATGCCCAGATATGGTGAAACACTGAGTAAAGCTACCTCTTTTTCCAATTTACATTGTTATGAAACCGTGCCCCAGCATCATCTGCTTGTCCATACCAGGATTTTCAATATGATTACACTCAGTTGTAGGTGCTTGAGTTTTGGTTCCTCTCAGAGTCCACGAATCTGTCATTCTTCCTGCTAGACTCCTTTTATGCCCACACTGCTGTATCAGAATTCCCATCTCCATAATCTTTTAAGCGCTGCTTGATGCGTCGTGTCTACTTATGCAAATATCCAAGGAGGTGAAACAGAACATGAAGTGAAAATTACAAGTATAATCTTTTCCGGGAATTCATGTTTTCACTGAAACACTAAGTAATAACGGAGTGTCTTTAACTGTGGTTAGACAAAGTGTGCTCAAGAAGTATCAGCCACCCAGGCAGTTCAAACATGAACTTTCTAAACAGTCAGATATCAAACTTAATTAAACAACCCCTTTTCCTGCGTCATTTCTCAGTCTAGCAACTATTCCACACCTCCAGGTCTCAGCTTAAACCCCTTCCAGAACAAAATGAGTCTGTACGGCAGAAGGCAGTTATTGCAAATAATCGTACTTGCAGATGCCTTTCCTGCCTCTTGACACAAAGAGCTCTCAATTCACTGAATTCCACTGAGGGCTTATTATCTGCGCTCCGAACACATAATAATTGGAAACAAGACCTGTTGGGAGCTGGAGTATCCAAATCTCCGTTGTCTAATGCACAGTAGAATATTGCAGGCACATGCTGGGGCCTGGGGCACTGGGGATGCATGAATTAGTAAGAGAAAACATGACTGGAAAGGGAAATCTGGGGAAAATGGAATACTGCCATTTTGGATGGAGGCAGAGGGAGAAGTGCATGTTTCCACGGCAACAAGTGGTAGACCAATTTGGCTTGGGAGCGCAGGAGATGGGAAATGTGCTTTTGAAAAGCAGCAGTGCACATAAATGAATCCACAATTCTGTACTCGGAGTGCTGTCAGTCAGTAGTAAGTCTGGAGTAAGTGGACTTGCACTTCTGTAAAGGTAGAATCTGGCCCAAAAGATTTAACAGAACTCCTTGTGCTTTTTAGAAGGAATGGGTTAGACAGTAAGGAAAAATAAGCATTTCATTTAAGCTTTGGTTGCATAAACACTCATGAGCGTGATAGCAGAGTTGGCTTTCTTGCCAGATTCTCAACTACTATTGAAATGTTTTTCAAGTAGAACCACTTTAAAAAATACAGCGGTTTAGAGAAAATGCTGTTCTTTTGTCTCCCCATCTTTTATGTTACTTAGACACTGTTATTTGGTATATTTTGCACATTATATACGTCAGCACAGCTTTCCCCCCAGACTACAGAGCTAGGCTGTGTTAGATGTGAGAAAGGCAATTTTCTAGACCGCTATAGGCTTTCACATCCCTACAAACAAGCGGTAAAATATTGATCTTGAAAACAACTGCCTGTTTACTTGCTGTTCTTATGCAGACAGCCATTGAATAACAACTCTCTAATCTGCCCGTACATTATTCTCTTGTGCGAAACGACAGGTCTGCAGCCTGATGGTACATGTAGATTCATATCTCAGCAGGCAAGTCCCATTGCTATTATCAAAGCATTGCCAGTACAGCAGCAACGTGCTCTAATCTGCATAGGTAATGGCAAAACCGTACAGAGAGCACACACAGCTCTTGGATCCCGACTGCCTGGCAGTACTTCACACCTGAGTGCTCAGTGGTGTGTTGCTTAGCTATAAACTTCCAAGTTGCCACATCTACAGAGATTAAGCCACGCAAGTACCATTAAATGAATAAATGTGAAGACCTCAAAATCTCACTCAGGATTTTCACTCTTCTTCCCCGTGTGGTTATGTTTCAATGCTACTGCCAGGTTGTGCTCTGAGTGGGGGCTCTGGGGTGGTCTGGGTTTGGGGGCTTGAGAAATAGTTAGAAACTCCAGAGGGATGTATCTAGTGCTTTGACTCTTTGGCCCTTACCAGTACCCATTTTTAGGATTGGGATTTATTAGTATTTTTTGGACATGTACTTGATTTTGCTGGTGTAAATATTTTCCTGCATGTATCCATCACCTGAGCTTGTCTGCATGGTCACGTTCTATTCTGGTGGATGAGTTAAGAGCTGAGCTGAGCTCTGCCAGCGCACATATGTGCTGGAAGTTGTGTGGGAGATTGCTTCCAATCTGTTTTGCCATTCCTGGCTATCCCAGCAATCTCTGCACCGTCTGTTCCCCAAGATGCACGGAACCTGCCACATTCCAGAAGGAAGGAGCGAAATGAAAGCCTGTTTTCCAGCCTTTGGAACAAAGGTGGCTTTTAGCCATCCTCTTGACATTACCATTGAGACTAATAGCCTGCACCACAGCTTGCTCCATAAGATTGTAAGAGACAGATCTTTCCTGCATTTATCCATAAACAGTACATTTCCTGGCTTCTGGTGATGACCAGTTCTTTTTTTCACCAGTAGAGTAGCTTCCTTTTAAAATCCTTGTAATGTGCTGACACTTGACTTGAGTTATGACTCCTTTATAATAATTCTCCAGGCTCATTATTAAGCAAGTTAAATAGGAAATGAAAAGAAAATGATAAAGCCTCAAGCTGCAATTCCATTAGACCTTTCACACTAGGGGAAGGCAGGCTGTGTTGCAGAGAGGTGACCTTCCAGGCATTTCAGCAACACAAAGTGTGGCTGGCTGGCTAGAAGAGAATCTTCTTGCTCAGTGAATATTCTGTGATGGTCCAACTGTTTTTTAAGAATGCAGTAGGATGGAAACCTTTTTTTGTGTGTTTTAGAGCCATAAAATTAGGTGCCTGACCAATGAAGACATTTCATAAGCAATTAAGTGGCCAAAATACTGGAATTAACAATGTCAAAGTGCAGCTTGAAATGTTTTTGTGAAATAAATACACAACATTAGATGAGCAAGGCCGTGATCAAGGTCTATTTTCTTTCCTAAGATGATGGGTATTAATGTGGCACATCCATAACTGGTTCTGGCTGTAACTCTTGGAACTCAACATAAATTGGTATGTGGTATTTTCTGCTTGTATGGGGCGTACATATTTTTTGTGACAGGAACTGTCATCTGCTCTGTCTTGTGCAGTCCCTCACACCACACCATTCTTCTTTGGGTGTGAAGTGCTACCATGCTACAAAGAATGAACAGCAGCTCCTGAGACTGGAGGGCAGTGATTGCTCCATCTCCAACATTGCAGGGCATCATGAACTTTACCACAACTCTCATCTACATTCATTCAGCAGCTCATTTCCTAGCTGAGGGCAAGTGTGGTGATGGCAGTGTTTCCTTCCGCAAGCTCTGGTCTGTAAGGACTCACGCTTTGATCCATATGCATGTCTCTCATTCCCTGTCCCCTGAGGTAAAGTTTAATCAAATGCATACACATGAATAAGCTAGCCTAAATATCAATAAATGTTTCTTTCAGGAGAGGCTTGAGATATTAAATATTTAATAAGCCTCAAAAATGAACTTCTGTTCATGTTTCTCAATTTGATTCCAAGCATTTTGGCGGCAAGCAGTGCGCGCTATCCCAGTGTGGGCAGGCACAGCACACATTATTTAGCACTCCACTTTGTCTCATCTAAAATATTCATGTTTTCAGATATCCAAACGTAGCTCTTAGAGGGGGAAAAAAACAAACCACATGCACACAAAACAAATGGTGCAGTCTGAGCCTCACAGTCACCCTAAATCTTTGCTCTAGGCCGGCTGCCACAGTCATGCTATTTCTCCCACAGCTCTACCCTGTTGCCCTGGTTACTGATCTAAACCAGACCATGCCGACCATCCCCGCTGTCCCTGCAGCTGGGCTTGCACAAACACCTAACCCACGCATGGGCAATGCTGCTGAAGTTCCTGCTTAAAGCAGAAATACAGCCACCAATCCACCCAGCAGCTTTCCCTTCTTCAAGTAAGAATATGCAGCTACAGAAATTGCCTTTGTCCTCAAATTCAGCTGGTGCTGACAAGGCAAAACCAATACATAAATATATTATGAAGTTAAAGTACTACCCTTCTTGGAGGACCTCAGCAATCTTAATTACATCAGCAGAGCCACAGGTAAATCTGGCAGAATTTTATCCCCTCCAGTGACTTCTGTCTTGTTTTACATTGAAATCAAGGGATTCCGTACAGAAGAAGCAGTTAATTTTTTTTTATGTGACTGATTAACAGCTGAAATGTGATATGTTGGTTTGTGATTCATGGCAGAAAACGGGTTCATGGGTGGGTGCTAGTTTCTCGTCTGACAATACTCAGAGGCCATTTCATTGGACAGGGAGGTTCGTCCCCATTCTTAGATACACTTACTTTGAGAGCTTCATTTCAATTTGCTGCCGGATTTCCTGTCTTTCCTCATCTGTCCTCCTTGGGAAAATATTCCTGTCTTCCAGCTCCTGCTTACTCGGTCTGTTTCGTAGTTTTACTGCCAGCAGTTCTTTCTTGCATTTTCTTGGCAAAGTACCTGGGGCATGGATTGAAAAGGAAGATATTAGAAAGACAGTTCCTGGAGATGAAAAACGTATCAAGAGTGGGAAAATATAGAGAGACAGCAACTTTTATGTTAGCCTTTGTTAGCATTATATTAGTCCTTATGTTAGCAGTTTTACACACTAGTTTGAGCAGTGCTACAGTTGTGCTTGTGAACAGGGCTCAGATGCAAAACTGCTTACAAATGCAGAAGGATCATGTTATCTTTATTGCCTTTATCAGCAAGCAGTGCTCTCAGGTGAAAATTATTTGCAGCTGAAACATGATTCACATCCCTAGTTTAGAAATCAAAGGCTGTGCATCTCGCCTCAGCCTTTCTTGCCTCACCTCAGCCCTCTGAGCACCCCTGTAGCCCAGAGGAACCCCAGTTCCCTGAATCATTTGCAGAAGGATGGGATGGCTCTGGGACGTGTGACCCCTTGGGTGAGCAGCAGGCATAACCAGTGACAGGCAGTGATAACTGAAACAATCAAAGTTGTTGCTTGCTCACTGTGCATTTTTATATGTACTTATAAATATATTTTTAACATCTTTGTGCTTTTCAGGCATAGAAGATCAGAGTTGTGAGCAGACACTGTGTACAACATTAAATGTAAGCAATTGCTTATACCTGCTTCCTGTCCAAGGTGACAGTGTGCCGTAACAGAAATTTAAATCAATACTGTACTCCTGACATCGGGCCTTTCTTTCTGAAGAGAGCAGGGGAAAATATTCCAAGGAGTGAAAGAGAAGGATGTGTTTTATGGCAATTTGCAGAATGTGGCAAGTTAATTGGACATTTGGGCAATGCAAGACAAATATTTATTGTGATTGCATGACCCGTCGTGCTTATTGTAAAATGGGCTGATGCATGTTTTCCATCAAAAAAGCTGATCTAAAGCATTGCCATTACAAAAGAATTCTTTGTAGGAGGACATGCAGAAGCTGCTTTCATTAGGAGTTTACTGCTCTTTAGTGTGCTGGATGCTGAGTCCTCGCTGCTGCCCCTCTGGTGACATTAGAAGCGTCCTTTCACTCTTGCTGCAGGGAATTGGGTTTGAGCTCAGATGTTTTTCTCTCTCTTCTGTAACTCTTGAGACTTAAGCATGCTAAGCAAGTGAAAATTGAACTTCTGAGTTTATAAATCTATTTTGCCATGTGTTTGGAAAGACAATAAAATGGCTGTAAGCTTTAACTGCTTGCAAAGAAATCAGTCTTCGTTCTCAAGTGCAGATTGGAAGTGTGAGGTGAAGTCTGTATCTGCCAAGGGGTGGGTTGCTCATGATGGGGGGAAAAAAGAAGGATGTGCTACCAAAACCAATGAGCTGCTGAGTCATCCCAGTAGGGCTGTGGTCTTCCACCAATCATACTACAGGGAGGTTGTAGCAAGCAAATTTACACTAGGCTTCTGTTTGCTGCTACTGCCTTGTACTGGCCCTTCTGTTGTCCAGTCCAGGACTTCAGCAGTCTGAAAACGACCCGTGCAGAGTGGCACCACTCAGGTGGGGCTCAGTCTGTGCAGAGCTCCTTGGAAGGAAACAAGGAAGCTCTACATGTGCACGTTATTTTTTTTTTTTGGAATGTGCACTACATGGTTATTCTCCCATTTGTCAGTGACAGCTGAGGTATGAGCCTGCTCCCATCAGGCTGTTATAAAACTACCTGCCGTGCCATACTAGATCTGATCTTTGAGTTATGGGAGAACAAGGGCTAGAAACACAGCGATTATTTGCACGGATGAGGTCAGAGCTCATTTTCTGCTGTCCTCATCCCATTGAAGGTCAGCTGAAACTTATGCTTTGCAGATAAAACACTGGACGCTTTTGCAGGAAGTCAGTTTTTGAAGCTGATGTGGAACCATTGACTTAAGCTAGCTCAGTGTGTTCCCCAGAGGCTTGTATTTCAAAGTGAGGTGGAATAATGCAATGTTTTGCTTGAAACAAAGTAAAACGAAGCTGCTCCTTAGGGCTCTGTCTACTCCCAGGCTGCTCCACTGCACACTTAGAAAGTCTACTACTTTGTGAAATTAAAAACACAAATCATATCTGAAAAACCTCAACTTTAACCCAAATCCTGCTGTGGTATTAGAGGAACAGAGAGCATACAACTCACACAGGATAAGCCGTGCTCACTTCATCCAGATGTTAGGATTTCTAAAAGGCTTATGCTATAGCCACTCCCATGGTCCATATGCACTGTGCACTGATTAATCTTTAGGGTATTTCACCAAATAAAAATGCAAGAGATCTGGATTAAGCTGATCTGATAGTCTAAGGAGCTGTTCCCCATGCCTGACCAATTGGTTTAATTCCTGAAAAATAATACCTGCTGGGCAAAATGAAAGGAGGGAGGTGATGTTACCCCTTTTAGGAAGATGTGCCAAGAAACACTGGGTAGTTGGTCCATTTTCATCTTGACTGACCCACTAGTGGCCAGTTCTGTTATTCCACCTCCTGCAGAAACCAGTATCTGATGTTTCAGAATTAAAATCAACAAATAAACAAAAACAAGAAGGGGAAAAAATATTAAAAATAAATAAATAGGAAATAAAGCCCCAAACTAGTTTATCTCCATATCCATCGTCAGCACCCTGAGACAAAATCCTTCCTGATCACTATCTCGGTGGAAAGTGAATCTGCAAATACCCTCATCTGTTTTTGTCAGTAAGACACCTTCAATGCCACTGCGTCCCATGACCAAGCTATCTCAGGCAGGATCTTGGCTGTGGCCTGTTACACAATTTATGGCAGCTCAGCTAGGTCAACAATAAGTGCTTTGAAAATTCACACCTTTTCCTGCTTGGTCTGCAGATTCCTGACAAAATTTCCTGTTTTAATTCAATTGAATCCTGACATTTAATTTCCTGTATGTTTACTGTTCTTTCTATCAAGCAAAAGGCAAATCCGAATACTGCATGCTGATGGAAAGACCTTGTGCACACTAGTTATCAGCTCTAGGCTACATGAGAGTAAGGTTATTTTTAAACAAGACTACCATCTCACCTTCTAATTTTGAAAGGTTTCAAAGAGCTATGTATTCACTACAGTGCAAATTGAAAGCAAAGATATAATTCTTTGCTTTTTCAGCATTGTGTGTGACCTGTACCAAGCTCCGTGTACCTGTGGGGCTGTTGCAGTGATACACCATGGCAGCAGCAGTGGTGAATCTGGAGACATGCTAAGGCAGTACACTAATTGTAATTATTTTTTTTTTTGATAGCTTCATCTCATGACTTGCAAACCAGCACAGATTTATTTATTTATTTATTTATTTATTTATTTATTTATTAAAATAGGAAAAACCTGGAGTTTTTCTGGAAATTATTCTAGTGCTATCCCTGTTACTACTGCTTCTCTCCTTCCCTTCTGAAATGCAAACAGATGGATTTGAATGGTTGCTGGCATAAGCAGTGCCACTAGTGTAAAAACCAGAAATGCCTTGCTCGTGTCCCAGTTTGCTTTGCATAAATGGGCAGCATCATATCTCCAAAGCTTCTTTCTCCTGGGTGGAATAACCATCCCACACCAGGAATTCTGTGGATTAAGCCACCATTTGCTCAGCTTCCTTGTACCCATCCATGGCAGCCTCCCTAGACACCAAACAGCTGAAACCTTGCATGGCCTGGATTTATGTTGTGCCCCTGAAATATATCTGAACTCCACCACTATAGAAACTGGGTCTTTTGTAAATGCATATTTAGAATGTGGTAGAACAACATACGTCCAAAAAAAAAAAATGGGAACAGAGGAGAGGACAGAAAAAAACTTAATGATCTCCAGCTATTTTAAATAAAATTATTTTAGGTATAAAGCTCAAGTCTTACAATGACTTGATGACTTGGGTAAATTTTAGGTGTGTATGGAACTGGCTTCTTGGTGCAGAGTTTGAAGTTTATGTACGAGGAGATCTGAACACCAAGGAGCAAGAGAAATTATTTACAAAGATGAAGGCAGCTACAAGCAAAGAAAGGAGAAAAAAAATATATTTCTACACTTTTTTTTTTTTTTTTTGGAATTGGCAAGTGTTTTTCAGGGAACAGGAGGTTATATACATATCTGAGGCCTCTATCAAATGATAAATCATCTTCAAGAGCTCTCTTTCCCCTTAGTGTACTTCTGCAGGTAAATACTAATCTGTATGTAGGCACCACACTACCTAATTTCATAACAGTTTTCAGCCTTACAAATTAGGCATCTGACTGGATATCTACACATGTACGTGTGCACATCCTTGGCACATCATCACAAGAGCTGGAGAAGCAAATCTGTATGTGGTTCTGGCCCCTGGCATTTTAAATTTGTGTCCTTAATCTTGTTCAATAAAACATTCAAGAATGTGTCAGCCCCACCCCATTTATATTCACCAGTCAGACCTATACACTTTTCCATCTGGCTTTTACATTTTGTAGTGCTCACATTCAAAAATGTATTTAATAAATTCTGGGAAGCATGCCCTACCCAGTCATAATACTTTACCAATTATGCCTGATACACAAACCATTGTATGAAGCAAGCCATAGATACACATTATGTTTTCTTAAATTGAAAGATGTAGTTATGAGGAAGAAGTTTCCTGTTTGGTCTGATTTGGTTTTGTTTCATGTTGTGTAGTCACTATTTCGAAGGGCAGATTTCAGGAGATGTCTGCAAGTGCTGCTGTTCTTATGTAGGAGTACAAAAGGTACGTAAGTCACCAAAAGGGTAAAGCTTACTGATACATTGACTTATCAGCATAACTGTATCCTCTTATTATGCAGTACATACCAAAACAGGCATGATCACAGTCACTATGATGTAAACATAACTTCAGATCTTCACCAAGATTCCTTAGAAAAGCTGATGTGACAACAGAGGAATGTGCACTGCTCAATATTTTCTGTTCTGTGCTCCCATGTTTAGAGTATTCGTTAGGCTACGGTAGTGTATCTTTATAATATAAGTGACTTTCCTTACCAGAAATAATGGAGTCATTCAAGACTTCTTCATCCTGATAAAAAACAGAGTCTTCCTTGAGCTCTGAGTTCATGATCATGTTTTCTTTGTTCTCATCAGACTCTTTAACTGAGTTACGCTTATTTTCTGAGTCACTGCTATAACCCAGTGAGTTCTCCTTTTCTTTGTTGCGCTCCATGCTAGACGTTCTGGATGGACGGACATCCACTCTTTTTTTTGGAGAGCCTTTGCTTTCTCTTCCGTGGAAGCTGTGGGTGGAAGGTGCAGAGCCCAGCTTTTACAAAAGACTGGTTTATTGTCGCAGTAGGAACTTATCATTATAAGAGACTGACCAGAATGGCCTGTAGCTCGTTAAGGCCAAAGCAAAGAGTTCAGCATGGGACAACAAGGAATAGCACCCTTAAGACTGTGTTGACAATGTCTATTATGGATCTACTTTCCTATCTTTATCATAAAAATATGTTACAGAAAGGTAGAGACTAATATGTTTTTGATATATAACCATGTGCTATACTGAACTGATAAAAAAAAAAAAAAGACAATGTCCTCAATGTAAAACATACAAGGCATAAAATATTACCATTCTGATATTTTATGATATTTTACAATCATGACAAAGGTTTAACAGGGCCTAGAAATGATATTGTATGAATCTATTCCCCATGACTACAGCTGCTATGGAGCTGAGAAATGTTACCAACTTAGCTCCAAAGCTCTGTTGGAAAAGGTTATCTCTGTCCTCCTCTAATACAGAGGAGGGTTTATAATGAAAACCAGATAAAACACCTGACATAGTCCCATACAAGCATTTGTATTAGGAAATGCATACCGTGTATGTTCGTGTATAAGCCAGGAGACATAGTGAAATAGCATTTCTCATCTGTAGAGTACTCATATTTATAGCACTCTTTGCCTTAGCTATCTAACTTATCTCATGGGGAGAGTTTCTTTGCAGTAGGTCAAGGATTACCAAATAATTCTACCTGTTGAAAACCACCTTCCATGTCACAGTATCCTCTTCATAAAGGAAGAACATACTTTAAAGTAATTGCCAAATCAAGCCCTTTAACCAGGGATAGATGTTCAAAGTAATGACTTCAGGAAGAAAACAGACTCAAGCCGTAGGATAGATAAAACACTAATAACAGGGGAAGGACATTTACCAAGAAAAATTATTTAGTGGAATGACTCTCCCCATGCACCCGTGTAGCCAAGAGGCTGCAGGTACCTGTCCTGCCGGTGTTTGGTGGCCAGAGCTCTGTGCAGTTCTTCAATGACTCTGCTGGGAGGTAAAGGCAGGTGGACGGCAGCCAGGTGAGGGGAGCCAGTCGGTGTTGTTACCTGTCCTCTGACATGGGGATCAGAGCTTTTCTGGCCAGAGGGATGGAAGAGAGCAGCTTGTCCTGAGATTTGGGAGGAACCGACAATTACGTAATTCTTCAGGATAGTGGAAGGAGGAGATTTCATGGCTGGGTCATCCGTGTCGCTTCCTGCTGGCAAAACACGAGGATAAGAGGTCATACAATGCTGCTTGTGTTTTGGCGCATAAAGCTGGCACTGAAATTAATTCTTCTGTTGAACAGAAGAAAATGATGATGTTTTCTTCTTGCTAAGAGGTAACTGGCTAAGCTGATTAACCATCTGAATTCAAAAGGCTCGTGCTGCACAAATATAGATCTTTGATCTAGAAAAATAAATGCTTTTCCCATTCCTTCTCATTCCCCGCACAGATTCTTCTTTTTTCCAGCCCATCATTGCATTCTTGATCATCAGTACTGTTCCTCCTAACCGCCAACTGCCTGTGCTGCGGCGACTTCCCAATCTAGCGCTTTCTCTGCTGGCCTCTGGCAGACGGTATTAAAATTTATGCACTGTGGTTCTCAGTCAGGACAAAATGTACCACTGTCTATTATCTGCTCCTCTGTGATTGTTGTGCAGCTTAGACCTCTGTCTTTCATATGCCAGTTGAGGAAATGCCAAAATTATTATAGTATAACGTTCGCCTAACAAAACTTGCCAAATGAAATCCAAATGATAGATGGCGTACTGAGCACTAAGAAGAGAAAACAAAGGGTAAAGCCAGCTAATATATAATCTTTTATCTAGAGGATTCAGGTTTTTATGCTGCATAAGCATTTTATTGGAAATTAGACTTTGTTAGATACATTTCTCTAGCACCCAAGTCCAAAGTGGACATTTCTCTCGTTGTAAGTTTGATAGCTTTCCTTTCTTAAGAATACTTGGCCTGACAAAATGACAATTAGTATTTCTGTTCTACATTTTTTCCCCATTTTCCATATAACCCAGGCCCAACTTTCTGGTGCATGGCCCTGTTTATTGCAACAGTTCAGCCTGGGTATAGAAAGCGAATGTGACGTCTTCACACAAGAGGGTATTTCTTTTATCTTGTTGCCACCTAGCGTTGTAAATAGGAATTTAAACTGATACAGCCCTGTACAGCCCTTGTACAAACTTGTTTTCACAGAATGTGTTTACTATTTTCTCTTTGAGAATGGAGAGCGGAATTTATTGAGGGCGACAGCAGAAGCACAGGTGAGAGGAGAGCTCCTGTAGCCACAATCAGATTCAAACATCAGAAATTTGAGTGTAGCAACACTGGTCTCTTTTTCACATTTGTGGGGTGGAGAGGAGAGCATCCTTCAGCAGGGAGATTTGCATCTATTGTATAATCTCCTTGCTTTTTCTAAGAGAGGTCTAACTCATGATTTTTTTAATTGGTTTGTTTGTTGTTTTTTTTTTTTTTTTCTTTTGAAGGCATTTTTGCACATTTCTCTTCATCCAACCCAGATCAATGGCCAGAGTTTAATCTCTATTTTTATGCATCTAGTAGGAAGGCAGGGGTCAAGCTGGTCCAAAAGTTACCCTGTTTAAAATCTGAAAATGTCTGAAAGCACCAGAGGATTTCTCCAAGTATTTAGGTGCCCAGTGTGCCATGCTTTGGCAGTGAGACACCTTCCCAGCCCAGAGGTGATCAAGGTAGCTTCTATGGCTGGGAGACAGCCAACCTGTGCTAAGAAAAGATGTTTTCTCAGCGTACAAGGGAGGTTTGGTTATGTGCTACTGTAGAAACACATAGAAGACATTTATGATCAATTGTTGTCTTTTAAATTGTGGCCTGAGGGGATGAAAGAGCACCTCTTCAATCACTTTCTCCCTCTGCACAATGGGAGAGGGTTGCAGTGTTTTCTCAGAGCCAGAACCCTGGGTTCAGCTCAACCCTAAAGCAGGAAGGGAGGAGACTTTGTTTTATCTTTGTATTTGCTTGTTCCTGGAATGGGCCAAAGGCCAATTTTGTCCTCATTGCAGCTTGGGCCAATATTGAGAGTTTCCCTAAATCACACCTTATTCATCCTAATAACAGCTGTTCAGTGAATAATCTTGCAAAGTGATGTCTTGGCACCTTGCCCTGTTCCCCTCTCTCTGTGATTAATTGGTGCTTGGCTTATTCCTCACTCCTCTGCTAACAGCATCTCTAGCATTGTTAAGGGGGGGGAAATCAAACACAGAAGAGCTTTTCAACCTCTTTGTCTTGCTGTTCTTTTTATAATAGCTCTTTGTTTCTCTCTCCCCATGCATTTGTATCCTCTTTCACTCACTGACAGTATTTGTTTAGGTTTAACTTACCACTGCCTCCACATCCAAACAAAAATAAATAAACATATAATCACTGTTGAATAAAGGTCTATAGTTACTGGAGTCATTGAGAAAACTGGGTTGTTCTTTGTGGGAAATTTAGATGAGGATGAAATACCAAAACTTAGGATATCCTGGATGGTAGAGGAAGTGCTTAGGGACTGTAAAGTGCCTGGTGGTTCTGTAATGTTGTTACCCTCTACAGGTTAGTTTTTCTGAATCTCAGGCAGAGCATGGGTCTCTCATCAGCTGAAAAGCAATAAAGAGGCATCCTGGTTGTGCTTGTTCACGTTGCAAGATGGAAGAGGCAGGCAACAACCTGACTCAGAGCAGAGAATGGTGAGGCAATCTGAACAATGGCTCCCAGGAAGCTCTGGTATGATACTGTCATGAATCCAGGTCCTGCTTAAGCTCTTATGGCTTCCTAACATGGTCAAAATAAGGACATTTTCCATAGGAAACAAACATCTGTTCCTCAAAAGGACCAAAAGCACTGATATTTTCTATGAGTTCCAGTGGTCACATCAGTGTCCCTCTGATATTTTGTTTCCTGATGACTTCGAAAACCCTGTTATTTGTGTCAGTGGGATGCAAATCAGGGCTGAGGTAATGGCTGTCATTTAAGTCTGAATACCCAACAGGTTTGGCATTTAGATGTCAAGACTTCATTCTAATTTGCAGTAAGACCCTGTTAACTGCTTTTACCATATGTAGGGGCCCTAAAATTGGAACGAACTAAAATCATATTCACTTTAACACCCTTTCTGTAGTGCCAGAATGTTGGAAAACGTAGTAACGTTGGCAATACGTTAGAAAATCAGGAAACATTCAATGAAGGCTGGCATGGAGGATTGCTTTGTGGGAGCCAGGTGTATCACTTATGTGCATCCTGTTTAATTACACCAGATTTCATAGCTTTAGTTTAGGCCTACCCTAGAGAGCAGAACCTGAAGACAGAAACCTCTACAGAGCCTATCGGGTTGAACTGGCTTGTGGCTGTTGTACTGTTATCCAGCGGGATTGTAGGTAATGAAAACATTTAAATCTCCTTGTGTTTTATGGCATATCGATATGAGCATCTGATTCAGCAGATGTTTGCGGTTGGTTTGATTTGTTTTACATGTGTTTAGTGCAATAGACTCAAACTAAATAATCCTTGGGGAGATCCAAATATGTATATATATTTGAAGTACAAAGATCAGTGCGTTATCAGGCAGCCAAACTGCTCGGTTCATGAAATTCATTATCGTTCACTACAACCACAACCAGCCGGATTCACAGTAGGCAACAACAGGCTTGCAAAAGGAACTAAGAAAAAATAGAGTATACTGTGCTGTGTAGGTGAACAAAGCACAAGGAGTGGCGAAGTCTTTCCTGACTGGAAATGACTGACCTGTTAGACTCTTGGTGATTTTGGAGATCACCTTAGGCGGTGGAGCTGGGAGCAATGGAGGGCTGGGAAGCTGTGCTGGGTTTCTTTCTGTCCCCTTCTGGGGAGAGTCTGTGGATTCAGAAATGAGTAAGGCTTGTGGACTGTCTTCAGATGCTGGCAGACTGGCATCTTCTAATTCTTCCACGGGTGCTGAAGGTTTCTTGGCTAGCAAAAAGATGAGTAAAATTAACGGAAAGGGAAGTTAATAATACTGATAGGCCAGGAAGCAATGCCAGAAACATTCAGAAAAACAGAACATATGGTACACAGCTAGAAGCACTTATTTACCTTACTGGAAAAAATGATAGTGTGAAATAGCCAACTAGCCAAAGCAGGTAAAGAATAAAATGTTTAAGAATATTGAAGAAATAGTAGTTTTGATGTTCCTGAGAAAACTGGTGAGCCTCTCTTCCTTTCTATTCCTTCCCTTAAGCCTTTTTGCCTTCTCTCTTTTTAATAACAGGGACAGCAAGGGAAAGCAACCTTTGAGAACTGCAATGGATTTTCTTACATTGGTGTAGCTGCAATAGCACACTGAGTGAGTGCCAGGAACATACAGCCATAGGGCAAAGACTATCAACCCTGTAACATTACATGAAAGTTGGTTTTCCAGTTGCTGTACGCATTTATTTTCACAATTTAGTTTTTATCTTATTTAATATATGACTACAACTTGCATCCTACTGCACCTGACTCCAGAACTGCTGAGCCTTTCCTGAGGCTAAAGTTGATAACCAGGAAAAGTCTGTCATAAAAAGATTTACCAGTGGATCTCAGCAACTAGCGCAGAATGGAGAATGGATGAAGTACTTAAGGAAAAATTCAATCACCAAAGCCTTAATTTGAGATGGTGAAGCAGTGCTCATTTCAGGATTGTCTCCTGAAAGATGGCAAAAGCACTTAGCTCTTAAAGTTAGTACAGGCTGAATCACCGAGCAGTTTGTCAAATTGGGCTGGCTGTGATGAGGGCACAGGGGAACAGATCCAGAAAGGCAAGCAGCTGAAGCAGGGCATGGGTGGAATTTCAGTGAAGTTCGGTATTAACATCTTTGAATTCTGCTCAGGTACCAGCTGACTCTGGCAGTGCTTAAAGTTACCCAGTGCCTCATGGTTTGACTTTCACACTCTGTACATGTGTACAAAGACCACACGAATATTTGCCTTGGCATACATTGTGGCCACAGCCGGGCTTTGAGCGACTCGGGCAGGACCTCCCCAAACAGCACGTCCAACCACCAGGGGCCCAGTAGTGCTCCAGCAGGTGGAGCACTCCTCCAAATGGGGAGATCCATGTTTAAATCTCCCCTCGGCAGGAGATGTGTCCAAACGGTTTGGGCTGGAGAAATGGTAAATCTCGCTCCCTTTAGCAGCCTGGACTGTCAAAGCAAAGTATGTTTCCCTCCAAATCATTCCAGAGCGTCTCCTAAAATCTCACAGAAGTGCGTACCCACAGCTGCCACATCACAAACCTTTTCTTGGCTAGGTTTTATGTCTTGTTTGGAATATGAGCTCTCTCTCAGCATCCTTGTGTTTAGAGTGCATGGGGAGGCACCAGAGCATTTAGACAGTTGGAAACAATAGCATTGGCAAGATAATAGCATTTAATTTGTTGACAAACAGATTAATGAGTGTGCCTAGAAGTGGAGGAATGAGTATTTGTCATTCAAGAAAGACAGGAAAGTGGAATAAATACACATCATTAGAGGGATTCTTGTGAAATTTGGCTTGATAGGAAAGTCTTATGTGATAGTTGCCTAAATTATTAAAGGAAATAATTTTCTCTAAAATATACATTTCTAGGGAAATGCTTTGTTCTAGTCTGACATCAGTTTGTGTTTTTTTGTGCCTGCTGCATAGAAGAGAGAATGTGGAATAGAAGTGAAAAATTAAGTCACTAATAGGTTCCATTATAGAAAGATCAAGAGCTCCAGTAGATGTTAGTAGTGTGACAGGAAAATTAGTCATATTTAGATGTTTTCCCCTGAGCTGAGCGATACTTTCTGCTGGCAGCAATTTCACTGCAATCAGGAGGCCTGCCTGTGCCACGAGGGGCCGTGCAGCACCGAGGCAGAGGAGCAGCCGTAGCGGGTCCTTGCCTGTAGAGGAGGCGGATCTGAAACACGCTCGGCCTCTGGCAAACATCTTTTTGTTTCGGAACTGCATCCTGTTCAGAGAACGCTATCACAGAAACAAACTGTCATTGTGTGCTGTTGTCTAAAAAAAAAAAAAAAAAGTCCATTTTACAGTCCCAGCAAAGAACAGTTTGCTTATTTTTTTTTCCCATGGTTGTTTTTGGTAATAACAGTGCATTTGACTCAGAGTCTGAGGCAGACCTGAGTCTTGAGTACACAAACCTATTAACAGATTTCGTACTGTAGAGGGAATGTTATCCTGCTGAATGTATTCCAATGGCTCAGCACTAGACTCCTTGGCAGAGTAGCTAATTATTCGTAGAGAGCTGTTTGTCAAAGTGCTACCTTGCTGGTAGGTAGGATTCATCCCCTTGGGACTGTCCCCATGCCCGTTAGCTGGGTCGGGTGGGGAACACTGCCCTGGTTCTGCCGAGGCTGTTCTTCTTCTGCGTTAATGAAATGTGAGCTCTACAAATAATCTTTTTTGTTCCCTCATCTTCCCCTCCTGACCTTCATGCCACATCATGAGGATGAAATATAGCATATTGGGTATGAAGCAAATATATTCCCTTTGTTTCTAGCTGGTCAAATATTCATACAAACTTGTAGAAAGACACCTACTGCATTGGAGACCTAGACTGAGCTCAAGGACACAGGTGTTGTAATAAGCTCTGCATTAGGATAAACTTTACAATATACTCCAGCAATTTTGAAGACCTTTCTCACCCAATGAGCTCCGTAAAGTAAAATCACTAGACAGAAGTGCTAGGGTGGATAGAGGGATTAAACTAGTACAGAAATTATTTTAAAAGCCACTGTTGAAGGAGGACTTCCAAAAAAATAGGAGTAGTCACAGACCAGGGAGACAGGTGAATGTAATCCTGCTGTTATTTTTTGGAAGCTAGGAAATGATACCTCTGAGGGAGGAAAAGAAATGCAGAAGGAAGGAAAGGTTATGCCATGGAGACAATAAAAAGAACTAGCATTAGAGAGGAACATAAGAAATTGGGATGCTTTGGAGAGCCTCAATACACAATTTTGAATGCAGTGGAAGGTGTATTTTAAGTTACAGTATCAGATTTTAGAGAGGCATAATGTTAAATATATGCATTTTTAGAGCCATCTTTCCCAGATAGTCTGTCGCAATGATAACTAGAGCTTCAGAGAGCAATTTGCTCAATGAAACGCTCTAGGAGAGAGTATCGCTGGTAGTAATAGCAGCCTGAGGTATTCTGGTCGAGAACTTGATCTGGTTGTTCTAAAACACTGAACAGGAAACAGGAGACGAGTGGGTTTTACCCCATTGAATTTTTAGAGTGATACAAAACCAAACACTCCATAGAGATTGAATAGAAAGGAAACATCATTAAGGGCAGGTATTAATAGAAGCTGTGTATGTCTAGTTCTCTATTTTCCTTCTGTTTTAAGAAACAATAGAGGATATATCTCTAGAAGCCCACATATAGTGCTTTGGGATATTTCCCAATGTGACAACACATAGCTGAAACAACGGCGATAGAATGGAGTTGCTGTGCTTATAAAAAAATCTTTGTGATGAGCAAACATGAGAATGGGGAGTACCTTTTGAGAGACGGGAGCATTTCTGTTGTCAAATCTATTAAGAGTAGAGCGGAGTGGGGCTAGAAATGGGCCAGAAGAGCAATATTACATAAAAGCAAAAGAGCAAAAATGAACAAAATTGTGAGTCATGGGGATGGAAAGGACTGGAGAAAGAAATGGGAAAGGATAAAACAACAACAACAACAACAAAAACCTTAGAGGATGACTTCCATTCTGAGCAGTTGAAGCATCAGTCTGCCAAACCCAGCAGGTGAGGGGGGATTGGAGGACGTGGCTGGGGGATAGGACCCTAAAGAGCATGGGGCATGCGCACATAGCATGGAAAAGAAAAGGCAGTTGGGGAAGGCATAAAAATTGGCCAGAGTGGATGGGCAGAAAGATCAGCAAGCGCTATGTGGCACTCCTCACAGCCTAGGATCAAGTGTTGTCTTTGGACCTACGCATTTCTTGGTTGTCAGGAAGTACACGGAAACCCTCTCGCTGCTGGGCTGGCCCTGGCTGCTCTGGTCCCATTGAACTGCTTCACAGATGAGCTTTGCATGAAAGGAGCTTGGTGTAGTTTATCTGTACCCATGACATTGAACTGCACTTGTATTTACAGTGTAATGGATAGAGCAAGTTGTGCATGGTCGTTGTTTCTCAAGCCAGGACAGGCAACTTCAGCCTTGGCATAGAAGTTTGAGAAATGTTTTTTTGAGAGAAGCTTGTTTAATCTTCACAGAAGTCACTGCTAATACCAAAGGGGCACCATGCCAAGATTGGATTGTCTCATAATCCAACTAATCCCATTATGCCAAGCTTTCTGTAGTCCCTCAGTTTGATAGCGGTCTCAAAAAATGACTTATAAAATAATGATTGCTAACCTGGTATGGGGAAGCTGAGCCGAACAAGGTGCTCAGGCTGTCTACCACTGGCATCTATGATTGCTCATGCAGTAGCTCAGCATAAATATATCTTTTAACATTTTATTATTTTTTTAAATATTTTTATCCAATACCTGCATCTTCTTTCAGCTCATCCAAATGCAGCTCCTCACCAAGGGAGGTCACATTTGTTGTGGCTGCCGTCGTACTCTCTTGCTGCATCTCTTCAGAGTCAAGTGCCTGGCACACAGGAGCTGGAGGGTCACTCTGCGTTGCTCTTGTGGCATCATCACCAGTGCAGGCTTTGCCTTCAGTATCTACAACACCAAATCATTTAATCTTAACTAAACCATGAGCAGTGAAAGCAGAACCCCCCTGCTATCCTCTCTGGAAGAGTGAGTCTCAGAGATGCAAGTAGTTTCAGTAAGTGGTTAGGAGACTGAGATTTGTCATACAGCAGCACCTGATTTCTAAAAGTGCTGAACGTCTGTAATGTAAACCCATGGATACCAGCCCATCTGGACACAAATATACACCCTGTTTTCTAGATAAGGCATCTTTTTCTGTGGGCACCCAGCAGCCCAGGCAAATGGCCATTGTGCCTGTACAAGAAGGCCACTGTGCTCTGGAAGCACCCGACGTGCAGGAGAGGAGGCAGTTCCTTTCCTGAGCAGATCTCCCATGTAGCATGGGCACAGGTTGCTCTGACATGTCTGTGTTGTGTCAGGCTCTGTGCACAGCGCACTGCCATCCAGCTGCCCCAGCAGTAATCCCAGGGCATCGCAGAGGACAAGGCTGCTAGTATTCCCTACTGACGTGTAGGTTTGAGCACAGCATTAGTTACTCAGCTTTAAAAAGCATGTCTTGTGTGATTGAGCTGATCAGAAATTCAAATCCCTCCTCATGCAGACCTAGAAACTGCTCCCTTTGCTTACTCTGAAGGATTTTTGTGCCAGTGATCCCTGCAGCTGTACGCATCCTGATGACTGAAGCTTTTCTAGCATTCTCCTATTCAGGCAAGATTCCTCAGAATACAAACTACCCTTTTACTGCACAACTCTCTCAGAATTTACAAGATCAACACCACCATGGCAAATCAAAGCAATTACTTCGCACTGTAGCCAGTGCTCCATGCTGATGGCCACATCTGCTGTTCACCCCTGACCTCCTCCCCTGTATTTTTCATCCCTAGACACTCTTTCTGGAAGCTCGTGACAGGGCTATGTTTTCTTGCAATGATATCATGACAAGTTTCGTGAACATTGATTTAAAACAGCTAGCACTTGTAGCTACCTCTTTTTAATACTATTTGGACAATCTGCAGAGTAATTTATTGCCCTTTTGGGGAAAGGGTATCGGGTTTTGGCCCAGAGATGCTGCGGAAGGGATGCAGTATTTTTGTACGCTGAGCTCACTCAGTCTGCCTCATAATCACGTTTGGTGAAAAGTTACTGTTCTTAAAATAGCCCCTGCAGTAGCACAGTTGCTATGATACAGGGAAGGGGAGGGGGAAAAAGTTCATTGCCTACATTTCAGCTCATTGTGAAGGCAGCCTATACATAATCAGCGGTGTATTAACAGCTGCCTGCGTTACTTGACAGGCAGTCCTTACCTCTCAGTGCACAGCTACATCTGAGTGGTTTTTATGCTCACAATGGGGAGAAATGTTGGGGGAAGCTCCCTAAGTGTGTTCAAGGTAACTCTGCTTCGCACGTTCCTCGCATCCTTCAGACAGGCAAGCTGCTGACAGCTGTGCCACAATAGAGCTGCAGACAGAGACAAGAGCTCCTTCGGATCCCGGCCATGGAAGTGCAGTGACTAATGAAGTAATGACAAGCAGAAGACAGCCCTCTGCTGAGGAACGTCTGAGGCTCACAGCAGTGATGGTCTCGGTCAAAAGGGAGCAACTTGTGCTTAGATCAAAGTGGACGTGCTGCTTTGATTGGCAGTGGTTCCCAGCTTGATTTTAGAGAGAGTCTGGGAGTGGGAGAAAGCACAGACCTCAAATCCCCTGGTAAGGCGAGCAGCAGATAGTCCTGGGAATTGCAAAGTAATCAGAAGAAGCAGGACTAGGATTTATCTGGAAGGGAATCTCACTGTGTGGCAGACCCTACAGCCTGTAACCTAGAGCAAAGCTATATTTTAGGTCCAGGAGTGTCCAAGGGGCAGCTCGGTGTTTGTGTGAACAGAGAGGGGGGCATAAGGGGCTTGGCTGCACACCTTGGTCTGCGCAGTGTGTCTGGGCAGCTGCGTTTTGGGGTTGTGCGAGGAGAAGGGGTGACATAACCTGTTGGGATGACTCATTACCAAAGCATGGATGGTGCAATTTCACCCTGGGCTGCTCACAGATTGAGGCAGAGTCTGTGCGAGCTTCATGGTTTGCTCTGAGCCACACAGCCCAGCTCAAAATGCTGCTTGACAGACCTTGCGATGCGAAGCTGGACTGGGACACGGCTGTTGTGAATGCATGCAGCAGGTCTGCACATTTCTCAGGCTACAGCTTTGTCCTGGTTTGGACTGTTAATGAAAGGGAGCAGGAGCCAGGACTCTGGAAGTGGAGTAGAGCCTGATGAAATAGAGGGATTTAGGGATTTACTGTAGTCTTTTTAGCATAGCGTTGCTGCTTTGACAGCTGCAACTTACCACATAAATGAGGACTTAGCTGTGAAACTGCTGCCACTTCAGCTCCATCCAAGTAGGGCACTAATCATTTACTGAGAATTATTTGGGTCAATTTTTGATACCAGTTAATAAGCTGCTTCTACTGATAATACAATAAAATAACCCTGGAGATTCACAACACTCCGTGTGAAGAAAAATAACTTGCAGGGAGCTGCAATGTCCTTCAACTGACTGTCAGCCATGCTTTCCTTTCTGGGCACGGGGTGGTTCTGTAAATTGGTGTGATGTTCACAGGGGCTCTGTGCAGCTTCACTGGAGACAGGTGGGCAGAGGAACCTGGAGAGTCTGTTTGCAGCTGCCTTTGTGAAAGTGCAGCTTCTCATAATTCCTTTTGTTTTAACTATTTTTATTTTGTTAAAATGATCTTGCAACTTAGCATCCTCTGTGTTCCTCCCAACCAATTCTTTATGCATACAAAAGGTTTATCAACTCATTATTACAGTTTAATGTGCTCTATAGAAATTTTATTTTACTGCTGTTTCATAAAGCTCACATGCCCGTGCCTTCAAATTCATAGATTATGGGGAACTTCCATGCCCTGAGCAGATACAGGGTGTGTTTTCCTATTGGGTAGTGCTGATAGGACAACTAATTGTCTAGAATGAGAGACAGAAAGAGCTCAATGGACGGGAATTAAAAATGAGCCTTTGAAAACCTTCCAGTTTAGAATAAGCTGATGGTTTGATAAATTTTGTAACTTGGACATAAAACTCATATTAAAATATATCCAATAAAATATGATAATTGCTTTAATGGAAAAAAAAAAAAAAAAAAAAAAACAACTGTTTAAAATGCTCTTTTTCTGACTCTTCAGTTGTGCAGTTACACTCCAGCCTAGCATCACTGACTATTGTCCCACAGCCTAGTTATAGGCACGGTGTTTGCTTTATACAAAGAAACTCAATTGTTAGTTTCAAAGAACATCATTTCTATCTACCAGACTGGTCAAACTTAAAAGGCCAGTCTTCATGACAGTGCTTTCTGCTATAGAGTTTACAAAGTAAAGAGGGATTTTTTTAATCTCTGTTTAGGTGGAAGTGGCAGTTGGGATGCTGTCTATAACGTTGGGAGCTCACTTGATCTTGCAGAACAGTCACTCAGATCTCTGTCCCTTGAGCATCTGCCAGGACTTTGGAGCAGGGCTATACAGAACCACAGACCTTTGTGCGTGTTTCTGACACTTCATCATCTTTCATTCAGTGACTTCTGAACGTGATTTGTACTCAGGAAAACTTTAAAATGCCACTACCAAATGCTTCACTTTTCCCCATGAATGACAAGCACACAGGATGGCAATATGCTTTGACGCAAACTTTTCTTTTTACTGGGAAGGCTGCTGAAAATGGCAGATTAGTATCATTTAATGAGATTTGGATTCAAGAGGTGTACATGTTAACTTCCCTGCTGAATGCGTCTGTATGTTTAAGTTTATATTTATGCCAGTTTAAGCTGACTTCCTTGGCGGTCAGATTTAGCTAGCTTTAGAGGAATTGCATATGTACCAGCTCACATTCATGCTATGTAAAAATCCAGTGAAGCTGGAGAAGCATTCAAGGTGATAAACCATCAAAAATCAAACTGCGTGACTGATTACAGCAGAGAGGAATCAGAAGAATTCGATATTAAGCACTTTTTATCTTTAATGTGCTTGGATTTAAGATCTTCCTTTTATTTTTTTGATTGTTAGGTTTTTTTTTATTTTGAAGACTTGCATTTCCTATTGCTCCAAAAAAGATTTTTATTTTTTTAAAAAAAAAAGATTTTCCTTACCCTGCTCCATCATCTCCAGAAGGCCTTTCTTAATGAGTTCATCCCGACCTTGTCGTGCTGTCATCTTCTTCTCCAGCACTGCAAGAAGTAGTAGCATGACACAGCACCAATTAACAGCAGAGTATTCGTATATCTCAATGAGAAAGCTGTAATGAGGAAATTCCCTCTGGTCTCAACTACTGCGTGCTTGGAAAGAACTGCAGGAAATTCTAGAGGTTCATGGATTGGTCAGCCTGTTTTGTACCCTTTCTGTTGTTAAAGTAGTAAAATCACCCACACGTAGAGCTGAGATTTATGATTTAACCTGCTGCCTAATCACATTGAGTACAGAATAACAGGGGTATGAGAGCCTTCGTGCTGTTTGATGCAAGGTGTTAGCTGCCTCAGGAGATAGTGTCCTTCATGGTGACACTCCTCAGGGCATCGGGCAAGTGGAGGGAATCACATCACCCTATCTTAGCACGTGAGTTTGTCTCCTTACTGATCTCCTGGGACATCCCTGGAGACCAGCAAGAGCGCGCAGTGCTGTGTGCTGGGCTCCTCCACTGCAGAGACAGCTGCTTGAGGGAAGGAACTTGACATGCTGCAGCTCCCTCCTGTCACTTTTCATAATGTTATTGTGACCTAAATAATCTTCTCCCCAAATAAAAGGGGTGACAATACTTGCAGACATAAATGTAGCCTATTTGGAGAAGAGACAGCCCATGAAAAGCAGTCTGTATTGAGGCTTGTGCTTCACTCTTATTTTGACCTTTTCTTTTAGATGTATTATATTGCATTACATAGGAAGTCAGCCTGGTATGGGTTTTTTCTAGCCTTAAATGTCATGAATTCCCAACATGCTGGGATTTCTGAATTAGGTTTAGGTCAGGTCATCATTAGTGCTTCCTATGTAAGGAAATTTCACCCAAGCTAAGCTTTGCCTTGTGCAGCATCAGACTGTCATTCTCATCGTACCTGCAGAGGTCTGCTTTAGTTTCTCATTCTTCTTTTTCCTCCACTTCCACGGTTTGAAGATCCTGCCCAGTGTTGCCAGTTTGCTGTTTCTCCTCACTGGCGGAGTTCTAATCCCTGAGACCAAGTAGTCAGAACGCATTGCAGGGGACTGCTCCATCTCATCTGGGAAGGGAAGAGAGAGGAAAGCCAGCAGTTAGACAGATGGCTTCAGCAAAAAGGCAGGTGAATGGAGGCTCCTCAGCTAACACATATTTGGTCTAGTTGCCAAGTTAAGCACCATAAGACTTTGTCACTGTATTGCTGGAGCCAGCAGCCAGGCTGAGGGATGCCAGCCAGAGGCACTCAGCCTTGCTGGGCCAGCCCAGTGTTTCCTCCTGGCTGCAGCCTTGCACAGCACCCCTCTGGATGCAAAATACTGGAGCATGTCTGCTGCTGCTGTCCCTCAGGGATCTCTCTAGGCTATTATTCAGGCCCACAGAGAAGGAAATGTGCTTAATTTGTACACCCTGTGCTTTATTCCTTCTCTTTCCTGCGTTTAACCATGCCTGGGACTCACCAAGGGAGCGGTGTTGCTCTCCTTCCCAAGGGCTGTGTAACTGTGCATTACAGCCTTTTGAAATGTGGGGAGCTGGGTGCTCCAGAGAGCTTTAGTAGGAGCAGTAGAAATTTAACACATCTGCAAATTAGGCCCACGCAAACTCCAGTTAATCACATAAATGTAATGTTCATTTAGAAAACTTTAGACCTTTATGAAAAGCTGAGAGTGTGAGAAAGCTCAGGTCCCCTCTGAATTCCCAGCTTCCATTTCTGTTCTCAGGGTGCAGGATATTCCTGCCTGTTAAATGAACTCTCTTCACATAAGCTAGCACAGAACACACTGACATGTGTGAGCTAATGCTGTTCTATAAGAACAGTTTGTTTGATATGTGCTATGTAAATAAAATCCTACAGCTATTGTGCAAATTTATTCCTTGAGGAAGCTAAGGGGAAAATTCTTTCCCTTTTGTCCTGCCAAGCCACAGGAATTTACAGATAATACTTCAGCTGGAAAAGCAATTTAGGTATTTTTAATATTTTGTCTTGAAAATACACTCAAACAATATAAAATTGTGAAACAATATACACGTACATGTATGCTGACTATTCACAGTTGTGTGCTGGCCAGTACCATGAAAGAAAGAAGCACAGTTCGATCGGTGGTGTTACTGGTGGCTTTATTGAGGTTTGTATTTGAGTACCACTACAGTGACTGGTAAAAGAAGCTGTGATAAGTGATCAGACATGGAGCTATGAACATATGCACGTTTCCAAGTAATTTCTCTCTGGAACAACATTTATCATAAATCGCTGTATGACTGCAAGATAAAAACTATATAGCATCTTGTAGGCTATGTTTTTAAGTCAACAGGGTGAAAATGCTTAAATCACAGCATGGAAGTGGGGATTTCCAAGTAAACAGGAAACAATTTGGGGGAGATTATTAAACACAGCAGGGGAATGAACACATTCCTCCTCTTCCATTTAATTTTGAAAATGTGGGTAAGAGAGATGAATCATTTAGTGGAGGCAAACTGCAAACCTGGCCATGTGAACTACCAGAACAAGAGAAAAGGCTGAAACTTTTTTTTTCTTTCTCTCCCACTGTACATGTTCAGTGAATTTCTCTTTCAATATAGTGGAATGAGACAAAAGATTCTCTAAATTCATAGAGTTTATATTGGGTTTAATTTAGAAAGGCTTTTAAATGTACATAAAAATCTATTTTAGGTTTTGAAATGATTGTGTCTACACAAGGTGCTATTTATGGTTAGCAGTCTGGAGGTCAATATTAAGAAGTTGAGAACAGAAACTAGTACAGAGCCGAGCACAGGGGGAGGGCAGTAGCCTACAGAGTGCAGTTAGAGTGCCAAGATATCATGCTTCTTCCCTAATTGCATATTCAAAACTAAGAAGTATCACAGAAATAAGCTTTGAAGAAGTAGAGCTGCTCTTGATTATGGAGATGGCAATGAGAATGGAAAATGGCAGAGAAGATCTGCTATTAATTTGCTATTATGATTACTTTAAAGCTGTAATAGAAGCCTCAGAAAATAACATTTGGCCATTGCTTGTGACATCCCTCGAGTGGGAATGGAAATGTTCATAAAATTAGCTCCTCTCAAAAGAGCTGTAGATCAGACTGTAAATCAGAGCCTGGGCCCTGGAAGTTTTTTCAGTGGTGTAGGACAGCCTGAGCTCCACCATCCCTGTCTGCCTGTGAGGCTGCACTGCTGCAAGAGCGCTTCCTATCATCGCTGGAATTTCTCAAGCATGTAAGTGAAGATTAGAGAAGAATCTGACTTAGAGCAGTACCTTGGCAGGTTGCTGGCCCTGCTGCATTTCATTCAGGATGTAGGTGTCTGCAAAGTGTTTTAGGCATCATCCACATGTAGCATGAGATTGCTTTACCGTTTTTGCCAGATAGGAGGGGACTTAGATGTAACCAAGAAGCCATTCAAACCCAAATCTGCGTGTCCCTAGCAATGTCTGTTATCCCACATATTCTCCTGGGAAAGAGAAGGGGAAGATACTGCAAAGGCACTAAGAATTCCCTAAATGCCCTGCAGTGGTCAATGTTTCTGTGCTTTCTGCCAGTCTTGTAAGTGGGGCTTCTTCCATCCCCTTCTGCCCTCTTGGCTCTGGAAATGTAGATTTCTACCTTAGATGGGTCACAGATGAAATACACATCAGTCACCAAAGAGAAGATAGTAGCTAAAACAAATGTTCCGGTGGAGGTTTTCATTGGCTTTTAAAATTTATTAATGCTTTTTCAGATGGTACAGAGAGTTCTTAAGCAAATGGTTTTATCACCTGGTACATTCTCACCATATGCAGTTCCTACACTGTACATTTGGAGAGATGGACACAAATAAAAATAGACAGAGACACAGTAAGACAGATGTCCTGAAGTCATAAATAACAAGGAAATGGTCTCACTGGCAATAAGAATCACAAGAAAGCCCTTGGAGCTCCTCATTTCTAGTCAGTTCCTTTCTTCTTGGGTGTGGGTTGGCTGCTTGGGAGATGAGGAGTTGACAGCACAAAAAGCAGTTCCCACGTACAGCAGGGAATGCTGAAGGAGCAGGCGCATCTAAATACCAGCCAGCTCCTGCAGCCAGCAAGCTGCCAAGACTTGCCAACCCTCCAACCACTCTGTGAAGTATTCAGCACATTTTTTAATCTGCAGTCGATATTTTAATTATGCTAACTGTTCTGTGGAATAATGCGGTTATTCCTCCCAGAGCCTGATAGCCTGGGGCCAGGCCATGCAATTACATGGAGAATGTCTGCAAAATATAAACAGCCAAGAGCCAAGTCGGGACTCTCCAAATCGGCTGGGAGAAGCGAGCAACAGCTTCACTAGCTGCGTGACATGGAAGGATGAGGGCCGGGCCTTACACAGGGCTGAGTCAGTACCAGCTTAACCCCCAGTACCCCAGTCCAGTGCAGGGAGGCCAGGCTCAGCTGTCTCACGCTGTCCCCCAAGGACACAGTTCAGCCCTATGGGGCCAAAGCATTAGCTCTGACTGGTGCTTGTTGGCTTTTTCTATTGAAATTACTTGTGAGTCCCTGGTGTACCCTGCAGAGGGCAAAGGCTCCTGTGCTGGAGCTCCGCATCCAAAACAAACTCCTCATCTATCACACGCCTGTCTGATGAGGCTGGGCAAGCGTTCCTCACGGTGCCAGCTGGGGTGATTTCTACAGCTCCTGACATTGGCCAAGAGTATGAGTGGTCTGATGTCTGAGACAGCGCCTCAGACAAGGGGAGAGGTTCTGACCCAATGGGCAGTGCTCTGCAGTGCTGCTCTGGGCTGCAGAATAAACAGGCAAGAGAGAAGAAGGAAAGAAAACATAGTACTTGTCGTGTTTGGCTTCAGTGCCTGACCCCTTGGAGTCTGAGCATCTGCAGCTTCTGTCTACTTCGGTAGCAGTTGTGGTTGATCAGCACTTCTGAAAAATGCTCCATTGCTTTCTTCTTTAAAGTGGTGGGGTAGCATAAAAATACCACTCTTCCTGTTACTCTCTTCTCTATAGGAATTGTGCGTGGACCGTGCAGTGTTCCTGCACATCGGACCTCTCCCATTTACTGATACCAAGTCCTGGCTCTGTTCCATCCAGACTCCTGCAGAACTGGGGCAAGCTTGCTGGGAGTCCTGTGGAGTCTGAGACTGGGATATGTGATGGGAGAGTGCCCCAGGCCTGCACACAGCCCTGCTTGGTACTGTGGACATTTTTGGTGGTGAGAGGATGATGCTGGGGTGAAACTAGGTTCAGTCAGTTGAGTCTAACTTCTTGTCTTTTTTGGTAAACCAAAGAGACTGTCAAATGATGCCTGGGCTGCTGATTACAGCAACTGCAGGCTGTTCTCTGCAGGCTGCAGCGTGGCAGCTGGGCACATCAGGAATGCAGAGCTGGGGTATGCTGACCTTGCCCCGGAGAGGGGCTGGGAGGGACCTGGAAGGTTCTTTTGTGAATACACAAATTGCAACGAGAAGTTTATGGGAAGACGAAGGATGCTGAATTTTAATGTGCTGGGAATTTGTTAACTTCTATTCATGGTAATGGAAGCTGTGCCTTCCTAAATCCCCTGTGTGCACTTCTAGGAGAAGGGCCACTGAAAAATCTGCAACCTGCAGGCAGTTTAAAAATAACACAGCAGAGAGGAGCTGCAGGCAAATTTGTAAGACAGGCGTGCTCTGTTTTCTGATGTGTTGGTTTGTGATGCAGCTCTGCATGTTGCCCCCTTTATCATTACTGCATCCATCTTTGCAACCAGATGCAAAGTTAAAAAAAGGCAAAAGAGGGCTCCCTTTGATCCCCTCCAGAGGGTAGAGACAGAGAGTCGAATCAAAATGACCTTTTCAGCTTCTGCGATAGACATGCCTTTGCCACTGCTAACTCCAGTGCTGCCTAGAGTTCATGTCCCCCTTTGTAAAGGATGCTAAGCAGGATGTCACAGGGAGAGCTGAGCTTTCAAAGGGTTCACATCTACTACTGGTCAGTCCTGGATCATGCAGCCCAGACATTTGTGATGTTAGCCAAGAAACAGCGCTTCTCTACAAAGGTGCTCTGTGCAGAGAACGCTTCTTATCTAGTGAGAGAAACTTGTGGGTGGAAGAAGG